ATACGGAAAGTTCAGCAAACGTGTTCAGAATGCACGCGGGTGCTTTTCTGTGAGCTGAATGGACCTGCTGAGAGGTCATGGTCCTCCTATCACACACTAAGCGCCACCCGGTTAACTTATGTCTCACTTAATTTACTTACATTGTGAAAATCACCCAAAGCTGTAATACACGTGTACACATATTTTAGAGTGGGAAGAACTTTCCACAGCAACATGCACTGGATGTTGAAATTCGGACCCCTTGCTGTGACCTTTCTCGCCAGCTGTGTTGTCTGTCATATTGGAAGCAAAAACATGTGGCGGTTGCATTAAAACCAGTGTCAGTACATGTTGTTGTGAGAATTATGGATTATTTATTTGAGATAAAGCTTGTCTAGCTCCATGTCAAAAGTACGAGCAAATGGTAGTCATCATGGCGGTTTTTCCTCCTCTTTCCTGCAGCATCTTCTACTAAAGGAGATGCTTTGCTTGTGCACTTAATAAAGCACTATGATGGCGTTATTGTTGATGATCAAGTGCAAAGAGATGACAAGTGCGTTTCAGTTTAACATCAAGACTCAACTGAATGATTTCACAAAGGTTATTTGTATTTGTTAAGTTTCATGACACTTGCAGTTATCAATAAGTAGTAACATGAATACACCTACCTAACACTATGAATCTGATTTATTTAATTGATCGAATATTGCAAGTGAAATACTGTTAAACCCCCATGAATACAACTTTGGAATGAAAAAGTATAAAATATGATTTCTCAAGGTCTCACAATGTTCAAAAAGTCAAGACAACAGCATGTTTTCCCTTTTAACAAATACGTAAACAAATAGTTGAATATAGAAACGTTGTATTGGAGCAGGAGCTCCATCCCGCGGCCCCACCTCGCAGCCTGCATCAGCGGGGTCCAGCCGTAGTTGTTGCGGCTGTCCACCGACGTTCCCTTCCGCAACAAAAACCGCACCAGGTTCTCGTGGCCACTGGCCGAAGCGAACTGCAGGGCGGTGTTCCCCTCCTCGTCCGTGGAGTCCACCGGTACCAGAGACAACGTGACCGCGGCGGCGGCGCACTCCGACCCCGCCTCTGACCGCAGCCTGCTCTGCCGCCCGGATTCTTTCGGGGCGCCGGGCTCCAGGATCCCCCGGGCGGTTTCGTAGTCGCCCTCATCGCAGGCACGGAAGAGTAACAGCGAATTAGCGGGGACGCCGTAATTCATCTCCTCGGTTAAAAGTGTCGGTCCGCCTCCATTCAACTGCAGTGAAGTTGGATCGACGGTAACGGGCTTAACGCGGCGGCTTTCTGACTGTCACTCGGCGGCGGCCTGAGGTCGGGAATCATGACGCACGGCAAAAATAAAACGTCTTTTCCCAAAGGCATTAACTTCTATACTTCTTCTGAAACACTACAACAATGGAATCATCTTTACCACCCCATCACATTCCTAGAATCCTAACGGGTTTCGGCAAAACAACTTTTTGGCAACTGACCGGTTCCGTTACTTGTTCAGAAGCTTCAGCATCATGAGCGCGTCTGCAGAGAAACCTTTCCGCTTTCATCCTTCAAAATAAAATGAGTGTTATGCGCAATCGAGTTGGTTGTCACATACAGAAACTCACATAACTCACACTATTATTGTAATAATAAAAAGTACATATTTATAAGATTTAGTTCCCGTTTAGCACTTTTTTTTCATTTTATTGTTTTATTTATCTTTGCCGGATGTCATATTTGGTTAGAGTGTCTGCCCGTCTACTTTGACAGCACATTGATGGAGCGAATACCAAGTGTGGTGTTACGCTTTACTTCTCCCGGTGGTCATGTTAGGGCTACTTGTACGCATAACCATGCTAATATTTTATTGTGAGATGTGATGTAACAGATGTGATATACATTATCGTGCCTGTACTACATAAAATCAACATCGTAAATTAAATAATAAAACCATATGAACTACTATTCCATTTTATTTGTGTGATTTGAATACATCTCTGCAAAAACACTACGTTCATGTGATATTTTATTTAAAAAGAGGGACATTTCATTTATCAAGTACGTTGTGTAGATGGTTTTATCTTATTGTAGAGTGTGTAGCCGCTACATGTCACTCTTGGTGTTGCTGATATGAACACCAACGAAGAAGTGTCAGAGACCCGGATGAACATTACTTACGCAGGAAACGGATGTGCGCTCGCTCTCTTTTTCTGAACAGCCAGCCACGTTGGTAGCAACTCTTCCTGGCTCACCGCTGTTCGCTCGAATTTCTCCCGAATAAGTCGGTCAGGGGAAATCAAAATGGTACGTATCGTTTGTATACAACGATTCCTGATATGATAGGTTCATTCTGTTGTGGTTTCGCAGTTTAATATAAGTTTAACGTCGAAGTTATCCGGCGTAAAATAGCTAACGATAGCCCCGATAGCTCATGTCGCATGACATGTCCCGCCAGAAATCATTCACAAACTGGACTCTTACAGAGTAATTGGGGGCTTGGGGAATTTATAAACATTTCAACGATTTAGGCTTATAGCTTTTCCAGACACTTATTAATTCGGACCTTCTGAAATTACCCTCAAAAGCTTTGAGGATAAAATAATGAAGTCTTGCTCCCATTGTTAACGTTACTTAACATTTTCTTTTTTTTAAAACTCAAGCGTTTTCAATTCAATTGAAATTGTGTTAGTGTTATTACATTAACTCTGGAAGATTATACAGGACACGGTTGCTAATGAGCTAATGTTAGTTCATGTGGCAACTTAACCGTAATTTTCTGTATTTGAGACCATCCTGTGGACGATAGTTTTCCAACATTATCCGGTGAGGTTAAAGCTAACGTCACTTATCTGAAAGGCCATGTGGATAATACGTATTTCTCGCGAGGCATTATTAACGTAATTTCAATATTAAGCCTTCGCTACGTTGGCTGGCTAATGCTGGTGCTTGTTAGCGCATGTCGACACGTGACGAACGTTAATTACAAGAATCTTTATCATTATTTTCAGTTAAATGGTCTTTTGTTCTTTACATTTTTTCACCACTAGGTGATGACTAGTTTTGACTTCAAAACGTGGGCCGTCTTACCAGTCTGTATTTTATGATCATGCTCGGCATAAAGGTGACTCTTTGTTTCCACACCTGCAGGCTTTTAAGGACACTGGCAAGGCACCTGTTGATACTGAGGTGGCCATTCACCGCATTCGCATCACCCTCACCAGCCGCAATGTCAAATCTCTGGAGAAAGGTAACTGAACTTGATGTGGTTCTTGTTGTTACTGGAATAACATCCAAACAATGAGGATAAATTTCCATCTGATTAACACTGAGGATTGGATATACGCTATTCTGAGCCATGGGTTTTCCAAAGTATAGTGAATTGATTGTTTGGTTACTTGTGGTCCTTAAAGTTATTTCTATTCCTCAGTCTGCGCAGACTTGATCCGTGGGGCCAAGGAGAAGAGCCTGAAGGTGAAAGGACCCGTCCGGATGCCAACTAAGGTACATGAGCTATGTTAAGTTTTAGGAAATTTACCGGCTGTTATTTCCGCCGGGGACAGAAAAGCGCTCTTAAGAGCACAGTATAGATTCATGGTTTTGTCAAGCTAAACCCTTTTTGCTGCCTTTTCCAGACTCTGCGCATCACAACCAGGAAAACTCCTTGTGGTGAAGGATCCAAAACCTGGGATCGTTTCCAGATGAGGATCCATAAGCGCCTGATTGATCTGCACAGCCCATCTGAAATTGTCAAGCAGATCACCTCCATCAGCATCGAACCAGGTGTAGAGGTTGAGGTTACCATCGCAGATGCATAAATGATACAGCTCATGCAATAAAGAAAAGAAAACTGATGTGATGGTGTTGTGTGGTCCCGTTTTGTGAAGCAAAGAACATATTTGCTATCTAAAAATCTGCAGTAACACTAAGTGTGTGGAACAGGGAATTCTAAATGTACTACCAACCAGCAAACTTCATTATTTGGGATATCACCATGAAGTAAAAGGTAGTCTGGAAACGATACACGAGTCTCGCAGCAATCTGAGTATAAAAGTGACTAACATCATTTATCAATGTGATAACTGGAGCACCGGGGGAAAATAATCTGAACACTAACTGACATCCCGCTAAAAAAATTCTGAAACAGTTTTTTAAATATTTTATGGCAGTATCAAGGCCTAACTAGTTGCAACTCTAAGCATGGTTTGACCATTGCAGCATTACGCGCAGTCATTTAAAATGTTTTTTATAGTCCGAAGTAAAGGCTTTGGACGACTTCCCATTTGTGCAATTTAGTTTACAAAGTTCAGTCTTTCATTGTAAAATGAGAATGTAAATGCTGCTTTCGTTGCTTACTCGTCTGACACATTTTCTGCAGCACAAAGCTGTATAATCCAGAAGTATTGGCCTCTGTGCAAAAACCCTCTTAAATATCGTAATGTAAACCCAATTGTTTTAAATGCCACCATTTATCCATGAAAACTTTAATCAACTTTAAAAAAAAAAAAAGAAAAGTTTGCTGCCAGGATGAATGAATGCCCAAATGTGTAATGTCAGTTCAAGCTTATTTTAGTTAATGTCTCGAAGCTGCGGGCATTCAATGAGATCAAGTAATGATCTAGCAGCAAAACCCCGGAGTACATGAAATAGACGTTTCCCACAGCACATGTGTCACTAATAACGTCCCAGTCAGCATGCACGATACCACCTGAATATAAAGCTCTGACATTCCATTATATAAACATTTGTTTTGCCGAATGTGATTTGAAATTTCCTCCATGAAAGATTAAGCTATTAAACAATGATATATTACATTGTTACAAAGCATAAAAGTGTTACAAAGTCTCAGCCCCCTTTTACAAAATGTCACAAACAATCTAGAAACATCTCAGTGGTTGATGTAAAACAAGTCTCAGTAATATTTATAAAAGAAAAGCTAAGGCATCTTAACTTTACGATGTAAAGTCATTATATGTTCACATACTAGGAGATGGCTCCTCGGGCAATGATCTGACACATCTCTGTGGGCTCCACCTGGTAAACACAGCAGAGCTCTGAGCTGGTTGGTCCTTCCTGAGGATTTTCTTGACTTCACACCTGCCTTCAATTCAGACTAATCACAAGCTCCTCCTGGCTTCTCAGTGGGAGAACGCTGTCGCACTTACACGTTGGTAAAGTAAGTCATTCTCAAGCCCAAGAGCTGTTGTGAGTTGCAATCCGAATAGTCGGGGAAACTGGACCATCTCCATCCATCACTGTGTCGAACTAATACCTTCGAGATGAGTCCAGTTAATTTGACGGAGGAAGAAGGCGTTGATATGCAGCCTGTTGACATGGACTTGACTTGTATTGCTCCTCGTGCCAGCATTTCATCCCAGCAGGTGATGTATTTTACCCCCTTTTTGTTTCAATTCTCTTTCGTTTTGTACTCAAGCTTTGACTTCACTGATCAATGATGCCTGTTCCTGATATAAACCCTTCGACTGCCTGCCTGCACTGACGTTTGCTCTCCACTCTGATCGTCCGTGTGTTTGTAGACTGCGCAGCCCGGTGGTGCTGAGCAGCAGACCATGAGAGTCTACCTCAGAGTCCGGCCCTTCTCTAAAGAGGAACTCGCTGATGACGAGGATCAGGTAGTGGAGTAGCAGCTAAAAAAAAGTGTAAACCAGTTTATCTAGCAAATAATAATATATTAATAATCATGTTTAACTGGATTCAAATTGCAACATTTTTCTGCCGGCCTACTTTATTATTTGTGCAAGTGCTGCAGATTCTTTATATCATGTGTCTGATTCCCCCCCCCCCCCTTTTTTTTAAATACTGCAATTAATTCGGTTTCATTCTCCTCCCCAGTGTTGTTGACTTCGGTGCAATACACTCTTGCTATCCCTGTCTTCATTCAAATGCACAAAAATGATATAATGGGTTAACTTATAACTGATATTTGACGTTTTTCAGGTGCTTTCCATTTTGTATGTGGAATAAGATGGCGCAGGGAGCCTGGGCATAACTGCTCAATTGCTAGAAATTCTGAAACCCCATGTGTCCCTCCACTATGACACATGGTCAAATTAGTTATTTTGTAGAATCCGTATGAACACCTGTTGTCTCCTCAGGGTTGTGTGGTGATTGAAAACAACCAGACGGTGACCCTGAAGGCCCCAAAGGGTTCTGCCACCTTGAAGAGCAGTGAGAAGGGCATCGGCACGTCACTTCACAAGTTTTCCTTCTCGCAGGTCAATTTCTATTTTTCTACATTTTAGTACTCTTCACATCTGCATGATAGATCTTGTGCGTGAGGAACTGTGCTGTTCTAGAGCAAGCGTATTCCTGTTGGCTTTTAGATCTTTGGAGAGGAGATGACTCAGTCCGAGCTTTTTGAGGACACCGTGAAAAGCCAAACGTCTGATTTCTTAGAGGGGAAGAATGCACTGATATTCAGCTACGGTGTAACCAACGCGGGAAAAACCTACACAATCCAAGGTAAAGAAAGCTCAACAGCTTCTGAAAGAGCATTAGGAAGTTGTTCCTCTCGTCTTAAATATGTCGTCAAATGCTTTTTTAGGAACCCCAAAAGAGCCGGGAATTCTCCCTCGCGTGCTGGACGCCACCTTTCACTACATCGGAGGCCGTCTGTACGAGGGGATGGACCTGAAGCCGTACCTCAGGAACGATGCTCAGTATCTGGATCCTGACCAGGTCAAGCAGGAGAGAAGTGCTCAAGCCGCCATTTTTGCTTCAGTCAAAGATGTGAGTTCTCGCCAACTTAGTGTTTCCTCAGGCTTAACCAATACTGCATAAGACCATGATGCTCTCCTTCTTTGCTCCGGTGTAGGAGTGTGACTCGTTCGGAACCAGTGGTGGTTTAGGGTCCTTGTCTTCCCCTCCCAGCCCTTTCCCTTCCTCCCCCTTGTCCACCGGTCAGAGCGGTATCCCTCTCAAATTCTACACACAGCAACTTCATTGTCTTGCATTCTAAAGTAGTTGTAGTCCCAGCATGGACTCAAATGAGGAAGTGTCCCTTCAGGAGGCCATCGGGTTTGATCCTTAGATGTTCCACTATCTGTATTCCTCTCCTCCTCCAGGGGAAGCAGGCAGCGACCAGTTTGCCCTGTGGGTGGCATTCTATGAAATCTACAATGAGTGTGTGTACGATTTGCTTCAACCTCATTTGTGCTCCAAGTCAAAGAGACGTGCTGCTCATCGAGTGTGTGACGACGGTGCTGGAAATGCTTACGTCAAAGGTGAGCGTGAGGGTTTGTAGAAATAGGCGGCATGGGTCTCCACGCTGGCCTAAAGCTGAATCAAAAGTGCAATTGTGTTTTCTTTTATTTGTAATGCCAGATCTCCGGTGGATTAACATCCAGACTCTGGGAGAAGCCTCAAAGCTGCTACAGTTTGGAAACAAAAACAGAAGTGCGGCAGCCACAAAGATGAACCAGTCGTCAAGCAGAAGGCAAACGTTTCACTAAATCCTTTCACTAAATCCTATCTGTGTTTGGTGCCGTTTTCTGTTAACAAAACCCCACCCTGCTTTCCTTACAGCCACAGCATATTTACCATGAAGTTACTGAAGATCGATGGCACTACGGTGGAAAGGATCTCAGAGTATGTATCTGCCAGAGACGCCATGAATATTCCAACAATGCAACAATATATATGTTAGTAGTATATGATCATCAGAAAGGGGAATATTTGCAGGGAAAATACCAGCCAATGTGTACAAATAATCTAGTGTACTAATTTTTCATAAATATGGTGGTAATTTTAAGCGTTGAGAACTATGGAAAGTAAATTGGTGGCTAAATAAAAAGGCCTTGTATTTTTTTTACTGTACCCTTTTTCTTCACAAGAGCTGATTATTTTAAACATTTAATGTATGCAAAGTGGTGGGAATGAATGTTGAACTCTTATTTGCCCTCTTAAAGAACCGTGGCCGGAGCTACGATGCATTAAACAACTCTTGTGTTTTCTGAGGTTTTCTTTGTGTGACCTGGCCGGCTCAGAACGATGCAACAAAACCAAGACCTTCGGGGAGCGACTGAAGGAGGCCGGGAACATCAACAACTCCCTGCTAATTCTGGGGAAGTGCATCAGCGCCCTCCGCAACAATCAGACCGACCGGTACAGATGGTTCTTCATGTCGCCTGCTATAAAAACCTCTCTAGTAACTGAAGGATGCGGCTTTTAAATATTTTGGCTGTTTTTTTTTCTTCTTGTTTTTCTCCCCTGCCGATAACCAGAGTGAAGAGCAGCTACATTCCTTTCAGAGAGAGTAAGCTCACCAAGCTCTTCCAGACGGTGTTCTGCGGGAAAGGAAGAGCGTCGATGATTGTCAACATCAACCAATGTGCTTCCACCTACGATGAAACTCTTCATGTTATGAAATTCTCTGCTGTCGCCAAACAGGTCAATCTTGAGAATATAATGTGAGCGGAAGCGGCGAACTGCCCCCTTTTCTTATATAAGAAGAAGCCTGTCTGTTGAAGGTGGTGCAGGTGATCCCAGCCAAGCCTCTGGAGTCTCTGGCTCCTTGTTTGGTCGACCGGGACGGCAAGCCTCTGGTGAGGAACGGGGTGATTGACAGCCAGGCCCTGGAGAGCTACCTGTCAGACGATGAGCTACTGGACGAGGAGGACGAGGCCAACATGTCTTTGCTGCCACAGAATGTAAAACTGCTGTCGCATGTCAGAGTGCTTGTTTCTAAAGTGTACCTCTGATGGATTGTCCTCAATTGTGTTTTTGATATCCGTATTTTACTTGGGCTAGTTCGCCCCAACTGAGGTCTGTAAAGTTTGATGGCCTTCAGGTTTTTATGTCCGAAAGCCCTTTCTCCCAGAATCTATTGGATTGATTGTTTCAGCTTAATACCTGCAAAACTGACAGTCCCATTTGTTCCCCCTTTAGTGCTGATTAGCGAGCTCAAACGCTAAAATAAGAGGAACAAACAGCTGTCATTGTGAATATGTACATTACCCTTTAAGCATTGCTGTTTTAGATTATTTTGTTAAATACAGCCGTTGGAGAATATTTAACTTCCCCCATAAGATTTGCTGCGTGGAAGTTATTTCATTACGGTTTCATTTTCTTGCTTCCAGGATCTGGTGAATATAATTGAGAGCCTGCGAACAAAACTCCTGGCTGAGCGAAGAAGAAACCTGGTTCAGGAAATGGAGATTCGGAAGGAAATGGGAGATGCCATGTTACAACAGCTCATGGAGAGTGAAGAACTCCGCATGTAAGGTTTTTATTTAGCAAGAGAAGACTAGCCGTGCTGAATCTGTACACTGAGCAATGTTTCTAACCCAACCCTTCGTTTAAAATCTAAAAGTTTGCTTGGTTTAGCCGCCAGATAGAGGAGCAGAAGGAGAGCTACCAAGAAAAGCTGGAGAACACTTTTGAGATGTACAAGGATGCTATCAAAGAGCACGCCTACCAGTGTGCAATGAACAACCTGGAGGATGACTACGTACCTCTTGACGAGTTCATTGCTGAACAGGACAAAGTGGAGGTATTTTATCTTGCTTTATAAGGTATTTTATCTTGCAGTACATGTCAATGTTCCATTGACATGTACTGCTTTAACGGAGTGTTGAAATGGTTCTATCCAGTAGTTTTCTTAAATAGACAAATTAGCTTAATTTGATACTGTTCCATCTTAAGCAACCAAACACGCTTTCAGATGTTTCTTCATTAAAACTTAACACCAGTCTCTCACCGATTGGTTTAGGCCCTGAAACGTAAAGTGACGGAGTTGGAGTCCTTAAAGTCCGGTATTGGACGCGACGTGTGTGCAGTTCCAACAGTGGACCAGTCGAGCCAGACGCAGCCATCCGAAGCGACGGAAGCAGCAGGTTAGAATGCCGCCTATTCAAACATGGGAGCGGTTCAAAAGAAGTAACCCTGCCGTTCCTAATTTTGAGTTTAGTGCGACTTCCATTCAGTTTTTCTATTGGTATCTTTCCTTCAGTCGTGTTTCATTTAGCTCACCAGCTGTTATGAGAGAAACGTCACTCGCCTGATTTCCCCTCCACAGGGGACGATCGGGTCAAACGGCTGTACAAGGAAAAATGTGCCATGGAGAAAATGTGTGAAGATAAACAGCTGGTAACAAGGGCAGAATGTTTAAATTAAATTCAGACTGGTTATTTGATCCCTTGCTGAGTTTTACATGTAATGCTTGGTTCAGCTCATTTTGTCCCTGGAGAAGAGGCTGATTGATCTCAGTCAAACACTTGAGAAGGTCCGAGATGGCTTCCTGGAGAAATCATCTGCTCTGGAGGTATTGCAGAAGAAGTGTGACGATCAGGTGAGATGTTATAAGTGGGATAACTTAACTTTTATATGTAAAATATATAATGACATTTCAGCGGTTTGACTGAACTCTTGTATACATGTTTTTTTTTAAAAGGCGCAATCTATGGACGACCTCATGCAGCAGAACGCTGATAAGGACCAGGAGGTTGAATCACTGAAAAAGGAGCTTGCCAAGCTCTCCCAGAAGTCTCCTGTGCAGCCCAAAACCAAGAGAGGCCTCCTCGCCAACATCAGGGAAGCGGTGAATTCTCCACGGAGCAGTTCTCCTGGGCGAAAGCTACGGAAAACCTCCAAGGCAGCGCACAGTTGAACAGCATCTGGACGATAAGGAGAATGATTCCTTCCTTTTTTAAACATCTTAAACATGGGCAGTTTTTTGGGTATATGTAAACAAAACTACAAGTGACTCAATATTTATTTTTCAGATGTACTGTGTTTCTTGTGATGGCATTTTACATGTTTTCTTTTATTCCAATTAAATTGCTTAAAATTCTGTGTGAAGTGATTTACGGAACTCTGAAGTAAAAGGTAAACGATTATTTGTAAGTCATGTGATTGCCTCACAGGTCTTTCTTGTGTGTACTATATGCCATTACTCATGCACTCTACAATAGAACGATCACACCAGGGAATTAATGCTTTGAAGGCGCTTATATCAATCTAGTCTGATGAGGCCATCCATAATCTGGAGTCTGAGGAGAAATAAACCACGAAAGACCCTGACCGGATAAAGAAACCATGTACAATTCCTTAAGTGCATCAATATTTAATTTGCTTATTAGTCTACCTTTGCACCTGAGCGCTAGGCTCCCTTCATCCCTAACCAATGCAATATAAGAGCCATGACTAACCTTTCCTGCACTCTAACAGAAATGTGTGTTATGTGCTATGGTGACCTTTTACAGTTGAGTGAACGCGGTAAAAGAGTGCAGCCTCCTCTCAGTTAGTGAAAGGGCCATTGTGGTAGAAGCAGCCAGCTGCTCTTCTATCTCCGGTCTCAGTGATGGTTAATGAGATTAGCTGTTCGTCTTGGTCTGCGTCAGTGCCAAGGGGGTCAATCACAGGATTAGCACCTTGCTCAGTAGTTGCATCGTTTTATTACTTTTTTTTTTCTCCCTCTTGTTACTTTCCCACTTCGGTACTTTTATTTCTTTCAGAACCACCAAAGCATGTTCAGTGGCCGGAATTGCATTTTAGTTCTTGGAGTGGAATTTTCTGGCTCTGAGACTGAGTCAGTCTCAACCCTCAGCTACTGAATGAAGCATCTTCCAGGGGGAGAAGAGGAGCGGGGGCAGCCACAAAAGTGAAAGGCAGCTGGGCCAAAATCTTGCCTGCTGTGGCAGAGTGTGACACTCTGGACAAGTCGTCCTCATGCCACTTGTAAATAACAAAGTAGGTGATGATTGCACGGTTGGCACGGACAAGGCTTTGGCTGATGGAAAGGCTCTGGTGGATTCCTTGATTAAGGTAAGCTGCTTCATGTTTTAAACCTTTGGCAATTACTGTAATGCAGACATATTCCATTTGTTATAGAAGTGATTTGTATTCGTCATCAGAAATTATCTTCACTACTGTCGTTTTGCAATATTTTTTTATGTATTATGACATCCAAGCATAATTCCCCCCTCTAACCCTTCTGGCTAAAAAAGCACTCCCACTGAAAAGAATTTCTTGGTCCACTACATCTTTGTGACCGTTCCAATACCTTTGTTGGATTATTCCACTGCCATGCTTGGCATTTTTATCTGTTCAGCATGCATGTAGTTGTTTTTACAATAATATCTGTTCTGTTTTTGGCACGTTTATATTTTAGTTTATTTATATTTTCTATATATGGTACTTCACAAACCTGGCTCCACAATGATATTTGCATGATGTGCAATTGATATGTCTTTTCATAATTAAAGCTTTCACTTCCAGTTAGCATGTTGTGTATGATTTGCTGGTGCTTGGAGTGTGCAACTGGGACAATATGACCATACTTTTTGTATGGTAAAAATATATAAAATAACTAGTGCAACATTACTTAGATTCAAGTTATGCACAAATACCTTAAGGAAAAAGTAGTGGAAAATTAAAGTATTAATATAGCATGTAGTTGCTACTGTTATATTCCCGCTCATCTCAGCGCTTTGAATGCACAAGGTTGTTTTGGCTTATCTAGAAATAGATCAGTGATAATGAGATTAATTGTAATATTTTTCATTGAAACCCCTCTGGCTAATCCTACACGGCTGAGCTAATGCCTCTTAATAAAACAATTGTGTTAATATGTGTGTGAATATGATTAAGATCAGGAAAGCAGAGTTGTGAGGCAGTTTTAGGCATTTTTTCTTACCAATCCAAAGGCCAGTATTTCTTTTTTTCACAAAGCACTGACTTTCCCCCATGTGTCCTATAAGATTGTACATATTCTTAGGAAGGATATTAATATATTCACTTAAATGCTCAATATAAGGACTAGTGGTTGATGTGCACAGCTGGGGCGTGTATTCATACCAAGCGCATTGGACGTTGCCGTTATAAGGAGGCAGGCACAGATTCTTGCGTCCTAAGCCTGTGTATTGCACTGTTTCGGCGCAGCGGTGTTAAGGTATTGTTGCCCTAGAATACCAGGACGTAATGACTTCGCTGAAATATCCATTAAGGACACAATAAAACATATTCACACGAGCAAATACAGAGGTGGTCCGGTTACAAGCAAACGGCTTCAGGTTGTCCTTATTTGACCCCAAGGCTTGCATATGAAATAGTTGTTTATTTCCCTCCTCACAGGTGGTGGCATGTTACCGGCAGCTGGCCTCATGTGTCGGCGGGTGCACAGACAGCTTGCAGCTGCGAGATGAGTTGCGGCAAACACGAGAAAAGGCCCAAATGTTGGCCATGTCAATCTGCAGTCATTTGACCTCACATCTCCGTAACAGGAGCCTGCCTGAGGGGCAGCGTAAGGAGATGGAGCTCCTCTGGGTGGCCTTCTCCTCCAGCCTAGAGCTCCTCCATGTTGACATGTGCAAAGTTTTCTATGTGGCTGAAATCTTTGCTCTGGCCAACACTGATGCACTGGTAAAAACTGGCGTACAAGGTAAATTATGACCCTAAATCAAATGTAATAGCATTCTTACATATTTAATCATTTCAGAGATGATTTGGGTGTGAATATGACTCACCGTAGCAAAATGGACCTTTGTGTTTAAATGTAATGTTATTGTTGGTCAGAATTTGAGTATCAATTACGAGATTTAAAAAATCACTCTGTACAAACTTCTTGAATATGTAGTCTGGTTATATAAAATAAAACATGTCATAAGTTTAATGGAAATTTGATGCTGTCATCCAGCTAACACTTTCCTTAGAAAACTACCGTTGACAAAACATTTTGAACCTGGTTGTCTGGATCACCAATCATGTCAAAAGATAATTCCAAGCAGTCTCCAGATTGCGGTGGCGTTAAAAAAAAAATCAAAACAACACATTAAGCATTAAAGACTAGGAATTCTTCTTTTCTCTTTATATTGCCGCTGGCAGTGACATCACTTGTCTATGGCTTCATTGTACGCTTTTGAGAGTCTGAGTAAGCCTGCACATAAATTACCCACAATGCCTGGAGCAAAAGACAACGCCTTCATTCCGTTAAAACTAAGTGCAGTGTGGCAACACAAAAAGGTTGAGAAGCACTGTTCAAGCCTGCACTTATATAAATGATAGCAAGCAATGGAAGCACTTACACATTACTTGGGTAAATATGTATTGCTGGACTGCTGTCGGACGCATTAGCTCCAGTTAATGTTTCAGTCCTGTTGGACTTCACCTGTGCAGGTGGAGGCAGTGAGATGGTGGCCCGGGCACTCAGTCTGCCAGACCTGAACCAGACCCAGAGTCCAACCCTTCCCGCTGAGCTGGAGAGCCAGGAGCGCAGCACCATGGAGCGTGAGATCAGCCAAATCGACCGCATGATCGACGACATGGAGATGAAGGTGAACGTGCTGCGCTGGATGGTGGAGCCCCACGGGCCACAGCGCGCAGACCCGCTCAGCAGCACCGACAGCTCCTCCCTGGGTCTGCTCTCCGTCGACGAGGAGCAGCCTGGACCCCGGCCTCTGTGCCAGCGCAGTCAAATCTTTGTGCTCTTATTGATGTCTGCTGTAGTTTTGGTGTCAGCCACTTTGTCTATCTGTATTGTCTTTTTCTCATGAGCAAAATCAACTAATCACATGTCTTGGATTGGTAATGTTCAGTAACACTGACAGAAATAACTACTTCAGGTACAGTAGTTTTCTCTTTCCATAGTCGCTCCAAAAAGGAACTACATTTTTGTAATTGCAGCAAAATGATCTGCTAGAGTGAAGTTTAATTTGCCTAAAGACACATTGAAATAAATCAGGAGTTGGCCATTTATTGCGGTAAATCCAAAGCTATCATGTTCTTTGAACTGTCTTTGTTGAACAAAGTAGTTCTTTCTGTTTTACCTTACCCAATTCTAACCTAATAGATTCCCCTGTGTTCTGTACAGTACACTCTCCTTTCCCCAAAACCCAGAAAGACAAAGTTACATTTTATTCCTTGTTGCCATTGAGAAGACATAGGTGCTGATGCTTTGTAGTTAATATACTGTAATAAGCAGAATATTCACTTCCAATGACCAAAGTTGTTTTTTTTAATTCAGCATCACTTGTACGTGTATAAAACCATTGCAGTAGAGAATTCACAATGTATAGTTTGCATTGTAGAAGTATGAACTTTGATATGTTTTCCATATCTGACTAGCACCTTCGGTAATTTACCATATAATTGTATGTAAAGTGACAGCAAATGTACAGAATTTGAAGCGCATTAAAGTACCGATTATATTGTTTTTCTTAGGTTAGGGTTTTTTTCAACATTGAAAAAGGTAAATACAATACACTTTAGTAACTGTCATTTGATATTTTATTTTTGTGAAAAAATAAAATGTTCGCCGAAGTTATGATTGAAAACAAGTTAAAAGGATAATTAAGAGCCAAATCACATTTCAACTAGTGTTTCAGTTTTATTCTGACACAATTTAATATCTTCAAGCCAATACAAAAACATCCAAGTAACGCCATTTATCACACGCACCAGCTTTATTTTGAAGTGTGTGACCGGAAGTGGGAAAGTCAAGGGAATTCCTACGTGACGGAACCAGGTGAAAAGTTTCGGCGGATTGCTCGCTATGTTCACAGGCGGAAGTGGAGCTGGATTAACACGAGCCTCCAACATGGGGCTGAAACAGTGCCACTCACGACTCAAACCTTTGCGTGTCAAACTCCCACAGAGGCGGTGTGACCTTTCTTTTAATCCAAATAGATCTTCCAGCTTTGTGACAGCGACCGTTTCTCCAAACATGTCGGGCTTGTCCGCTGTCAACAAATCACCGTGTGTCCGCCGCATCGTCATTCCGCCTTTGAGGAATTTTGACAAAGCGCTTTGGAGGCGATCAGAAGGGAAGATTAGGAATATTTCTGCAGTGACACAGATGCCCACAAGAGGTAACTAGATTAGTTTGGTCTCTTTGCCAAAGGTGTAAACGTAGCTGATCGTAACCGTCCATTAACTCCACTCTAAACTCGCTCATAGGCGCCACTGTCCATGTCATTTCATGGTGATTTTCTTATTTGAGTGTCAAAATAAAAGTCCTCTTTGGATATAATTAATGGATCAATGGGAGCGGCTGATTGCACCAACTAAGAAACTTGTAAAATAATAATATGGTTAAATAAAATGGTTGTGTTAAAATATGCAGGGACATACAGTGTACAATGCATGCAAGTAAATGGAAGGTAATATTTCTACAATTTTGCTGTTACGTCTTGCATAATCACATTATCATATCTTTTATTTCAGCGCTGAGTACCTCTGTGAAAGCCCCCCAGTATCTGAAAGCTGATGTACCAAAGTCTGATAGTGGGAAGCTGTTTTTTGATACCCATGCAGTTGTGCGGATTTTTGAGGAAAATGGTTTGGCTTCATTTGTCGCTTAAAAATTGTCACAATATTACTCCTATTCGTCCCAAAAAAAAAAAAACGCTCTTGACTTTCCTTGTGAATACACACTTTGGTTAAACAGGCTTCACGACTCCACAAGCTGAGGTGATGGTTGAAGTGCTGGTGAGAATGACAAACTCCAACATGAACGTCATCTATAATGACATGGTAACCAAAGTGCAGCAGGTAGGACTGTAGGGGAGGTTTGTTTTTTACCTTTAATGTAAATACAGCAAGTACCACCTGTTTGTTTGTGTAAGCTCTGTGTGGTGGATTCTCCCCCGACATCGTGCCATTTTGTTTATCTTCCACAATTCGTTTATTAACTCAAAATACATTTAATTTAATATTTGAGTATGTAGTATGTTGCAACATAGTAGCAGCGCCTGCATAGAGGTTTCTTATTCCCTCCTTTCAAATAACTGCATTGATCAGAATCAATATGTCACACATTAAAATAACATTTCTGTATTTTTATTGAAAACCTCCACTAAACTCCAGGAGGTTCCAAATATGAAGCTTTTTGTGGAGAAATTCATAGTTGAAATGATCAAATCAGTATTTTATTTTAATATTATCAATATCTGAATGGGATGCAGTAAAGTTTGGGAATCCTTTCCATTATCAGGAGGTCTGCTTGTTACTTAAAGAGAAACCATTAGTGTAACTTAGTACTTCCACCTCAGTGAGATTGAGTGTGGAATGTAGACAGAGGAGGCAAATGAAATAAATCAAGAAACATTTTTCTTTTTTTCCCAGGAGATCATGTTGCAGCGCTTGATGTCTCAAATAGCATCGGTGAAGAAGGACATGGTAATCCTGGAGAAGAGCGAGTTCACTGCTTTACTGGCAGAAAATGAGGTAAGTGGGTATATATCAGCTGACCTAAGCCTTTTCCAAAAGTTAATTGTTACACTGTCTCTGTGAATATAATAGATATATATTTAAGTTGGACAATTTAATGGTCAAATTGATAATCTGAATTAAATTAAAAAAATCTATAAAGCACAATAACAAGAATATGAATAAATGTAAGTTACTCTTGCATGAATCACTCTGTGTACTGCACTCTGTTTGTATGTATGTTATTCTATTTTGCGAAATAATGTTTGATATCTACCTTTTTGTTCCAGAAACTCAAGATCCAGCTATCTGAGATCAAGGTCACACTGATTGTAAGTGGTCATTCTGATTCACTCAAACCACTTCATATGCAGGTTGGAATGTAGAAATTTCATTTATTTTAATTTTACATTTAGAAATGACTTTCCTTTGTGTCTCTCCAATGCCATCTTGCAGGATGTCATGAATAAAGTTCGCTCTCATGCTATTATGGACATGAATTTGGAGAAAAACCGTGCAAGAGAATTAGTAAGTGTTTCATCAAATGATCAGTTGGATATCCGTGGAGGGTCTTTCGACTTTCTATTTCTCTTCTAAATTAAACACTGTTTATAATTTTCAGAAAGTAGGGCATGATAAGATGCTTCTGGAAAGGCGAGCTGAGATTCTGGAAATGGTTTGTAGTTCTGCACTACTCCCTCCTTACACTTTCTTAGCCGCTAACTTAAGCGAGCCCTGATACCTGCTAGATCTTTGATCTGATCTTTAACGTTTCTGTCTTATCTGTAATGCTCTCCTTTTTTCAGACAGCAGACCAAGATCGTCATTTAAGTCAGACCAACCTAAAAATAGACACAGAAGTGGCCGGTTTGAAAACCATGTTAGAATCTCATAAACTGGACACTATAAAATACCTCGCAGGTAGGACATTGTGCATTGTTATGTGGAATCAGAGATCATAGCATTAAGAGCATGGGCTGTCACATAATTCAATAATAAAACAGCCCTTATGTGGATTGATCTAGGTACCTATATTTTAACAAGAATCGTTATTCATTAAAAACGTTTTCAATCAAATAAGGTGCTTAAATTTGAGGCTTAACCGTAAGGACTAACTGTTTAGTCGTAGCTACAAACCTTTTGACAGGATAAAAATAAAGCAAGTTACTGTGAGTTACTTATTCGAATAGAAGAATGATGATGACATATGCTTTCTTCCTCTTTTAGGTTCAGTCTTCACCTGTCTCACGGTGGTGTTGGGTTTCTATCGTGTTTGGATGTAAGCAGGACTATGATTATGATTTTAAACTTTTAAATTTACTGAATCTAACAATAATTAGAGACCAGTTTTATGTCAGATGGTTACCATTCATCTTTCCAATCTTTTCTCAGAAGTAGAATATATATCACTCTCATTATTTTATACCCTCAGGAGGGATAACTGTACCATGGTTATTTTAGGGCTGCCAGAATGGATCTGATGAATAGAATTAAAATAAATATTCCAATTTTATTTTTTTTAACTCAAAAAAAACATTTTTTAAACTGAAGTTACATTTGAAAAATGTATTTATTTTGTATGTACAGTATATATCAAGCTGTTCAGGGAAGATCAGAAAAAAATGGGTTACAGTGACTCACAACCACTTTGGCTATATTACCGCAAATATTTAACTTGTATCTATTGTTAGACTTTGGTCTCAGAAATATTTAATGAGATTAATGTAATTTGTTATTTGAATTAAATTGTGAATAAATATATACCTTTTGCCAACAAATTAAGTGTCTCCTTTGATAATGTTGTGTAAAGATCTATTTAATGGGGCTGTTGGGAACTGGAAATGACTGTAAGGGCTCTGTAAACACACACTGATTAATCTATGTTTTAATTGATTTTGATCATATTCATAATACATAATGTTGCAACAAATGTGACTTGTGTGAACTCAGTGATCAGGAAATATATTGTAATAGTTTTCTGATTAGGTTAGGGGTGTGTCGAGGATATAAATTCGTGTTTTTTAGGTAAGTAATGCCAGGAAAACTAACCGATCATTTTGTGTTGTGAATTCTAGCTCTTATTTTGAAAAATGTCTGAACCGGAAGTATTTGTCCCAGTGGACCTCGTTAATGTTGTCTCTCACCGCCGGACACGTGTGTCGCTGTCAAATAAGCGTCTATCTGCCAGCAACTACCCAACATATATTGAATTATAAGTTTACATGTCCGTGTGTTAAAGGTAAGTTGTTAAAGCTGATTGAGGTCACTCATTTTAAACGCAGACCAGTTAAGTTAGCGGCTAAGCTAGCAGGCCAGCCCGAAGTAACAGCTAACAAGTTAATGGATGCTCCGTGTACATTTGATACGATTTCTTCTTGACAATGTCGTAAAGCGGTTTGCATTAACATTTTATTTTATCGAGCTATTCTCAAATGTAACGTCATCAATGTTGCGACAGGTATTTTGGGTTGAGTAGCGTCAAACATAATCGTGACGTTTCTCTTTCTGTTCAAGGTTAACGTTTACTTTCACTAAAGCTTCCGTTAACTCTATCCCTGTTTCGCATCTGCCCCTCTGATACGATGCGCGGTGGCTTCTTGTTTACGTTACAGGGATGTTTCCGGTCCCACGATGAGTGACGCGTTCAGCAGCAGCTCGGAAAACGTGATTCAGCGCGTGGTACACGTGACGGGGAAGATCAACGCTCCTCAGGGAGAACTTGAAGAGTTGTATCAGATCAGAAAGACTTGTGACTTCATCAATGAGCATCAATTTGAAAGGGTGAGGATTCACATTTTTTACGTTTACTCCCGTAACTGCATATTAACGCTGGTCTGTATTTTAAAAGCCACCCAATTGTTGTTTAAAAAAATGTAAATACTTGTTCACAAGGGTTCAACCGCTAATGGTCGATCTCCTGCAGAAATGCCAGATGTGTAAAATGGATTATGTGCACAGGTTGCACTGCAGTTTCCCAATGAGCTGCTGGTGGATTCCGTTGCAGTAGCAGTGGAGATTGAGAGCAACAGTAATGCCAAGCCGTTCATTTTGGGAGACACATCCTACGGCAGGTAACTCACCCGGTTTAGCTGAGAAAAGTCTTACTTGGTGTGATGTATTGTCTGCACGGTGTTGCGGCCAGTTGTTCCTTTACTGGAGTACCTGATTCTGTTATGTTGATCTGTTTATCAACATGCATGATAATATGACTTAGTACTGCGGCTTGTTGAACGCTACTGTGATTTTGAATAAGACATTTTTGCACATTCTTTCTAAAAGTGAAATGCAATGATGGCGGTGTTTGATTCCCTTGAGCAGTTGCTGTGTGGACGAGGTGGCTGCAGAACACGTCGGAGCCAACTGCATCGTGCACTACGGCAGCGCTTGCCTCAGCCCGTCTAAGAGGCTGCCACTGATGTACGTCTTTGAGCGCAGAGCGTTGGATCTGGAGAAGTGCAGCGCTGCCTTCAGAGACCTCCACCCGGACACCCAGAGTCACGTTGTCATCCTCTATGATGTCAACTACGTTCATGCTATAAGTAAGCTGTCCCTCAGAAATAATCATTCCAGTTAAGACATATTAACCACAACTTGAGTGAAGGTACAAAAACTGTAACTGACTGAATAAGTGTTTTTATCTTTCAGATGATCTTCTGACCCTCCTGCTGCCAGATTATCCAAACATTATCATTTCAGAACTAGTGGTCGAAGGAGAGCATTGTTACAGTCACGGTCGGACCAAGAGACAACATGACGACACCAGTTTGTCAGACGACAGCCAGGTTGTTTATCAGTTTGGAAGGCGGTTCACCTTGAAAGAAGGTTTAAGCATCACCGATTACAGAATGTTCTACGTAGGCCAAGAGGGAGCGACGCTGAGAAACTTCATGATGACATGGAATCGCTGCTCATTTTGCTCCTTTGACCCCATTAAAACGACAGCTAGGACAGAGTCAGTGAGTATCAACCGCGCTCTGATGAAGCGATATTACGCCATAGAAAGGGCCAAAGATGCCAGTGTGGTTGGCATCCTAGTCGGCACCCTCGGAGTGGCCGACTACCTCAGCATCATCCAGCAGTTGAAGGAGACCATCCGAGGAGCTGGCAAGAAGAGCTACGTGTTTGCCATGGGGAAGCTGAACGTGCCAAAACTAGCAAACTTCCTTGAAATTGACATTTTTGTGTTAATTGCGTGTCCCGAGAACTCCCTGCTGGACTCGAGTGAGTTCTACAAACCCGTAGTAACGCCATTTGAGATGGAGGTAGCCTGCAACAAGAAGAGGGAGTGGTCAGAGGAATACGTCACAGACTTTCGACATCTCCTGCCAGGTTGGACCAGGACGCGCGTGCATACTGCAGTGAAGGCCACAGAAGTGTCTTTCTACATCAAATTAACTCTTTTTATGCCTAACTTTGACCAGGTGGACAAAGCCATGTTCCTCTGGCCGATCGGCAGGAGGACGACGACGAGACTGACGTGTCTTTAATAACAGGAGCTTTACGAAGCCAGAATCTGTTGAGCAGCGAGCCCGAAGTGTCTTCATTCGGCTCCTCCGTGGTCCTCAGGAACCAGGCGCTGACGGTCGCCAACACGAACTCCGCTGGTATGAGGCGCTCAAAGTTGCACAAAGACACTGTTCAAATTAATTCCATAAATCTATGTTTATTGTGGAATGCTTCACACATACAATCATTTTCAAATGAAACCCAACACATTCGGTTTTCTCTTTTCTCAGCATCTTTTCTGTCGGAACGAAGCTGGCGCGGCTTAGAGAAGAAGTTGGGAGAGACGCCTGTGGTGAAGGCAGTAGAGGGCAGGAGAGGAATAGCTATTGCCTATGAAGAGGAAGGCACGTCTCCATGACATTTACCTGACAGCCACGACGATGTAACGGATTATTTAATCATATCTGCAGGCATGATGGATATTGTTTTTAATTACTGGAAGTGTAAAAAGATAAATACGTTTTCGTAAAACCATTACCAGCTTTTTTGTCTGTATTGCGTTACTGAATCCTGAATTTTAACCTATAATGACAACATGCTACATATGTCCAAATGTATTCATGATGAAAATTATTCTTAAATGGTTTTGTTGGGGGTATCCTGACCCCCCTTTAGCTTTGGCCACTAAACTGGCTCTAGTTTGTGTTTATATGGATTTATTTCATTGTCCTGCCATCGACAGGAAGTTCTTCCACAAAGGATGCAGGAAATATACCAGTTTTACCATTACATTCCCCTTCCAGCCATTCCTGGTTAACTAAAGAGAAATGAGAAATTCTGAATTAGAATCACAGTATTTGTTAAATATTTAGGCTCTATATGGCAAAAGACCAGAGTCTCACCTCTAGAGAGGAATGTGACTGTCTCGCCTTGATGAAAGTTGAGATCCTCTGGGCTTGATGACTCGTAGGAATGAAGTGCCACAAAGTAATGTGTCTCACTTTTTGGATTTCCATCAGTTTGCTGGAAACACAAATTCCAGATAAATAATCATTGAGTGTTTCGTAACTCAAGTGGAAAACCAAATCCTGCTTTGCACTTGCTTCATAATAAGTGTAACTTCTCCTGAATGAGTAAAGAAAGCTATAGTATTGTATAATATAACACAGAAAATAAAACACTTGTACACTACAATATATTGGAACAAAAATGTACTTTTCAGAAGCACCGTGAGGCCAACATGCAACACACTCACTGACCTCTTTGGTGTTGCACCACAAGGTGATGCGCAGACCAGTGGCACGACGCCACACACCTTCCATTTCTGTGCTGGGAGTGATTATACTCTCTTCCGTCGCCTCAGAGGTTAAACTAAAAATGAAAAAGATTACATTTTGCAATTTAGTCAGTAATAAAAATTAACCCGTGAGAATCTTTTTTTTTTTTTTATCCAGGCACTTTACCTCAAAGTGATTGAAGTAGACGGCAGATTGAGCTTTTTACAGATTTTCTCAACCAGTATTGCGTAGGTACATCCAGGTGGTACTGATACAGCAAAGTTGAATGTGAAGCAGACTTTGACAATGCACAAGTTGTTGGTAGACTGTTCATCCTGGCATTAATGAAAGGGCACATCGATGGTATTTATTCAACAAAAACCCCTCTAATACCTCCCACGTTGCCTCATCGTTTACAGGCGGATCGTGGGCAGGTCTGGACATTGAAATATTTCATTCGGCTTACCTTTTGTTGGGTGTCTCCACTGGCTTTACCACTGGGAGTGAGACCTTAAACACAGAGAGGAGTCGGATGAGGGTTCTGCTATTCAGCACCAATCAGAGAATGGTGCCCATCGTTACTACAGTTTGCTAAATCCATGTGTCAGATGAGTTTACCTGGTTTCCTCTCAGGTCTGGTGGGTGGTTCTTTACTTGGAGGCTGAGATCTTCCCTGCCCCTGATCGATACCATCCAAATAATGCCATTCAAAGAAGAAAGTAGATACAGATGTAATGGCGTATAGTTAACTGCAGAGTATGCTGAGAGAAGTAAAATAAGACTGATGATGGATTTAAGAAACATGTTAAAGTCTCAGAGCAAACTGCTTGAGTACGCTTTTAAAACACTAAGAAGTTATCTACAGAACAAGGACATTTCTCACCTCATTCTGTTTGGAAGCCAAGGAGATCTCCAAACGTTCAAGGTAGTTGTAAGGAACAAGTCCCCTCTATAATTGACATGATAATGATTACGACTCTGAATTGAAAGTCACATGATTAATGCAGACTGGGGGTCTTAAGCGAGACATCACACAACGTGGCCTTACTCTTTCGTTGAAGACCACGGACGCCCAGTTGTCAGCACCTTTCTGCAGTACAAACACAATATTTCCCGGCACCACAGCCAGCTCGTCGCTGGTCTCAGGAACAAACTCGTACAGGACGGTGTGGGGTTGTCCTTCCAAAGCCCTGAGAAGACATGGAATCGTGCCTGCACACTAGTCATGAGGGCTACATACTAGTGCAGTACACTAGTACAGTTCTACACAGTGATTGACCATGTTACTCTTATCAAAACATAACATTTCATATGTTTGCTGATGCTGTTTTACTTTTTTATTTGTTCTCCACTTTAAAAGCACATTTTTTTCATTTTGCACACATGTAATACAGTAATCTTTTTTTTCCTGCAACAACGTTCGAATCAAGCAATTGTAAACAAGTAATATCTTTGAATCTAAAAATGAATTAACATATTTCAAATATGTGTTCTCGGAGAGCATTGAGTTTTTAGGGCTTCAACGAGGATTGTTGTACCTCAGAACCTCGCGTTCTTTCGGGTAAGTTGGACTTTCTTCAACCTGTCAGATGTAAACAGAAACACAGCGTCAGTAGAGCTGGACACACTGTTACACAATGAGCTGATAGTAACCCAATTATTTTATAGTCTTCTTTCACCTGTGGTTGTAAGGGAGCAAATCCAGAGAAGGCATCCTGAGGAACAACCGAGGCAACAACCTGAAGGTTGGACAAGAAACGTAGGTTGTCTTTGGAAAACAGTTATTGTTTTAAGTGATATACGTTTCAGTGAATAAGACCAGCTGAACTCAGGTGACGTTTAATGCAGCTGTTATTGCATTAAATGTGCATAATGTAGTACAAGCTCACTATTGCAGTATTACCTTTGCTTTGCCAAGGTAGTCCTTCTTCTCCAGCTCAGCGACATAGTGCCTATTCGGTTTGAATAGCACCTTTGATGGGAACTCGACTGGTTTGAAAAGTTTCTGTTTCTGTTTGTGACAATGCGTTGCAACAGATATTATATTTTTCAAGTATTTTTTGAAATAGAAAATTCTGAAGAGAGCATCCATTTGAGCAATGCAAATGTAAACTGATAAAATGTACAATCATTTGCATTACAGGTCATTTAGCAGACGCTTTTATCCAAAGCGACTTACATTACACTTTAAACCCATCGCTTTTTCACATTTTTGCCTGGGGAGCAATTAGGGGTTAGGTGTCTTGCTCAGGGACACTTCAACATGGAACATGGGGCAGCCTGGACTCGAACCACCAACCTTGTGCTTCCCAGCACACCTTCTCTAACCCCTGCGCCACGACGACCCGTGGTATCAATTAGCAAATAAACTTGATGATATAGGCTTGCTATTATTAATTGTTCACTGGCATGAGAATGTGAAGCAAAGCTTCTTTAAAAAGCCTGATTTGTGGGCATCACTTTGCTCTGAAAAGTTGCCATCTCACTAAGAAAGTTAATTAACTCATTTGCTTTTACCTTAACTAACCTACCTGACAGCTGATTGCATATCATTTGTTGCCATAAATGTGCTCACATTTAGATATATTGAATAACTGAACAAAATATCTTAGTAGCTCAAATCCCACGATCTTGAAACGGGTGAGGAGTATTGTATTATTATTATTTATTGTATGTCAACTGACCAGTGCAGAATCCAGAGCTCTGTCGATAATATTGAGCTTGGTATCAATCTTGTAGTCAAGAGCCTTCACAAGGTTTTCGTGGGCTTTTTCCCATTTACCCAGATGAGCCTCACACAGAGCCACATTGAGGAGAACCTGTGGAAGGAAACATCGATATCGTGTTAGACGCCCGACACTGTTTTAATTCAATAGCCATCTTCAAACCGTGCGTCATTCAGGAGCGAAAGTGTGTAAAACTGTACTTTGAAGAATGGCAACAGTGTCAAACAAAAACAGACTCAAACTGATTTGGAAACATTGGTTTTTCACATTAAAATTTGCCATGGGGGGCAGATTAAAAAACAAATGTACTGTAGTACTACATGCGTAGTGCTTGACAGTAGTAGTCTGCATAAAGAAGAATAGTCTACATTACATAATAATGATGCTTCACAAGAACATTTGAAAGGAATTGGATGCTTCTGAATGCTTACCTCACATGCAAATAGTTTGTATCTGAGACCCAGTGCTTTGTAATCGATCAGTTGGTTGCCTCTTAGAGTTCTGAAGGCATGCTGGAAATCAGCTAAACTCTCCTCATACCTTTGAAAATAAAAACGCTTTTTATTCATTTATTTTGTGCAATGAACCACGGATAATATATATATATTTTTTTTAACTAGAATTTAAAAGACTAAGAGTAGTGGCTGAAATTTAAATGTTTTATGAACTTTAAGCATACTAGGTTATGTATTCTTTGAACTATAGACGACTTGCCTCTGCTTTCTGTAAAACGTCATTCCTCTCTGAAAGAAGGCAACAGCCAGATGTTCATCCTTGCCTATGCTGCAATCAAACGCCTGTGAAACAACAAGAAAACACAGTAACTTCCTCTCGAAGAAAAGAGAAACGGTTAACTTCACTTCTTCTTTCTCAGTGACTCGTATTTTCCGACTCCAAATATATTTCAGGTTCATCAGCTGCATACAAACTTGACAAAACTCTTTTAAGTAAACAAACTTGATTATTGTTTGAATATTTCACCATGCGTTTCAACATGTCAGACATACCTTTTCAGCAGCATCCAGGTCATTGTTAAGAAGATGGAGACAGCCAATGTCAAAATAGATTTTGGAGTTTGGCTCCTGGATGGCCAGAAAAATGGCGAGAGCCTCGGTCAAATCCTGTCTGTCAACGCAAGTTACAGCATTGTCCCACTGGCGCAAAGTGTCCACAAAGGACATGTTGCTGGTCTGAAGTGCACTGAGCTGTGAACCCAATAAGGGAAGTTCTTGTGATTTGTACTTGCTGGCTCAGGAAGTGCGATGAAGTGCGAAGTGTCACAGTTGGTATATCTGCACCTGCGCCACCACCACATTTGAAGGCCCAATGGCTGTTGTGATATGTGTATATGTATATATGTATACATACATATATATACACATATTTGAGTGTCATTATTAGTACACAGATAGTGGTATGCAAATTGGAATTGCATGGTCAAACTTTTCCAATGTAAATTATGCTTTTATTTTGCTTTTTAAGAACAAAACCGGATTTCCGTTATTCACCGGGTTAACTTTGGAGCAGTTTCCCTGATGCAGTCCCTGCGAGCTGAAAAAGAACATGTCTCTGCTACACAATGAGACCACGGACCCCAATGATACGAAGGCAAACGCGGAGAGAAATATGCAACAATTGATAAGCAACCTGCAAAACGTGAGCGCGTAGATGGCGCGCGGACGCGCCGTCGGGCTAGCTCCGTGTAGCCCTTTGTGACCGTGTTTACACATTGTCAGCTAGCTCCACAGTTGGCTAACTCAAGCTAGCAAAATGGACCTTGGAACAATGTTGTACAACAATTTAAAAGAAGTTACATGGAGCACCACGTCTTTGCCATTAGATCAACTTGTCAGTAGTTATAGGTTGCCTCAAATTGCCAAGTTGGATAACGGTTAGTAACTTGCTCTATTGAAAGTTTTCTTGTGCTAGCTACTAAACTGCTACTTAGCAGCTAAGATAGACTAACTAACAAACTAACCAAGCCAACTTTTAGCAGCTGATTTTGTCAGTATATACTATTAATATCCAACGAAAGTGTCAAGTTCGCATAAAAGATGGACTTTTTTGAAACCATTAGGGTTGCGTCACTGCATTTCGACACTCATCTGTCGTGGGAATCTCAGCAAATAATCCTGTTTGCTCGGTGTCATTCCACCTTCCCTCACTTCTTAGCCGGTAAAGTCACATTTAAACCAACAACGGTTTGAATAGCACTTAAAGTCAGGGACGTCGTATTAAGGAAACTGAAGGCTGATAGTTGTGAAACTGCTTGAAAAAATGTTTATCCAATTTAACTGTAAAGGCACCTGTGATTCCTTTTAAAATAAATAATCAGACATACATGACAACTCATGGTGGATAAATTGACGCTGCATACACTGTTTCTGTCACATTGATGCGTTTGCCATCGTCCATGGAGGATGGGATCTGAGTGTCTGAGCAGAGCAGCCTGCGAGGCTCACAAGCGGTATTAAAAAAGAGGAGAGTAATCATGACATTCCCCAGGATACTGACTTCATTGTGTGGGATAATCATTTGTTTCTGCAATCACTCACACTAATCCGGCCAATTCATACAATTGCTGAAACACAATGATTAGATATTTTACAACATCAATAATCCCTAAACCACCAGTATCTTACAGCATCATACTTTATATTCTATCGTTTTACTAACTAATGACAATGTGTTTTCATGAAAGTTGAGATTCTAATAGTGCAAATGGGCCGTTGAGTACATCAGACGTTGCTCTGACAGTTATGTTTAGCGATGTAGTATTTGGTGTTTTCTCTGCAATACCTTGTGTTTCAATATGTATTTAACGTGTGTGTTCTCCCTGTTGCTTTCATTCCTCCAGGCCAGTTGGTTGAAGGGCTCAGAGACAACGACTACCTTTTAATTCATTCCTGTCGTCAGTGGACGACTATTACTGCTCACAGTCTGGAAGAGGGTCACTATGTCATCGGCCCCAAAATAGAGATACCAGTACACTATGAAGGTGAGCTACATCTGCAAGGATGCTCAATGCTCTTGACGTAACAAAACAAATAAAAAACGCATTACGCTTCAACGGATAACTTGGGGTTTGAATCGGGGGGCTGCTCTAATAATTATTGATGTATTTGAGCTTTATCCCACGGCTCTATAAAATACAGAAGACATTTTTGGTGTATCATAATGGCACAATGTGAAGCTTTACTCTTTTAATCGTTTTATTGATACTTGCACTGAAACACAGTATCTCTGCTTGATCCCGTGATTTGCATTGAATACTCGTCTCTTGCTTCAGGTCAGTTTAAGTTACTGGAGCAGGACAGAGATGTCAAGGAGCCTGTGCAGTACTTCAACAGCGTGGAGGAGGTGGCCAAAGCATTCCCTGAAAGGGTATACGTCATGGAAGAAATCATCTTCAATGTTAAGGTAAGTCACATTTTTTATAGGGATTATTATCATTGGTTCTGGATTCTGTATCGTTAATAACAATTTGGACTAATCATACTATGTAATATACTTCAAACTGACAAACTCACATTTGATAAGCGGCAAATGACCCAGTGCATAATTAAACTAATTTGTTTGTTTTGCATAAATGAGTTACAGAATATATACAGCCATTTCTTATTGGGGTAACATAATGTACTTCTTCATTAAAAAGGGTTGGGGTTAGCTCACCTTCATTTCTTCAGTACTTATCCTGTCTTTTCACAGATGGCTTCAGGGGAATGCAATGAAGATACTGAAGTTTACAACATAACACTAAGCACCGGTGATGAACTGACATTAATGGGCCAGGCGGAGATCCTATACGCCAAGACTTCCAAAGAAAAGTCTAGGTTCAACACAATTTTTAAGAGGTTCGGGAAGCTAAACTCCATCAGCAAGATCGGTCGAGGCAAGATGCCCTGCTTGATCTGCATGAACCATCGCACCAACGAGAGCATCAGCCTGCCTTTCCAGTGCAAAGGCCGGTTCAGCACCTGCAGTCCGCTGGAGCTTCAGATGCAGGACGGCGAGCACATCATCAGGAACATCGTGGAGAAAACCCGCCTCCCTGTCAACGTCACAGTACCCAGCAGTCCACCCCGCAACCAGCATGACCTCCACCTCATCCGGGAGGGTCATCGCTACAAATTGGTCAACATTCAGACAAAGACTGTGGTTGTGTGCTGCGTTCTGCGAAGCAACAAAATTATCCCCGTCCACTTTCCCTTTCACTTGGCAATGCCCAGAGTTATTATTCCAGAAGAGCTGCTGCAAGGAGAGTTGTGGCTCGACACCATGGTGCATCGCTGGTTCTCCTTCTGCCAGGAGCAGTTTGACATCGACGACTATTCTCGCGCCGTCCGGGACGTGCGGACCGACTGGAACGACGACGGGAAGAGCCCCAAGAAAGGCAACGGCAGCTGCAGCGGGGGCAGCGGCAGCTCCAGCGGTTGTCTCAACCACACGCAGATTCCCAGCTCCTTAACCTACGCCCGGGATGAGCTCACCCAGTCCTTCCACCGACTGTCTGTGTGTGTGTACGGCAGCAACCTGCACGGTAACAGCGAGGTCAATTTGCAGGGCTGCATGACGCTGTGCGGGGATTGGGCTCTTCTCCCCTCTGACAGCATCCCTGCAGACGCAGGAGAAAGTGAACACTTTTCCCCCGAACCGATGGACAGCCCAAGCCAACAGCCCACCCAGAACAGGTCAGACGTTCCCTATGAGGAGCTGTGGTTGGATCATCTGAGGAGTCAGACCGCCAAACCGTCTGCAGGCGAGGGGACTCGAGGCACCAACAGTGGCGGCGGTACTACAGCAGCGCTGTCTTACCAAGTGACTTGTCCTATGGGTGCAACACCCAGTTTAGATGTGTCTCTTACTCCACCACCGGTTCCACCCAAGTCTGAAGCTGTAAGTATAATCTCTCCTATTTAAGGTTGAAATCCTTTAGACTGATTCAGTGATTCCCAGCGTTGCTGTGGTAACGGAAAGTGCAGTTAAGACAACAGTAGCTTCTTTGTTCGAATTGGAACCGAGACAATTTGTTTAGATTACAGTACAACTATAAAAAATGCCATTTTCTTTTAAAGAAGTCATTCAAAAAAATATAATTAAAAATCAAGTATTTTTCCACTCTACAGGCGGTTAAATTGCTGAGTATGTGCAGCCTGTCGCCTGCTCTCTTCAGGTTCACAGAAAAAAGTCTTTTGAATTTGCTTTCAGTTTCAAAGTCGGTTCATTTCCTTTTTAGGTGAAAGAAGAATGCCGTCTTTTGAATGCCCCACCGATTCCTCCAAGAAGTTTAAAGCAGATGCCCTCTGTGCCCATCCTGTCCAAAGCACAGCAGCAGGAGACTCGGTCTCCAAGTCCGACTCTCTCCTACTACTCCTCAGGTCTCCATAACATGTAAGAATGGGCAACGTCTCCTTGCAAGCATTTGACATCAATTACACCCAAATTAAAAATATGAATAACAAACACAGGGCATTTCATATTTCTGGAGAACAATTTTGTATTGTTTTAATTTATTTTATTCAGCTTCTTCTTGAAGGTCCCCCAAGATCCTTTTTAATATTTTCAAATATTTGTCTTTAGCCCACATTGTTTTCTTTACCCCGTAACAGATGTAAAACGTCACGTTTTTAGTTGAAATCTTAGCTGAAATACGATCAACTTGTGTGTATTTAAAGTCGCTCCCATACCACACATTAATCTGATACCTTTTTCATCAGTAGTGGAGCATCTGAGCCGGAAGAGCCGGAGCTAAAAGTGTGCTACCCTTGTAACTGGGTGAGGTCCGACAGCACTGAGCCCAGCGCTCCGTTGCCCAGTGGCAGCCTGCCTTCGGAGGGGATGTCCTCCAGGTTGTCTTGGCCAAATCATTTCAGTGGAGGACAGTCGCGCAGCATGGAGGAATTTCAACCAGCCAGCGGCCGCAGCTACTACAGTTACCCCAGGAAAAGATCCACAAAGACCTGTACGACCAGCCTGGTTGACTTTGATGGCCGAGAGCGCGCGCACGGCAGCGAGGACTTCAGGTCGCAGAAAGCGCCCCTGAATCAGTTCTGCGCCAAATCCTCAAGTTACAATGCCGAAATGTATCGGAACAAGCCGATAGAAGAATCTAACACCAAGCAGAGCCTCTCTTGCCCCAGCTTACCCCCGAGGACACCCAAGTCCAACGCCGCGCAGAAGAGCGCAGATTTACTGTGCGACGCCATCTGTGACAGCGAGCGGGAAGCCTCCGGTGTCCCACTTACTCCACATGAGCGCGGCACCAAGGACTCATTAACTCCCCCTTCGCCCCCCACTGCGCCGTGGCAGCCCCCGTCCAGTCTGGCCGGCCTTTCGATTGAGGAGGTGTCCAAATCTCTAAGATTCATTGGCCTGCCGGAAGACGTTGTTTCCCTTTTTGTGTCTGAGAAGATCGATGGGAATTTGCTCCTGCAGCTCACTGAGGAGATTTTGTCAGAGGACTTCAAGCTGAGTAAACTGCAGGTAAAGAAGCTCATGCAGTTCATAAATGGGTGGAGGCCCAAGATATAACTAACAGTATGTGACACTAAGTTCTGTTATGAAGCAGAGAGTCATGCTTTCAGTATACATGCTATGCACACCAAACCACAGAGAGTTTTTTTTTGTGGAATATGAATTCACGTTACTATATTGTGGGTAAAGACTGTGATGGCTATTTACTAACTGAATGAAACCATTAGGCACTGTTCAGGTTAAATACACAGTACTTCTCTTCCCACAGCCTGCTAGTAGTCATGTTGTCACATGAATCCTAATCCAAGCCATCAAATGTCAATACAAACACAAACACGTGATGTGAGATTTGCTTAATAAGGACGTTGTACTACTCAGTCTTTGAAGTGGAATATCACAATATTAATCACAAGCTGTTTCCAGGGTTTCCAAGAGAGCACAGAGGTTGTACTATAGTTTGTGTTGCCTCTTTACTATATGAAGAAACCATGTAAAAACATGTAGTTGATTCACAGTTGGACATTGGTTGAATTTGCTAACCATAAAAGAAAGCTTGCCTTCCAAACTTTTAATTCCATGTGCGGTCAGTGACAAATGAAGGGTGCACAGTTTTTATGAGGTCACAGGTTTGAAGGAGAATTTTGTTGCAAGTGCATTTCCAAACATCAACAAAAATGTAATTTACCACATTTAAGTGAGCCTACTCTTTCCTGGAAATACAGGAATACAAAACACTTTTGCTCTTTTAAAAGATCTGCCCCTGCTGTTCAAACGTATGAACACTCCTCATGCAAGGTCTTATTTCCATTTGGATGCTTTTTTAAATATAAAATGGAATTCATCTATTGCTAATGCATTGAATTCCAACGTCTCGCCTACAAAAAAAAAAACATTTTAGAGATTATTTATTACAAACTGGTTTATCGAGATAATATTGTTTTTTGGAATTAACCAAAGGAGTTGATGGACAATGACATTCTACTTAAATTATAGATCATGCACCATGCACTTTGGTGGATTTCAGCCTTAATAGTTGCAATTAAGGTCATTAAATACAGACTTATAGAAGTGTCTACGAAGACCGAATGTACTCTCCCCTTTAAAAAAAACCGTATAAAGGTACTTCTCCTTTGTTCTCAGTGAATGAATATTGTTCGCTAATGCTAAAAACTATTAAAAGATAGCTTATCTGCGCCTTAACCCATAGACCTTAACATATATAATATTTCACTTTGGCCTAACATTTTTTTAATCCTGAGAATATACTCGTATAACATAAACGTCTCCACATGAACATGGGGGAATAAAGTCAGGCGTGTGTAGAGCCGTGTCAGCTCAAATTGAAAATAATCTGCTTGAATGAAATATTGGTTTCTATTGGTACATTGGTACAACATTTTCTCCATATCCTTGAATCGGTTGATTTATTTATGCAGTATTGAACATTATGCAGGATGGTTGTTTTCAGATTGTTGCTGTGGCTCATGTATGACGTTGCCTCAGCGACAACAACCTTTCTGGGACTAATCTGTTGAGCAACAGCTGGTTTCTTCATGACCATTTTTGCAATGGGTTGTTACATATTTTACTTTATATATTTTTAATGTAAATGGCAATTTAATGTGACTTTTTTTTTTAAGAAAGTGAACTAATGTTGATATAAGTGAAAAAAGCATATGTTCAAATATCTTGTTAGAAAAATGTTCTATGCGGCTTGGTTTCTACTCGGTTTAGAAAATCCTTTAATTCAAATAACATCTGCCTGTGAGGTAAGTAAAGCCATGCAAGTCCTCAGTCACACTACATACACACTGCGCATAAAGGAATAACATTCATGTGTCCTTGTACCTTTGTCCCAGTGTCCACGTTTTTATGGAGAATTTGTATCCCTCAACAATGTTTTTATATGTTGATTATTGTCCTATGCAGTAGACAAGGAATCCAAAGTGACCATTTGAAAGAACAGCTAAGCAAGTGGGTGGTAAGGAAGTATTATGCATATTGAAACAACAAATAGAAAAACGCTGCTTGCCAAAATAATTATGTTTTTCTTTTTTTTTTTTTACATGGATACCTCTGAAATATAACTGTGAACACACTAAAACAACATCAACTGACCCGGTCCCATGAATACATCATCGCCAAGCAGTTAACACTCAATGATGCCTGTCAACTCACATTACGAATTAGCATCTGTGCAGAGGAGTGAAATCACTGACACTGGGTTCGATGGCATTATTGGTGACATTATGGCCAACGATTTTTCAATTAACTTTTGTTTCCCTGTTTTTGATTGTATTAAAAAACGAATTAACTGTTTGTTTTATCTTTTCTATTTCTTCTATAGTTGCCGTTTATAAAATCAAGAAGTTTAATATTTTGCATTCCTTCAGTTGCACGACGTCATACAAAACCTGGAGGATGAGGTCGGTACGTCAGCAAAACGGAATTTGTTGAAAAAGGGTGATTGTGTTATCTTTCATAATACTATTTTGTATAATGTAATGTGTAAATATAATGAACTAAAGAAAATAGCTAACAAATGCCGCTCCGTGGGAATTTCTTTTTTAAAGTTATTTTAAAGAGCACACATGATCTGTGCATCTTTACTCTTGATTGATTGATTTCTATACAGTTGCTTTCCAAATGGCGCTAGAAATATTGCAAAACTGGTGAGCAAAAAAGCGGAGGTTTGCTGGGTTTAAGTAACACGTTGCAGCATTTGGGGAACCAGTAAGTGTTTCATCAGTTCTGCTTGAGTGAGACCTTGTGGTTTCCGTCCCCTGTCTTACATCAGGCAGGTTGACGTCTGAGAGAACTGCAGTTCTTAAAACTTTCCCAAACGGTTGAGGCTGAAGCCGTAATTATTATGACTTTTTAAAAGCCCCAGTGTTAACATCCATGAGAACATGCGTCAAGTACTAACACCTAATACTTTATAGTGAAGGTTCTGTTTACAGAGGTAAAAAAGTCAAATAACTTGACTTTTAGTCTACAGTGGTAAAATGGTGTGGCGGTCAGCACTTGAATCTGCCCTGTGGCCTTTCTGTCTGCATGTCCTCCCCGTGTCGGCGTGGGTTCTACGGCTTTTTTTTCCGCTTTGTTTAAAGTTTTTAAGTGCCATTTTTGTACTGACATAAGCACTTGTGGATTTAAAGAACATTAATAAACACATTTATTCACTATGTTTTGGCCAACAGATGTCCCAGGAGACTAAAACATTGAACATATCTATTTAAAGGTTGCATTTACACATTTAACACCATAAACTACTGGCCAGTTTTGTAAGTTTTCTGTAAGTTTTTATACTATTACTACAAATGTTAGTAGACTCACTTAGAAAAAGAAAAATCACTCTAAGCCACTTTAAAGTTCTTTAATTTTTATTAATACAAAACAGCACATCTGATATGATCCTGTAGCCTAGAAACCTGGATCTAAATGTTTCTGATGTGAGAAAAAACTGAGGTGGCACAAACACAAAGTGGATAATAATGAATACTACTGATATTACATCACATACGATAAACATAAAAACATTTAAAATCTAATAATAGCACATGATGATATATGAACAGCACTGTCTTTAGAATACTGCTCTATTTAGAGCTGTGGGACTTTTGTTTGTACTAATTTGATAAACACAAACCTCAGTGTGTCTAAAGTATAAAATGATTGCTAAAACTACCTGGGCTGTGAACGGTGAAGATAATAATAATAAATAATAAAACCCAGCAAAGAGAAAACGCACACACAACACATACTCATACATTAAATTACATTACATTCCGAAGAGGTGGGTTTTGATTTGTGTTTTGAGTTTGGGGAGAGTGTTGCAGAGGGAGGGGGCAGCGATGGAGAAGGCTCTGTCACCCCATGTTTGGTGGTGGTGAAGGTGATGGTGGAGCAGGTCGGTGAAGTAGGGGGCCTGATTATGGAGGGCTTTGTGAGTGAGGAGAAGGATTTTGTATTGGATGTGTTGCATTCGTTACATTTTCTCAGGATTCCTTTTCCACATAAACTGACAGATGAAGCGTGTTATATTTGTAAAAAGCATCTTTTTTTCCAGAGCTTGTGAGCGAAATTTCCACGATAACTCAAATAAATGCCACGTCAAATATCAAACACATTTGGGGGGGTTGATGACAGAGAGAGTAATTCTTATTCTTAAATATTGATAAATGAAGAAAAAATTGGGCTCCAGCAGGGCAAAAGGGCAGGTGCTTCAGCACTATTAGGGGTCTATCTGTGCGCGTGCCTGACCTGCGCATACAGCGTGTCCTCCTGCTGTCCACCGTTCTGCTCCAAGACCGAGGACGGTCCAGGTCCGAGCCTCGAGAAGTTAATCTCTCCATAGTGGACGTCTCCTTCTTCTGTTGTCACTGTCTCTTCAACGGTGTGATTCTGTATAAAAGAATAAATTAAGCAAACAGGAAGTGATTGTGAAAGCCGCTTGCTTCCAAATAATTACAAAACCACACTGAGTTGTTTGGTGTGTTCTCACCTGACTCTGATGTGCAGTTAGATGTGGAGACTTCAAACGCCTGCAAGACAAAATATTGGGTCTAATACACAGAATACCAAAAAAAGAGCACATTTCATTGGAGACACATTCTTTACTGATGCTACTGACCAAACAAAGACAACCAGGCCAATGAGCACGATGATCCCAATGATTCCTCCAAGAACTGCACCCAATAGTGGATAATTAACGTCACCTCAAGACAAGATGAAAAAAACAAGAGACTAAATAAAGACACTATGGGAATGTAACAATATTGATTGCTGAAGTACCTTTATTAGTTACCTCCTATAGTCAAATGGACCTCTGAGGATGTTTGATCACCAAGCTGATTGGTGGCCACACAGTAATAAACTCCTCCATCAGTGACATTGAAGCTGTAAAAGTCTCCTTCAGATACTTTGATTGGTGCATCTCTGCTGGTCTTGAACCAGGTGAAGTTGCTCACAGGGGGTTTGGCTCTGCTGGAGCAGGTCAGGTTCACCCGGCTACCTGCTGACACCCGACCTGATGGACTGATGGACGCTGAGGTGTCCTTGGGAGCATCTGAGGAAAATGTGACATTAAAACTTTATGCAGCTGACATTGTGTGAACACATGAATCATCGTATGCTGACAGGATCAAAGAACAAACACTCACATGAAACATTGAGAGTCTTTCTCTCCTCTGACGTCTTTACATCTTTTCCTTCATTCACAGGATATCTGGCAGAACAGCTGATGATGAATCCATCATGTTCATGTGACAGAGTGACGCTCTTCTGTATTCTAGTTGTGAAGGTTCGATCTGTGTTTTCCTCCATCATGTGGTGAGAGTCTGGTTGGAGGTTCCAGGTGAGTTGAGGAGGAGAGTGTGGACAGGGAGTGGAAGCTGAGCAGCTTATAGAGACAGACTCCTTCTCCTTCACAGCACCTGAGATCTCAATCCTGGGCTTTGGAGGAGAATCTGTGGTTTCAAATCAAACACAGATTGTACACTGAAAAAAAGAACAACAAGACTTGAGTCTACAGTCTATGATGAAAGTAATTTTCTATGTTTGAGAGCAAAATATAGTATTATATCATACATTAATATTATTCTTTTTTGTTGATTAAATAATGTGTTCTTTGTGTTCTGTGGCCTTCTAGTGTTTTTTCTGATGTTTCTGAGTTGTTCCCAACATTTACCCCTCTGAACTTCTCACATGGCTTCATTTAATTAATTCCACTACTTCATAATGAAGCAAACCTTTTTCTCCTTTCCCACAAATCACCTCATGACCCCTCAGATTTAACTAGTGACCCTCTGTAGGGAAAATAAAATGTCAACTATCACTATTAACGTTGTCAAAGCGCTGATGGTATTTAGTCAGAAAAGAGGAACTTTTGAGTCTTCCCCTTTTTCAGGCGTTAAATGCAAAGGTCGCCCCGTACAGGCGGCTTTCTCATGGGATTATTAATAGTAGTGAACATAAAAATCCATTCATATCCAGCAAGTGTAAACATTTCATTCCTGTGTCGATGCTGATGTGTTGGTGTAGATATTTATTTTCACATTAAAAGTTGTCTTCTACTTGCTTCTACTTTCATTCTGACTAATAGCATCATATATTGTTTCATGAAAAACCATAGTCTCTTACCGTTAACTGTTATTTGAAGAGGATCACAAGCAGCTGTTGCTAGAAATGGCCGGTTCTCAACCCTGAAGTAGTATGTGTCTGTGTATGTTGTGTTTAAACTGGAAAATAAAGTGGAGCAGTTTTTCTGACTCAAGTTTCCGGTAAAATTCATCGGATATGTGGTAACTGTCCTGCTACTGTTGAAAATCACATTATTTGGATAAAGGCCAAAGCGAGAGTCAATTTTGATCCACACTCCAAATGTTGTTGTTGCGCTGTTGAATTCCTCTTCTGATTTAGCGCTGAAGTTACATGGAATTTGCAAACAAGATCCAGTCAGTGCTTCCATCTCTTTTGGTGCAGTGATGAATAGAGCTGAAACCTCAGAACAAGCAGCAGAAGAACCTGTGAAACAAACTAATGATAAACAGTTGTGATTAAAATGACAATAACAATGACAATGAACACAAAGAGAAATATACTTCAGCAGTAATGTTTTGTGTTGTGTTCTTTTTTTCCCTGAACAGTTTTTGTGTTGATTCATCTTTTTGGTTTTACAACTTTCCCCCACAAGGCCGAGCCCAGTGGGACCAAACCCGTCTCTGTCTCCAAATAACTACGTCACTTTTATCTCCGTGATAAAAGAGCTCAGGAGGAAAACACAGATTGTAACATTCACATGAATTTAGGTTGAAATGATATTTTCCAAACAGTAAATGATTGAAGTGAAACACAAGTGAGTGAAGATGAAGCTCACCTGAGAGGAAGAAGACACTGTGCAACACGATGGCTGTCACCATCCTAACAGACTGGTCGGCCATGACACTCACCACCTGATTCACAAACACAACATCAGTGTTCTAGGAAGCGTTCAACATGCTGTGTGCAACCACAAGTTCCTGTGTGTGAAGAGACCACAGCTCACAAGTCTGTGGACGAGTACGACTCTGAGTGTTGGATGAGAATAAAACTAGGAATGTCTCCCTCTTACCAAAGAAGCCCACGTCCATAACAGAGGGACAATTAGATCAAGTGCAGGTCTTTGTTTTAGCAGAGTTCTCCCCTTAACTGCTCATATCCGTGAGTCTATATCATCTTTATGTATCACACACATCACAATAATAATAATGTAGCATTAACAGTCAGTGACTTGAGTTTAGTCACTGTGAATAACTGAGTCTCTGTTGCTCTGCATTACAGGACTGATGAACCTCACATACCTGTATTGTTGACTTACCCCGATAGCTAAAACATTTCCTCATTTATTGTTTCGACTTCCTCTTCATCTCTAATATCTATTCAAATCTTGCAAATTCTCTTTGCATTGATAGAACAGGCAATTAGTACAATTGTTAATAATAATAATAATAATTAGAAAATAAGTTGTAACTTGATGATATTTCAATAAAAAATACATTTCTTCTACGTTTTGCTGATAAAATGATGGATTGAAGGTGACATTAACTTACATTGAGTGAGTGTTTCTTCTTCAGTGCAGTCTGCTGTCTGACAAGTTCAATGCAGAAGTCACAGGTCTTTGAGAGGAAGGAGGAGGAACTGGGAGGTGGAGACAAATGTCACTGCTGGTGTTCCTGCAAATGGCAAAACAAAAAAACGATAATTTACACTTTATTGTACTAAAACCCCTACAAAAACCTTCAAAAATTACCACAACCTCCATTAATTCACCAGCCAATGAAAAAATTAAAGTCTTCGAACTGACTTTAACTTTGGATTTAACCTTTTTTATGTGGACCTTTGGAATGCATTGAATACTTTTTCATTTTAAAGTCTGATAGATTTGTCTATCATATATAGGCTAATAATAGATAATAACGTACAAATAAAGTACAAATACTTCGTTACTGTACTTAAGTAGAAATTTTGGTATATACTTTACTGGAGTATTTATTTTTCAGACGACGTTTTACGCAAATATCTGTACTTTCTACTCCTTACATTTTAAAAACAGCCTCGTTACTTCCGGCTTGTCGTAGTAATAAAACACAAAAAACTAGATAAATGGCGCTATGCGGACGGAGTGAATGTGATTGTGTTTGGATGAGAAGTATAAACATTTAGCATCCAGACACCCGATTGGTTTTCTCCGCGATGCGCCGGCAGATCGGAGCGACACCGGGTGGGAAAAGTGGTCTTTGGAAAGTTGGTATTTAGCGACATGGACCCTCCTCCTCTTCCTCCTCCTCTTCCTCACGCATATTTTATGTAACGTTAAATGAGTTTCTTCATGACCGTGGCTTTGTCCTAAATGTTTTATTGAGAGTCTGGCACAACACAGCGACTTGCACGCAGCGTATTAAATAAAGTGATTAATGCGGCTTTGGAAATGAACATAAAGGGATTCTGTATTTGCTCATGAAGCCTGAACATACTGTTTTTTTGGCCAATGTTTTGATAACCGACCGCTGACAGTTCAGAGTTTCCCATCATTACAAACAGGGGTGCGCCCCCCCATGACGTAGTAAACCTGGGGGAGACAGTCTACCTAATCAATGTGTGTCCGTCCTCTGACTCATGTCACTGGAAAATGGGTTGCGGTTTTATCTGTTTAAGTCAGATACATTTGTTGTTTTGTTGTGTCTCTGAATGTCGCCATGTTTCCACCATCCCAACGGCAGGTCACGTGATCTGCAGGCACCTTCTGATCACATTGTAACGGACTGACGTGTTGTGTGAGCGAGGTTATGCATTAAGAGTTTGTCCTTAATGGGATTTCTTACATTACTTTTACTTTTATACTTTAAGTAGTTTTGAAACCAGTACTTTTATACTTTTACTTAAGTAAAAAGCTTGAGTTGGTACTTCAACTTCTACAGGAAGTAATGAGTAATACATGTGAATACTTTTGACACCTCTGAGAGAGATGTCTTGGCTTCAGTAAATGTTGTATAAATTTTCTGCAAAAATGACAGGACTGATGAGTGTCCTTAGCATTTTGACCCAGAGCAGATAAACCTTATATGTTTTTAAAAACATAGAGGAACCTCCAGTGCCACCTACAGGATGAACGTTTTTTTGTAAATTTGCATTCAAGAAAAGCATTTCATTTGCTACACGCATCCAAGTGTTTCATGAACATTACAACCGTACAATCGGCATGTCCTTAAATCTTTAGTTGTGTGTGTGGAGAAAGCAGGATTTCTTTCTGTTTTACAGACCCAACTTAAAGCTTAATTACCTCATGAAATACGTATTATTCCGAAAGTGTTTACAATGCATCTTGTGTGATCATCTTCTTAGTTCCCTGCCCTTTGATGGTTCCTCAGAAATCATGGACATGTGGCAGTGCTTTAATCTAAACATGGACCCATTTAAAATTCTATGTTTTACAGAGTTCACTATTTCGAGAGCTTCACATGACCTTGACATGAAGTTGAACCAAATAACTCTCCCCAAACAAAATTGTTCCATGAGATGGAACCCACTGTTAACCTTTCCTGCCTGTCTGCCTCTGACCGTAGTTGGAGATTGCAGGGGAGACTTCGTTCTATGCTAACGCCAAAGCATTGCCTGTTCGTAACTTTGGGGTTAATCTCCTTTCCTTTCCTTTGGACGCACAGCTAATGCAGGTTTGACACCTCTCTCATTCTGTACCAGTGCCATCTAGTCTGGAGCTGTGCCACTGTGCGCTCAACTCCACAAATGTCCACCGATTGGTCCGTCATGCACAGGGTAGCACAATTTGTAGATAATACTCAATGTCATGGAGACAATTGAACCGTCTGACCAGGACGCCACCTCGGATTTTGAGCCGTCACCATTGGCTCCAGTTTGTCTTTGTGGCTGGACTGTATGAGGCAACAGTAGTCCACGTTGGCCATTCTGTGATCAGTGCGCACAGTAAAATGACATCCCAGGAGGTACTGTCTGAAATGTGATGTGAACTCAACTACGGCTAGCAGTTCTCGCCATGTGGTACAACAATTGGACAATTTAGGGCTCCCATATGCCAATAAGCACGCTCTAATCTGCTGAACTTGGGACAGCACGGCACCAATGATGGTGTTGGTTGCTTCAGTGTCCAGTATTATGTTTCCCTCATCCAATGGGTAGCCCAGGACTGGTGTGGTGGTTAGCCTTTGTTTTAGCTCATCAAACGTCTCTGGCGTCAGAAGGCATTCTGAGGTCCACTGGAACCGGGCATACTTCTTGGTGAGGTTGTGGATTGTCGATAGTACGAGGCCAGACCAATGAACTGACGGACCTCCTGGATGGACGTAGACGTAGGCCAATCCTGCACTTTCTGTATTTTAGCAGGGTCTGTGGTCACTCCTTGCTCTGAGACAACGTGGCCTGGATAGGCCACCTGACGGCAGAAAAGAAAGCATTTCGCAGGCTTCAATTCAATAGGTTGGCATTGTGCAGCCTATACAAGGTTTAACCAAGAATGAAACATGTCACCAGTTTAATTCTGGTTGTTGTTGTTTTAGATGTCAAATAAGTTGGAGCCGATCTACCTGCTCAGGTGGAGGCGGAGCTTAAGGAGCTGGAGAAGAAAGTGCACAAGTAGAAGATCAACCGGAAACAGGTCGGTGGTCACTGAAGACTCAGGATGCAGATTGTTAAGGTGCACTTAGGACTCACTGACTGGGTTTACAAACACACACACACACACACACACACACACACACAGCTTAGCCCCCTAATCACACATTATTGGTTTCATTCATCTTAACTTAAACCCCGAGTTCTGAGGACCAGGTTGAGATTTGCCTTAGAAACATCCCACTCCTATTTGGTTTCCACAACATAGTTTGTTTGAGAGTTCTATTAATCGCTGCTCAGTCAAAGATGTTTATGTTATTTTAACTGTTGGAGCTTTCTATTTATCCGATCATTGAAATTCAATTAAAAAAAGCAGTAATCGTTAACTTTGTGTGTGTGTGTAAAATAATCACAACCCGTGACTCATCTTTCTCTTTTTAAGAAGGGAAATTTGTTTGGAATAGAAATGTCAGATATATAAAGCAAATAGTATACAACGCAACAACTTCCCACTAATAAAACATGAAGGTCAGATGTCTTTGATCTTGTTGAACTTCTCACATGAAGAAGCTAATGTCACTGCCTCCATTCACTAAAACACAATCAACACTTTTGAGACATTCAAAAACTCAATGTTTGGCCTGCTAATGTTTTCAGGCTGAAACCCAAAGATTAGAAAAGAAAAAGGGAGAACAGTCAGACAATCTTTTGCATTTTTACTTGTAACATTTTTTAAAGTGCATTTTAGCACTAGAAATTTTATTATACAATTGACGGAGTCTCAGGAAATGCCCTTTCTATTTAGCGTTAAGCTTTTCATTCAGATAAATTGATATCTACAATCACCTACAGTTATCCAGTGGGAATTCTTATGCAGAATTCATTGACACTTATGTAATGTTTGTGATTTAAGTTGTATGATTTTCAAAAGATGTTTACACACAACACGTGAAACTATGAACCAACAAATGCAAATGAGATGAAGTCGTGTAAGGTTTTTATTACCTTGCAATTAATACATACCTGTAGTAAATAATTGTCCTTTGAAGAAGCAGAAATAGTACAATAAAATGTGGTTGATGCAAAAGATTTAAAATAAATTCGGTTTAAAAAAGCCTAAAGAAATACAACGTAAAAAAACAATTCCACAAACATAAAAAAGGTTCAAATCTTATAGCACATGTTGATATATAAAGAGCGCCGTCTTTTAGAATACTTCTCTATTTCGAGCCGTGGGACTTTTAAGTGCTGTTCTAAAAAACACAAACCTCAGGGTGTGAAAAGTATCAAAGAATTGTTAAAAATATCTGAGCTGTGAGAAGTAAAGACATTTTCCACATAAATTGACGGATGAAGCTTGTTATATTAAGTATATTAAGAATCCAACCAAAATGTGACCACAAGAAAAGGCTCATTTTGTCTTCACTTGAGCGTAGAGATCCTCTGGGACGTCTGCAGTCTGTGTGACATTGTCTGCTGCCTTGGACACTTTGACCTGCGCATACAGCGTGTCCTCCTGCTGTCCACCGTCCTGCTCCAAGACAGAGGACTGTCCAGATCCGAGCCTTGAGAAGTTAATCTCTCCATAGTGGACGCCTTCTTCTGTTGTCACTGTCTCTTCAACAGGTCGATTCTGCATGAAAGAATAGATTCATTAAATTGCTTATAATGGCTCTTATATACGAGGCATTATAAGTACAACTTAATGAATTGTAAAAGTTCTCCATATCTGCTTATTTGATGAAATTGCACTTATTATTTCACTGGTTTCTTGTTCTTTTGAGTTTGTGGCCTTAGGTTTGAAATGGACTTATTGTAAGTCGCTTTAGATAAAAACGTCAACTAAATGACATGTAATGTAAATGAAGCAAACAGGAAGTGATTGTGAAAGCTGCTTGCTTCCAAATAATTACAAAACCAGTTTGGTGTGTTCTCACTTGACTCTGATGTCCAGTTGGATGTGGAGACTTCAAACGCCTGCAAGACAAAATGTTGGGTCTAATACACAGAATACCAAAAAAAGACCACATGTCATTGGAGACACATTCTTTAATGATGCTACTGACCAAACAAAGACAACCAGGCCGATGAGCACGATGATCCCAATGATTCCTCCAAGAACTGCACCCAATAGTGGATAATTAACGTCACCTCAAGACAAGATGAAAAAAACAACAGTGACTAAATAAAGACACTATGGGAATGTAACAATATTGATTGCTGAAGTACCTTTATTAGTTACCTCCTATAGTCAGATGGATCTCTGATGATGTTTGATCACCAAGCTGATTGGTGGCCACACAGTAATAAACTCCTCCATCAGTGACATTGAAGCTGTAAAAGTCTCCTTCAGATACTTTGATTGGTGCATCTCTGCTGGTCTTGAACCAGGTGAAGCGGCTCACAGGAGGTTTGGCTCTGCTGGAGCAGGTCAGGTTCACCCGGCTACCTGCTGACACCCAACCTGATGGACTGATGGACGCTGAGGTGTTCTTGGGAGCATCTGAGGAAAATGTGACATTAAAACTTTATGCAGCCGACATCGTGTGAACACATCTGTTACGCACCCTGGTGGCTCGACCTGGAGCGCAACAGGTCAAGGCAAGTGAGGCGTTAGCCACACAAAACTTAACAAAAAAAGTATTTATTTTTCAAAAGAGCAACACAGGGATCAACAAGGACGGTCAGTGGCACCAAAGAAAAGAACATAAACAAACCCCCCACCCCCCCCATTGACCGGTGCTTAGCACCCAAAAATACAGTGGGTGGTGCTCACTCTAGCCTAGGGTACTAACAACAGGTACACCTACGTGTATGCAATATGTAAACCCCAGAGTATCTTACCTGTCCTCATTGACCCCAAACAACCAAAAGATATCACAAAAACACCAGTAGGCGGTTACTAAATTAATTTTAACACAAGACAGTGCTCTTCAAACCGCAGGCACAGCTCAACACAAAAGAGCCTTCCCCGTGGAAAACAAACATTGACTATATAAAGGGGAATGGTTGATGGGACATCTGGAACAGGTGTGGTGATTGGATGAGGGGAACCAGGTGTGCACATCTGTGAAGTGAGAGAATGGAAACAGAAGGGGGAGACAAAAACACAAACCAACAACACAAAAAAAAGAACACCATATCTCTAGACCTATACCCATAGAGCACTGTACGTAACAACATGAATCATCGTATACTGAGAGGATCAAAGAACAAACACTCACATGAAACATTGAGAGTCTTTCTCTCCTCTGACGTCTTTACATCTTTTCCTTCATTCACAGGATATCTGGCAGAACAGCTGATGATGAATCCATCATGTTCATGTGACAGAGTGATGCTCTTCTGGATTCTAGTTGTGAAGGTTCGATCTGTGTTTTCCTCCATCATGTGGTGAGAGTCTGGTTGGAGGTTCCAGGTGAGTTGAGGAGAGTGTGGACAGGGAGTGGAAGCTAAGCAGCTTATAGAGACAGACTCCTTCTCCTTCACATCACCTGAGATCTCAATCCTGGGCTTTGGAGGAGAATCTGTGGTTTCAAATCAAACACAGATTGTACACTGAAAAAAGAGCAACAAGACTTGAGTCGACAGTTTATGATAAAAGTACTCTTTACATTACATTTAAGAGCAAAATATATTATATATAATATTATATCTATATAAATATTTTATTCATTAAATAATGTCTTTGTTTCTAGTTCTTTTTCTGATGTATGTGAATGTTAGCAGATCCATTTCCTCTCTGAGCTTCATTTAATAATTCCACTACTTCATAGTGAAGCAAACATTAGAGAAAAATCCAAAATAGGAACTCATATGTGCAGCTGAACATTTTTTCTCCTTTTCATTTCACCAATCAACTCATAACCCCTCAGATTCAACTTGTGATGCTTTGTAGGGAAAATAAAATCTCAACTTTCACTAATTAGTGTTTTTAAAGCGCTGATGGGGAAGTCTCAAAAGTTCCTTTTTTTCTGCTTATTTACCTTTATCAGGCGTTCAATGAAAAGGTTGGCATGTACAGGCAGTTTTCTGGGATTATTACCGTAAATTCCGGACTATAGAGTCCGCCTGAATATAAGCCGCACCACATACATTTTGAACGAAAAAAAGATGTGTACATATATAAGCCGCACCGGTCTATAAGCTGCCGGTGTCCACGCGGCATAAAAACGACTGCTGACCCAGAGTCGTCCGTGCTGGAGTTCTTCACATTGCCTCTCGAACGTCTCACTATTAATTAATTAATGGCAAGTTTACGTGTAGCTGCCCTGTGTCCTTCTCCGATAGGCAGGTTGGTTTCCCGTAACTTCCACCTGTCTGTCTCGCTCTCACGCGTTAGCCCGTAAAAAATGACATTGATGACGATTAGCCGCATCGTTGTATAAACTGCAGGGTTCAACGTGTGGGGAAAAAAGTAGCGGCTTATAGTCCGGACTTTACGGTAATAGTAGTGAACAAACAAAAAATAAATTTAATCCAGAAAGCGTTAATATTTAATTCCCTGGTAGGGGTCTGTAGATATTTATATTCACAATAAAAGTTGTCCTCTACATGTTTCTGTTTTCATTCTAAATAATAACATCATGGATTGTTTTCTAAAAAAAAAACTGTGTCTTACCTTTAACTGTTATTTTAGAAGGATCACAAACAGCTGTTGCTCAAAATGGCCAGTTCACAACCCTGAAGTAGTATGTGTGTGTGTATGTTGTGTTTAAACTGGAAAATAAAGTGGTGCAGTTTTTCCGACTCAAGTCTCCAGTAAAATTCATGGGATATGTGGTAACTGTCCCGCTACTGTTGAAAATCACATCATTTCTATTTTTCATCCACCCTCCAAAGGTTGTTGTTGCGCTGTTGATTTTCTCTCCTGATTTAACGCTGAAGTTACATGGAATTTGCAAACAAGATCCAGTCAGTGCTTCCATCTCTTTTGGTGCAGTGATGAATAGAGCTGAATCCTCAGAACAAGCAGCAGAAGAACCTGTGAAACAAACTAATGATTAACAGTGGTGATTAAAATAAAGTAAAAACACAACGATAACATGAACACAAAGAGAAATATACTTCAGCAGTAATGTTTTGCGTTGTGTGTTCTTTTTTTCCCTGAACATTTTTTGTGTTGATTCATCTTTCTGGTTTTACAACTTTCCCCCACAAGGCCGAGCCCAGTGGGACCAAACCCGTCTCTGTCTCCAAATAACTACGTCACTTTTGTCTCCGTGATAAAAGAGCTCAGCAGGAAAACACAGATTGTAACATTCACATGAATTTAGGTTGAAATGATATTTTCCAAACAGTAAATGATTGAAGTGAAACACAAGTGAGTGAAGATGAAGCTCACCTGAGAGGAAGAAGACACTGTGCAACACGATGGCTGTCACCATCCTAACAGACTGGTCGGCCATGACACTCACCACCTGATTCACAAACACATCAGTGTTCTAGGAAGCGTCCAACATGCTGTGTGCAACCACAAGTTACTGTGTGTGAAGAGACCACAGCTCACAAGTCTGTGGACGAGTACGACTCTGAGTGTTGGATGAGAATAAAACTATGAATGTCTCCCTCTTACCAAAGAAGCCCACGTCCATAACAGAGGGACAATTAGATCAAGTGCAGGTCTTTGTTTTAGCAGAGTTCTCCCCTTAACTGCTCATATCCGTGAGTCTATATCATCTTTATGTATCACACACATCACAATAATAATAATGTAGCATTAACAGTCAGTGACTTGAGTTTAGTCACTGTGAATAACTCTGAGGCTCTGCATTACAAGACTGATGAACCTCACACACTTTTATTGTGTGTTATAATTTAAACTTTAAATAAATGACTTACCCCGATAGCCAAAACATTTCCTCATTTATCGTTTCTACTTCCTCTTCATCTCTAATATCTATTAAAATCTTTCAAATTCTGACTAATTAGAATGAAATCTCATGTAACTATATTTCAATAAAAAAATACAGTTTTCTAGGTTTTGCTAAGTGCTGCTAAAATGATGTATTGAAGGTGACATTAACTTACATTGAGTGAGTGTTTCTTCTTCAGTGCAGTTTGCTGTCTGACAAGTTCAATGCAGAAGTCACAGGTCTGTGAGAGGAAGGAGGAGTAACTGGGAGGTGGATCGAAATGTCACTGCTGGTGTTCCTGCATATGACAAATAAAACAATAATTAACAAACTTGTATTGTAATTAAACCACTACAAAACTATGAAAAAATACAACCGTCACCAGCCAATGATTAAATAAAATTAAACTTCTATTTGAAGAAAACATACTTCACTTCCTGTCCTGTGTGTGTTGTGTGATTACGTAACCGGACCTGACAAGTCTCACTTGTCTGTGTGCTTCTCTTTTTTCTGTGTCCGTCTTCATGGTTGAATCATTCTGGATAGTTTCTGATATTTTTTACATTGGTTCTGGATTTTGACTAACTCTGCATAATATGCTTATTGTATTGTTGTATTTATTACCTCATTGGACAGTCTGCTGTGAACATTTGTGTTCTAGTTACAAGTTAAAACATGTACATGCACCTGTGCTTTGGATTCATGTTTTGCAGGTTTTCAGTATAGCCAAAAAAATCTCCACAAATTACTTCAGTGATTCAAATTAAAACAAAATCAAAGCTTTTATAATACTGGGATTACTTTATGCAAATAAGTATGTTTCAAGGATAAACTCAAATCAATGACTCTCGACGAAAACATCTCCACACGATGCATTTTAATGACAGGATGAGTGACAGGTGTTGCTTGTAGCTTTTTAATAAATATCATTTTTTAAACAGTAAAATGGTTTATGTAGTACACATCAAGAATTATCAAGAGTCATTGTTTAGCTTTAATTAAGTGTTTAAATGTAGAATACTCGAGTAACCCCGTCATTTCAATTGTTGCTCTTGATTGAAGACATCACCTCTTCTAAAAAACAAAAAAATATGTTTTGTAAAATGTTGCAGCGCAACTGTTCTGGTTCAATAGCTCGTTAGCTAAACATGTTGCTTGTGGTGCTGGACCCAAGAGCAGAACACGGAGCAGAAAAGGTTCAACAGTCTTTACTATAAAAAAAACTGGGAGGTGAAAAGTGGTGAGCTGGAGGGATGGTCGGCAGGGGGCAGCAGGTTAGTCCACAATGCTGGTGCAGGGAATCCAGAGGGGCAGAGAACCTGAGGCTGATGAAAAATGTTAATAACGGGGTCAAGGGTTGCTGGGTGTTTTCGCCGTACCGTAAGTTCCGGGTTTGTGAACTGACGATCTGGCAAGAAATGGGTGAAGTGCTGGGGAATATCAGGCCTGCAGCCTGATTACTCAATGAATTCTAGCTGCGCTGGTAAATCAGGGGGAGGAGCACAGCGCAGACCATGACAAAACCTTATTTTACCAATACGGAACCGGTCTGCAAATTGGTTTTAATGTGCGGCTGAAGTGAGACTGTGTATTGGTAAAATGATGGTAAATTAGGGTTGTAACTGGTTGTCATCTATGGATCACTACGGTTACAGAGAGGTGTCGTTTGTATTTTAACAACGTTTTATGTCATAATTTTGACTTTCTATCCCTTTTCTTTAGATGTCTGATGTGCGCTCTCTGACTTTGACATTGTTTTGTCTTCAAAGTACGCGAAGGCCGGTTCATCGCTGTTCGCAGCTTCAATTTCATAACCACGTAAGGAACCATGAGGAACACAACAAAGAACACTTTACCTTTGAATGATCTGTTTTTGAGTGGATGAATCCGGAAGGGTTTAGCGGCACTGACCAAATAAAAACACCAGTACAGATGAGTCCAATGAACCCAACAAGTACTGCAACCCATGGTGCCAAACGTCCAAGCTGTCACCGTTTGGGTTTATTTCCTGTGTTACTTTGTAGTTTCCTGCCCCTCGTGTCCGTGGGTTAACTTCACTTCCTGCCTTGTCCTGTAAAAAAGTTGTAAGTTGTAAGTTTCCACATCACACTTCTTTTGTTAAAGAACTGAGCACATGAACTCATGTATTTTTTTACATTTTGAATGACCTTACTGGCCTGTTCTTGTCACATGGGCTATCGACCGTCTCGCTTGATGCCAATCAGTAGTTGAAGATAAGGGCCGCTGAAGTCAAAGCTGCTTTCTCTGTCTTTTAAAGCAAATTTCCCCACATAAAATCTGCACTGGAAACTGCTTGTCACATGGAATAAAAATATATTGGCTATTGCAACACTCCAGGTATAGTTAAATATGCTTCTCTCTGGGCCAGTATCAGAGGGTTATACGTATATCTACAGAGCCTTAAGGAATGGAATCAGAGAATGGAATTAGTATATAGAGGTATGTTGTAGAAATTAACAATGATGGGGTGTGAACATCAGTGGTATCAGTAGTTGCATTCTGGGTCTGCGATTGTGTGTGTGTGTGTGTGTGTGTGTGTGTGTGTGTGTGTAACGGGGTGTAGTGACAGATTTTTGTGAGCCACTCGGAGGGTGCGGGAGAAGATCCTGTTCCTCACTCACACACACAGAGATTCCATGTCTTTTATTTTCTTTGGGTGAAGTTACCGTTCATTAGTTTTTATACCTTATAAAACACATATACATCTGGTTCGTGATCTCGCTATGCGTCTTTGGTAGCGGTAAAAAACAGAACCATGTTCTACACAAATATCACGAATGGCTCCTAAAGGGGGTGTTGAAGGTGTATAACAAAACAAGAAATTGTGTCACCAGTCCGTGGTTTCCCAAATAAGTGAGAGAAGTTTTAATAATTTACTGTACCGCGAGCTGGACACCTAAAACAAAGTAAAAAAAGAAAGGAAAATAGAAGATAATGAAAGATAGAAACCATGAGTGTGAAATGCAGTTAGTGAGAAATATATAAATCTCAATCAGTGATTCTTTGCCTCGACCAGGAGAGTAAAGTTAACGTGATCTGTGGAGCTCAGAAAGTAGTCGGCCCGGCGATGCCAGAGGGAGGGGGGCCGGTGTTGGACCAGCCCAACACCCCGTCGGCCCACCAGGGATTCCCCTATACGCCTTGTGGGCAGTCTGCCCCTGCCTGTACAACCACTGCTGTTAAAATATATGAAATCAGTTCTAAATAAAATGTATAATATTTTGAATGCAACAAAACGCAGACTTCAGTCAAATGTTTCCCCACCAAATGAGGAAGTGCAATGAGGAAATTAATTTACTACTTTAGCAGAACTCCAACTAACCACCTGAAAGACAAATGCAAGTGAACTTGCTGTTAAAGAAGTGCAGTACAGCTTGGTTACACAATACCTTTGTGACTAAATAGTGCAGAAATACAGGCAGTGTTGTTAATGAGGAAGTCTGTTATCACGACATCTTAAAAGTGGACTCAAAAGTGACACAACTAAATGCAAGCATATGTCAAACATTCATTTTTTACACCAATTATAGATGGTTGTGTGTGAAAATTAATTAAAAAGGGAATCATTGGAGTGAACAGTAAAATTAATCCAAAACTTTTTAAAAAAATATTTAGTTGATTTGTAAAGATCTCTCTATCATTGATGTGTCTCTTTGACCCAGAGTCCAGGAGAACATTCAGTGCAAGGTGCTGAAGAAAGCTCGGTGACGTTTCCAGAACCTTGGACAAGGTGTTTCAGCACGTGAGGCAGCGGCAACAATGCTGCAATCTCATTGGCTGTCAGTCTTCTAAACACGCCTCCCCCCCTGGAGCTCATGAAGGATAAAAGCCCACTTCAGTGTTGCATGGGGAGCTCCAGGGCACATGGACTACAGACCATCTAGGGCAGTGGTTCTCGACCTAATTTTAGTGATGTAACCCCCCTACAAAATATGTATTTCAGCCGAGCACCCCCTAAGCAGTGCAAAGCATTATGGTTTGAAAAAAATATGCAATTACGCAACGCTGTGCCAGCAGTATCTGATTTATTAAACACTGAAACGACACAAAGCTTTGGATGGGTTGCACCTCATGGACGTGTTTTCAGCAACTGCGCTGCTCTGCTTCATCCACAACTCCTTCGTTTAAGCTGGCATTAGAAGACAGCAGTGATTGGCAGCAGATGATGGGGGCGTGTTCCAGGCTTAATTGGATTTGCTGTGAAATTCACAAATGTGAGGAAATGCAGTGACTAAAAAGCTAAACAGAAATAAGAGCCACTGGAACACACTGGATTGGAAGCTCTGTTAGCACCCATAAAGCAGGTTGATCCTCTTGATATCCCAGTAGTACATCCTCTGTACGATCTGGGTGTTGGCATTGGGGATGGAGGTGATGGAGTCCCTCCCATTGATAGAAAAGGCTGTTCTTCCATAGTGCATGATGGAGGAGTAGTCGTAGGGACTGTTCAGGTTGTTGGTGTTCTGCTTCTGGAAGTTGTAGGCCATCTAAGGGTAGATGTTCTCCCAGTTGATCCGGATGTAGCAATCACGGTTGCTCCTGGTCTGCTCGTGAGTGAAGCCCACCGTGTGGTTGATCTCGTGCTGGACGATGCCGTGGTAGACGCAGCCCTTTCTGTTGAGAGAGACCACCTGTCGGCCACCTGTTCTGCCCAGAGAAGAGAAGCATCCAGCTCTGATCTCGAAGGAAGAAGCATTAGGAAATGTCTTGGCTTCAGTAAATGTCGTATAAATGTTTAGAACTATATTTATTTTTCTGCAGACAAGAGCAGATAAACCTTATATGTTTTTAAAAACATAGAGGAGCCTCTAGTGCCACCTACAGGATGAACGTTTTTTGTAAATTTGCATTCAAGAAAAGCATTTCATTTGCTACATGCATCCAATAGTTTAATGATCATCACAACCTTACAATTGGCATGGCCTTAAACCTTTAGTTGTATGTGTGGAGAAACCAGGAGTTCATTCTGTTTTACAGACCCAATTTAAAGCTCAATCCCCTCATGAAATACTTATTATTCCGGAAGTGTTCCAATCCATCTTGTGTGATCATCTTCTTACTTCCCTCTGCTGGTTCCTCAGAACTGTTGGATATGTGGCAGTGCATTAATCTGAACATGGACTCATTTAAAATTCTTTGTTTTACAGAGTAATCCACATGACTCTGTGTGCCTGCCGGGTGAAAGATGCAAAGCTGGTTCAGGGCAATTTAAACCACGATGCATTTCATGACACCTGTAACCAATTTACTATTTCAAAAGCTTCACGTGACCTCGACATAAAGTTGAACCAAAGAAATCTCCCCAAACAAAAGTGTTCCTTGAGATGTCGCAATTTTTTTTTTTTTTATAGAATTCTACAAGTAACCAGTGAGGTAGGGAAATGTGCTGAGTGGATGGCTCCGTGCGGTTCTGTTCACATCCACTCTCAGGAGCATCAGGATTTCCCAAGGACACAACAGGAGTCCTGCCCTAAAAACAAGAGAAAGAAGTGTTTTTCCTCTTTCTATTTGGTAGAAGATACAACACGAATGCAATACAACATGTATTTCCCTTTGGCTCCTCTCATCAACATTTCATATCCAGATTTAGTTACACTGAGTGTTGGTGTTCACACTAAATCTTCTCTATACTAACATTATCAATTGGTCGCATGTTATTGTAATCTAGAAAATATTTACAGGCTTCATCTTCTCCACACAGTATTGTGAGAAACATCCGCATTTGTTTCCTCTTTACGTCTCTGAATGTTAGAACTTGTAACGATTACAGGTATAGGGACCCAAAAGCACAACTCCGAGGCAGAATACAATCAAAAGTTCTTTGCTGATACAGGCAGGGTAAAAACCGGGATAGCAGTCCAATGGGCAAACAAATAATGGGGGGCAGGCAGGAAATCCATAAACGGGGACAGGCAGGGTTCAGAAACAGGATGGCAATCAAATGCCAGAAATCGACAGGCAAACAAATCCAGAAATCGAGCAGGCGAAGAGTTCGATGAGGGGATGTGCTTCAGGTGAGGGCAAGGAGAACCAGGTGGGGGTAACGAGCTGATGATGTGGGAGGATCTGAAATGACAGGAGTTAGATAACATGCAGTGAAGATGAAATTAAACTATGATGTGGTCTATTGTGTGACAGTACCAAGCTCCTTACCTACTCATACCTTCTCATCTGGTCGTCAGTGAGCCTTTGCCTGGTCATGGTCAACATGGATGTAGTGCAGGAAGTTGAGTCCCAACCATTTGTTCTCCGTGAGTCATTTTCCAGATGATTGGGCCACGCTTTATGTAACACAGCTACAAGTTTAACAGCAGAAGTGAATTCAGAAAGGTCAGCAGCTTTCAGGTGACCTCAGTGAAACGTCACCATCCTGTTGACGTGACGTTTACTCACGCACGTTATCGCAGAGCGTGAGATGAGATTTGGCTTAGAAACATCCCACTCCTATTTGGTTTTCACGACGTAGTTTGTGTGAGAGTTCTATTAATCGCTGCTCAGTCAAAGATGTTTATTTTGTTATTTTAATTGTTTGAATTTCAATGATCGGATGAATAGAAAGCTCCATCTAAAAAAACAAAAACAATAGACCTGTAATCGTTAACTTTCTGAGTGTGTCTAAAATAATCACAACCAGTGACTCTCATCTTTCTCTTCTAAGAAGGGAAATTCGTTTCCCACCTATAAAATATAACAGTCAGATTTCTTTGACGTTGTTGAACTTGAAGAAGCTAATGTCACTGCCTCCATTCACTAAAACACAATCAACACAACCTTGTTGTGCCTTTTGAAACCTTTAACAATTCAACATTTGGGCGGCTAATTTTTACTCGCAACATTTTTTAAAGTGTATTTTAGCACCAGATATTTTATTATAATATATCTGGCCCCTTCTATTTAGCGTTGAGCTTTTCATTCAAATAAATTGTCTACAGACCATCACCTTCAGTTATCCAGTGGGATTTTTTATGCATAATTTATTCTGAGACTTCTGTATTGTTTGATTTAAGTTTTTTTCAAAAGATGTTTACAGACAACACATGGAATTATGAAGCAATAAATGCAACTGAGATGAAGTCGTGTATATTTTTATTACCTTGCAATAACAACATATCTGCAGTAAATATGTATACATGGAGTAAATTATTGTCTTTTGAAGAAGAAAAAGTACAATAAAATAGTTGTATGGTTGATGTAAAAGAACGGAATACGTTTAAAAAACAAAACAAAGAAAAAACAATCAACAAACATAAAAAAGGTAAAATCTTGTTATAGCATATGTTGATATATGAAGAGCGCTGTCTTTTAGAATACTTCTTTATTTAGAGCCGTGGGACTCTTATTTGTACGGATCTAAAATTATTACAGCTATCTGAGCTGCAGGGTGTGGAGGTTTAAAGTTTCCCTTTTATTAACTGAGCAGTGAAGATTATGTTTTCTCAAAATTAATTTTCTCCATGAAACAGATGAAGCTTATTATTTATGTAAACCATATATTAAGAATCCAACCAAAATGTGACAAGAAAAGGCTCATTTTCTCTTCACTTGAGCGTAGAGATCCTCTGGGACATCAGCAGTCTGTGTGACGTTGTCTGCTGCCTTGGACACTTTGACATGCGCATACAAAGTGTCCTGCTGCTGTCCACCGTCCTGCTCCAAGACCGAGGACGGTCCAGGTCCGAGCCTCAAGAAGTTAATCTCTCCATAGTGGACGTCTCCTTCTTCTGTTGTCACTGTCTCTTCAACAGGCTGATTCTGCATGAAAGAATAAATGAAGCAAACAGGAAGTGATTCTGGAAGCAGCTTGATTCCAAATAATTACAAAACCAGTTTGGTGTGTTCTCACCTGACTCTGGTGTGCAGTTGGATGTGGTGACTTCAAACGCCTGCAAGACAAAATGTTGGGTCTAATACACAGAGTACCAAAAAAAGACGACATGTCATTGGAGACACATTCTTTACTGATGCTACTGACCAAACAAAGACAACCAGGCCGATGAGCACGATGATCCCAATGATTCCTCCAAGAACTGCACCCAATGGAAGATGATCAACTCCACCTCAAGACAAGATGAAAAAAACAAAAGAAGTGAAAAAATGACACAAAAGACACTATGGGAATGTAACAATATTGATTGCTGAAGTACCTTTATTAGTTACCTCCTATAGTCAGATGGATCTCTGAGGATGTTTGATTACCAAGCTGATTGGTGGCCACACAGTAATAAACTCCTCCATCAGTGACATTGAAGCTGTAAAAGTCTCCTTCAGATACTTTGATTGGTGCATCTCTGCTGGTCTTGAACCAGGTGAAGCGGCTCACAGGGGGTTTGGCTCTGCTGGAGCAGGTCAGGTTCACCCGGCTACCTGCTGACACCCGACCTGATGGACTGATGGACGCTGAGGTGTCCTTGGGAGCATCTGAGGAATATGTGACATTAAACTTTATGCAGCTGACATTGTGTGAACACATGAATCATCGTATGCTGACAGGATCAAAGAACAAACACTCACATGAAACACTGAGAGTCTTTCTCTCCTCTGACGTCTTTACATGTTTTCCTTCATTCACAGGATATCTGGCAGAACAGTTGATGATGAATCCATCATGTTCATGTGACAGAGTGATGCTCTTCTGGATTCTAGTTGTGAAGGTTCGATCTGTGTTTTCCTCCATCATGTGGTGAGAGTCTGGTTGGAGGTTCCAGGTGAGTTGAGGAGGAGAGTGTGGACAGGGAGTGGAAGCTGAGCAGCTTATAGAGACAGACTCCTTCTCCTTCACATCACCTGAGATCTCAATCCTGGGCTTTGGAGGAGAATCTGTGGTTTCAAATCAAACACAGATTGTACACTGAAAAAAAGAACAACAAGACTTGAGTCTACAGTCTATGATGAAAGGGCTCTTGCCATTACATTTGAGAGCAAAATATATTATTATATCAAATATTTTTTATTATATTTTTTTTTCGTTAAATAATGGGTTTGTTTCTAGTTCTTTTTCTGTATGTGAACGTTAGCAGATCCATTTCCTCTCTGAACTTCTCACATGGCTTCATTTATTAATTCCACTACTTCATAATGAAGCAAACATTAGAGAAAAGTCATACTCATGTGTGCAGCAGAACGTTTTTTCTCTTTTCCTTTCCCACCAATCAACTCATGACCCCTGAGATTTAACTTGTGACCCTCTGTAGGGAAAATAAAATGTTAACTTTCACTAATTAGTGTTGTCAAAGCGCTGATGGTAAATAGTCAGAAAAAATGAGCTTTTGAGACTTCCTGTTTTTGAGGCGTTCAATGAAAAGGTCGGCATGTAGCCTACAGGCGACTAGAGTCCGCCTGAATATAAGCCACACCACATACATTTTGAACGAAAAAAAGATGTGTACATATATAAGCTGCACCGGTCTATAAGCTGCAGGTGTCCACGTGGCAGAAAAACGACTGCTTGTGCAAAGTCATCCGTGCCGGAGTTCTTCACATTGCCGTCTCGAACGTCTCACCATTGATTCATTAATTAACGGCAAGTTTACGCGCAGCCGCTCTGTGTCCTTCTCCGACAGCCAGATTGGTTGCCCGTAACTTGCACCTGTCTGTCTCGCTCTCGCGCGTTAGCCGTAAAACATGAAAAAAGGTAAAATCTTATCATAGCGCATTGTTGTATAAGCCGCAGCCTTCAAAGTGTGGGAAAAAAGTAGCGACTTATAGTCCGGAATTTACGGAAATAGTAGTGAACAAAAAAATAATACATTTAATCCAGGAAGCGTAAATATTTAATTCCCTAGTGGGTGTCTGTAGATGTAGATAGTAGGTGTTGAAATTCACATTTAAAGTTGTCTTTCTGTTTTCATTCTAAATAATAACATCATGGATTGTTTTATGAAAAACAAAATTATTTTACCTTTAACTGTTATTTGAAGAGGATCACAAGCAGCCGTTGCTCGAAAGGGCCAGTTCACAACTCTGAAGTAGTATGTGTCTGTGTATGTTGTCTTTAAACTGGAAAATAAAGTGGTGCAGTTTTTCTGACTCAAGTTTCCAGTAAAATTCATCGGATATGTGGAAACTGTCCCACTACTGTTGAAAATCACATTATTTTCCTTTTTAAGCCACACTCCAAAAGTTGTTGTTGCGCTGTTGATTTTCTTTCCTGATGTGCTGAAGTTACATGGAATTTGCAAACAAGATCCAGTCAGTGCTTCCATCTCTTTTGGTGCAGTGATGAACAGATCTGAATGCACATCACAAGTAGCAGAATTACCTGTGAAACAAACTAATAATTAACAGTTAAAATGTGTAAAAGCACAACAATAACATGAACACAAAGAGAAATATACTTCAGCAGTAATGTTTTGTGTTGTGTTCTTTTTTTCGCTGAACAGTTTTTGTGTTGATTCATCTTTTTGGTTTTACAACTTTCCCCCACAAGGCCGAGCCCAGTGGGACCAAACCCGTCTCTGTCTCCAAATAACTACGTCGCTTTTGTCTTCGTGATAAAAGAGCTCAGCAGGAAAACACAGATTGTAACATTCACATGAATTTAGGTTGAAATGATATTTTCCAAACAGTAAATGATTGAAGTGAAACACAAGTGAGTGAAGATGAAGCTCACCTGAGAGGAAGAAGACACTGTGCAACACGATGGCTGTCACCATCCTAACAGACTGGTCGGCCATGACACTCACCACCTGATTCACAAACACAACATCAGTGTTCTAGGAAGCGTTCAACATGCTGTGTGCAACCACAAGTTCCTGTGTGTGAAGAGACCACAGCTCACAAGTCTGCGGACGAGTACGACTCTGAGTGTTGGATGAGAATAAAACTATGAATGTCTCCCTCTTACCAAAGAAGCCCACGTCCATAACAGAGGGACAATTAGATCAAGTGCAGGTCTTTGTTTTAGCAGAGTTCTCCCCTTAACTGCTCATATCCGTGAGTCTATATCATCTTTATGTATCACACACATCACAATAATAATAATGTAGCATTAACAGTCAGTGACTTGAGTTTAGTCACTGTGAATAACTCTGAGTCTCTGTTGCTCTGCATTACAGGACTGATGAACCTCACACACTTTTATAGTGTTAATACAATTTAAACTTTAAATAAATGACTTACCCCGATAGCTAAAACATTTCCTCATTTATCGTTTCTACTTCCTCTTTATCTCTAATATCTATTCAAATCTTTCAAATTCGCTTTTATACAACAGGCAATCTGTAAAATTGTTGGTGAATAATTAGAATGAAATCTCTTGTAACTATATTTCAATAAAAAAATACAGTTTTCTAGGTTTTGCTAAGTGCTGCTAAAACGATGGATTGAAGGTGACATTAACTTACATTGAGTGAGTGTTTCTTCTTCAGTGCAGTTTGCTGTCTGACAAGTTCAATGCAGAAGTCACAGGTCTGTGAGAGGAAGGAGGAGTAACTGGGAGGTGGATTGAAATGTCACTGCTGGTGTTCCTGCAAATGGCAAATAAAACAATAATTCATGAACTTGTATTGTAATTAAACCACTACAAAACTCTGAAAAAATACCACAACTGTCACCAGCCAATGATTAAATAAAATACTTCTAATTGAAGAAATGAAGAGTCTGATGAATATCTTCTCTCCTTGATTACATGCAGAAATAACTTTATCTATGTGGACCTATTTTACATTTTTAAATCTGATAAGTTGATACGATTTTTTTATTATTGAAAAAGGTCTTTAATAAAAGCATAGTGGGCATACTCAATATTGTCAGTTTTTTGGTTATCACCTATATATACGTGAATGCATACTTCACTTCCTGTCCTGTGTGTGTTGTGTGATTACGTAACGTGACCTGACAAGTCTCACTTGTCTGTGTGCTTCTCTTTTTTCTGTGTCCGTCTTCATGGTTGAATCATTCTGGATAGTTTTCTGATATTTTTTACCTTGGTTCTGGATTTTGACTAACTCTGCATAACATGTTTAATGTATTGTTGTATTTATATCTTCATTGGACAGTCTGCAGTGAACGTTTGTATTCTAGTTACAAGTTTTACAAGTTAAAACATTTACATGCTCCTGTGTTTTGGGTTCATGTCTCGCTGATTTTCAGTGTAGCCAAAAAAATCTCCACAAATTACTGTCAGATCTTCAGTGATTCAAATTAAAACAAAAACAAAGCTTTCATAATACTGGGATTACTTTTTATTACACATATTACAAATAAGTAATAAGTGTATATTTTAAGGATAAATTCAACATCAATGACTCTCAGATGAAAACATCTCCACACATTTTTTAAACAGTAAAATGTTTTATGTAGTACACATCAAGAATTATCAAGAGTCTGTTTAGCGTTCATTAAGTGTTTAAATCTAGAATACCCCATCACTTCAATTGTTGCTCTTGATTGAAGACATCACCTCTTCTAAAAAACAAAAAAATGTTTTGTAAAATGTTGCAGCGCACCCAGGAAAGTGCTTCATCGTTTTTATAAAATCGTTAAAAAGAAAGCTAAGAAACGGGAAAAATGCATCTGGTTCATAACCAGGGTTCTGTGTGCAGCAGGAGTTCTCTGTGTTTAGCTCCTGGTCACTTTGAAACAGGCTTGACTCGACCGTATGGAGTTAATCGTAAATAATTGAAGGACATTTTAAAAACATCGCGGTACAGGAAGTTGTGTGACCGAATGGTAAACAACAACATCAGTGGGGTGGTCGTGGCGCAGGGGTAGAGAGGGTGCACAAAAAAATATGGGGTTGGAAAATTACTCAATGAATTCTAGCTGCGCTGGTCAATCAGGGGGAGGAGCACAGCCCAGACCATGACAAAACCTTATTTTACCAATACGGAACCGGTCTGCAAATTGGTTTTAATGTGCGGCTGAGGTGAGACTGTGTATTGGTAAAATTAGGGTAAATTAGGGTTGCAACTGGTTGTCATCTATGGTCCACTACGGTTACAGAGAGGTTTCCTTTGTGTTTTAACGTTTTATCTCAAAATTTCGACTTTCTATCCCTTTTCTTTAGATGTCGGATTTGCGCTCTCTGACTTTGACATTGTTTTTCCTTCGTACGCGAAGGCCGCTTCACCGCTGCTCGCAGCTATAATTTTATTTATTTCCACAAGAACCACGTAAGGAACCATGAGGAACACAACAAAGAACACTTTACCTTTAAATAATCTGTTTTTGAGTGGATTAATCCGGAAGCGATTAGTGGCACTGACCAAATAAAACACCAGTACAGATGAGACCAATGAACCCTACAAGTACTGCAACCCATGGTGCCAAACGTCCAAGCTGCCACAGTTTGGGTTTATTTCCTGTTTTACTTTGTAGTTTCCTGCCTCTTGTGTCCCTGGGTTAACTTCACTTCCTGCCTTGTCCTGTAATCCCCTGTGATTGTCTGATTGTTTCCACCTGTGTCCAATCACCTGCACCTCCCCAGTGTATTCAAGCCATGTGTGTCTCTTGTCCTTTGTCGCGTCGTTGAATGTCCTACCCTGTATGTGACTAAATAATGCAGATATACAGGCAGCGTTGTTAACGAGGAAGTCCGTTATCACGACATCTTAAAAGGGGACTCAAAAGTGACTCAACTAATGCAAGCATATGTCAAACATTCATTTATTACACCGATTATAGATGGTTGTGGTTGAAAATGAATTAAAAAGGGAATCATTAGAGTGAACATTATTACAATGAATACAGAACTATATTTATAACTATAATATTTAGTCCGTCACTGTAAGGATAACCAGTAGACAGCAGAGAGGGGTAAACATTTCTTGATTTGTAAATAGCTCTCTATCATTGATGACTCTCTTTGACCGAGAGTCCAGGAGAACATTCAGTGCAAGGTGCTGAAGAAAGCTCAGTGACGTTGCCTTTCCAGAACCTCGGGCGAGGTGTTTCAGCCAGTTAGGCAGCGGCAACAATGCTGCAATCTCATTGGATGTCAGTGAGGCTCTTCTAAACACGACTGGACCCCGGAGCTCATGGAGGATAAAAGCCCACTTCAGTGTTGCATGGGGAGCTCCAGGGCACATGGTCCTGTAGCTGCCCGCTTGTGTTTTGGTCCTGCTTGAGGTTTGGTTATATGCTAACAACGACCCACACCGCATAACACAGGCATCTGAAACTACACAACTTGTGGTACTGACCGACAGACATCACAAATCGCCGTTTATTTCCCTGTTTAGGTGCAATAAATACCGTTCATTTCCCAAATTTCTCGCAAGGTAATATTTTAAACAGAATGAAATTGTTAATATAATTTGCATTCATTTTGTTGGTGATTTTACATACATTTACGGTACATAATATTCTTAACCATGTCCCCTTCTGTCTATTTATTTAGGTTAATGCTCGAGCCGGAAACAGGTGCTGGTTCTGTCCGACCCTCGGTACTGTAGGTACCGTTTGGTGGACGGGCTACGTGAGCCAAGATCTCGACTGATCAACCACTTGGTTTTGTCGTTGGGAGGCATAACAGCGGTGTCTTAAAAGACCCAAGATTCTCTCTGAGGGGACTGAAGTTGCTATAATGCACAGTCTCCGTGCCATCACATGAGTAAGGCGTGGGTACACTGAAGTCCAACTGCAGAAGTGAATTCAGAAAGTCCAGCAGCTCTCAGTGAAACGTCACCACCCTGTTGCCGTGGCGTTTACTCACACACGTTATCGCTGTGCGTGAGATTTTACATCATCATGTATCATCATCATTTTACAGCCTCCGGTCACTCTAGTTTAATTTGTGAATTATTATAAATATGTACTATATGGATCACTATAAGTTGCATTATGCAATTCATTTATGAAATAAGTGACGCTAATGACGATACATGTGATTTTATCCTAAAAACCTCCACATGATGGCAGCGTTGTAACTTAATTCACTTTTCATTCACGGATTCATTTTGGCCATGGTAAAACAATGAACATATGTCTTTAAACGTGGCATTTAAACATTTCTAAACTTCTTAAAACTACCGGTCATACCAGAACAAGTAAGCCTGAGGCAGAAAAACCCTGAATGTATTGAATGTACATTCAAGAACTGAAACAAGTTCTTAAATTTTAAGATTGACGAGCTTTGTGCAAAAATGCACCTGATATCTGGCATCTGATATTTAACCAAATTACAGTGAACAACTTTGGGAATAACTTGACACTAAAACATTTTTGCATTTACAGCCAGTATAACAGCATCTTGGGCCGTCATCAATTCTTGGCAGCATAACCAGCATCTATGACAGAACTTGAGACACTAAGATGAAAACACTGTCAAACCAAGTTTGTGTAATTGAATAAATGTGTCATGACAATGTATTCACTAAAAAGTACTACAAATTCAAAAGGCACTAACAACAATGTCAGCGTTAACATCGCCCTACAATCTGCCTTATGTTGGATCAAATCACACTAGCGTTGCATATCTGACACGTTTTGCTTACATAGAAAGAGACCTTGTTGAGCGCATTCATTACACCAAAAAACATCAGGAAATAGCACAGCGTCAGACAGCCTGTGTTCTGTGCTCAGAAGCACGCGGGCCCACGGAGGGGAGTGTTTGACGGGAAAGGGTTCAGGCATTTGTTATCTCTTTGCATTATACTGGACGAATGGCATATTTCAATTATTTCATTTTTAAAGATATCAGATCAGAGTGATCTTGAAATGCAACTCTCCTTTCTTTTATTTGGCTATGAGTCAAGGGATAATACACAATGAAAATATTTGTCAGTTAAAAATCGATGATCAAAGTGTTCTTATTGTTTGTACATCAGCCTCTAGAGCATATTTAATATTTGTGTTTTTAACTGAAAAGACATTAATAAATGGGTTGAATGGTTCTCTTCAAGTAGAAACAAAGCGTTTTTTGTAGACCTACGTTTAATTGTATGAGATAACATGCTGGTTCTGCTAAACAAGCTCTGCCATAAACACAACGTATGAAAATTATCCGTCACAGTTACAAAAGAGGAAACATTTGACATGACATGGAGCTTCTTCAGACCCCTAAAAAACACATTCTCTATTCCCAATTGTATTTTTGCTAAGATTTGCTACCCAATTATTGTGAGTGACTATTTTAGAAGTATTTCCAATATCAAAGAATCAGAACCACGGTTCCCAGCCGACCCAAACTCTGCCAAGCACATTTGGATCCATGGCTTGGTCAAGCAGACAGTCCACCTGCTTCTCCACCGACAAGCCTGCAAGTGGAAGCCTTGCACGAATATTGTGCTCCGCAGACCCCAGGGCCACAGACTGCATCCCCTGGAAGGCCGGGTCCTTCTCAAAGCCCAGCTTCAGCTCCTCACTGAGCAAAATAAAGCAACATTCAATCACACACATGTACAATTCAAATGAGGCCAATGAAGAACAGCGTCAGATACGATTATACATCAGATTATGTTACTTAAACTTTCCATTCCTTGTATACATCAACACATTTTTAGAACTTAATAAAAGAGCAATAAGGACTTTGCAAATGTAAGATTTTTGAAAATTACACAATCCGAGCAGTATTTCCACCAAAATGGATGTGAATAATGCAAGTTTTGTCTTTAATTTTAGAAATCCATGGTGGGTCCTGATGATTGCTCTGCCATGTTTTGATTTGGTGCTTTACCTGGTTATAGCCGCTGGATTTGCTCCTTCTAGTTTTCTTCTGGCAAAGTCGACCTTTTGTAGGGGATACCAGTTGATTTCTTTGGTGTTTACGCTGTCGGTCCATGTGCCTCCTTTCTTCATCTGTTTTAGCTCAAAGTTCTATTCAGAGCAATGGGAAACATTGTTTGTCAATTACAGTTCACTTTATAACCAAGGTCTTAGCTTAAAGACACAGTCTTATCTCATAACCTCTAAAGACAAATCAGAGTCACACCATACATTCTGCTTGTAACGCATGTTGAATGTTCATTTCTACTTTCTATCTGCAGTTCAAACACTGACAGTTGGAAACTCGATGTTAAATGGGATCTCTGCAGTAGGAGTCATGGTTACCTTCCAGTCCAACGAGGGCTCTTTGACGAACACATCCATGGTGTTTAGCAAAAGGTCCGGCTCAGCGCTGTAAGCTCGGAGGGAGTGGACCATGATACTTTGGATCAAACCCGACTCCCTCAAGGGTTGCATGAGGTTCACAAACTGCTGGGTCAGCCGGAAAGGCATGAGCTCAGGCACACAGAGGAACTGTAAGGAAATAACAGAGAGGACATTATTCCTACATGTGGTGGACACATTAACCCCAAAGAACCTTCTTCTGTTTGTTACATTTTGATGCCATTGTTGGTCAGACCACCAATGGTTGCTTTGGTCCACACTAAAATGTATCAATATTTAGTTCACATACAATGTTTCCTCTTCTGGCCTCAGTGAAGCCAGCAGTTTATTTTATTACTTGTGCACTGTTGTCTTGTCTGTCTACTGTCGCGCACTAAATCGCCAAGACAAATTCCTTGTATGTTTGACATATTTTGGCTAATAAATGTTTCCTGATTCCTGATTCCTGATGACCAACCTGTGTGGCTGAACCGAATGCATGACCGAAGTCGATGCCGATCATGCCTCCCGTTTCCATGTTGATCATGAAGTTGGAGAGATGACGATCACCAATTCCAAGAATCCATTGGCTGACACACAGCAAGGCATGCGAGCCGATAAAGTGGGAGCGCAAGGAGAGAAATGCCTCAGGACTGTTGCACATCTTCAGAAAAGCTCTCCTGGAAATTGAAAGAAGAGAAGGAGTTGTTTTACTGCAATCGTTAACCTTCACGAGCAGTTTATAAAATAGGGATTCAACTTACTTCAGCAGGTCGCTGGGCACACACTGCAACGCTTTCAAAAAGTAGGTGACAGTCTCGTTACGAGCCGCTTTCCTGGCAAAGGGTAAATATGCTTAAAATCAAATTTGATAAATGTTGCATTTCATAATTCATAATGTTGTAAGATAAAGAAGAACAGTTTATAGATAGCATAAATATTAAACTACAATCCAGCACATTCAGCTAAAATAGAATAGTTAAATGAGACTAAAAAGAACATTCGGGAGACTTACTCATAAGCCTTTCCATACAGTGAAAAAAGATTTGGATCTTTCTTGGAAACGGCAAATTTCTGGAGCCAGCTATTGTGGTATTCAGCACACCTTCAAGAAAGAGAAATCCAAGGTGACATACAACTTTTTTAATAGCTCTGAAGATGGCATATCAATACCATCACTGGACAACGGTCTGACATCCAGCTTATTAGATTCAAATATATACTGCACCTCTCTGAGCTTTTCTTTTCCTCTTTGGTCATTGTACCATGAAGGAACTCTTTCAGAGTACAGGTATTCTCCATCCATTCAATTACACCAATCCTGTAAAGGCAGTGAAAGTGGTCCGTTCATTTTTCTGGTAGTTTATCCCTAACAACTCATTCAAATTGTAGATATCTAATACAATCATCATAACAGTGCATCTCCCAAACGGTCTTTACTGATATGGCTCATTCGCCTGACGCACAGAAAGTAGGAAAAGGTCCGGTCTAGTTCTACTTGGACTCGTTAACAGTATACGCATCGTTTTTAACTGGATATGATGATGTAAGGACAGACAGGCACCTTGTGGTTATGGGAATGACTTGATAGGTGCGCAGCTGCATGCCTCTGTGTGTGCACGCCGCGTCATGACTCAGCATAATGTTCATGACAGCAAAGAGCTGCTCAATGCGTTGGTCCTGGCGGAGGTCTTCTCCACCCTTCACCAGAAAGGGGTGGTCCCGTTCATCATCCCCGCGGATGATCAGGCGTTTGGGGCGACGGATGGACGACATCACCATCACCTGCCAGACATGAAGGCACATTAATGTACCGACCAGCCTGCAGTATAATTTATACTTACACAGGGCTGTTACTAGAACATCTCAATTATCATTTGACAGTAAACCACAATAAAAGCATACCCTTTCGTCAAAGCCAGTTATTTTTGCATGATATTCTGGCAATGGTTTGGATCTGCCATCGTATTGTCCTACGAGAGGAAGGGGAACATCTTCAATGGTCAGGAGTTCATTGAATATTATCTTCTCAACTGTGAACATGGAGTTCTCTATCAATGGTTCCTTTTTTTCAAAGATTCATGAATCTCTGGACTATTTTCACTCTTTATTCCTTTTTTCATTTATCTACAGCAGAGTTGATGTGAGGATATATATTTATTTTTTATTCAAATTCAACCCTTGATGCCACAATGGGGCCCATATGGAACAAAAAACAAAAAGAGTTCCTTATTCTGACAGCACGAGTGTCCAACCGCACTGACCTGGGATCTCCAGCTCATTACTGAATGTGTCCGCTTTGAATCCACTCAGCCAGGGCGAGTATTCCTTAAGGTTCCCTGGTTCCTTCTGAAAACCACGCATGGATGCTGCCAGTTCGTCCACCTGCTTCAAAAAGCTTTTATCCTTCCTCTTCTGAAAAAGCTTGCTGCCGTTAGATCCCAGCAGCTTCTCCACATCTTTAGCAAACTTCTGTTAAATAGAAGAAAAAAAGATGGTAAAATGTCATTTGTACAGTATATACGTGATTTTGTGATAAAACAAGGATAAAAGCAAGAGAGAAACTACAAACTCTGATGAATCTTGCGCGGAACATTCCATGACCGCCTGTGTTACAATTCCCGAGTGAGGAGTGCATCTCCTCATACATGCGGCCCATCCGCTTCTCGTCAAAGCCTGGTTTGTCCAATTCATTTTTCATGCAATCCCACCAATCCTGTGTGGACCAACGACAGTAATCAATGACAGGTAAAGTGTCTGCTCAGATAATTCATGGCTGAACTTGCACTGATTACCCTGAAAAGCATCTCAGGGTTTGTCAGCTGCTGCAGGGAATTCACAAAGTTCTTCACAGGTCCTTCCTTATCCAGCACGCTGTTGAGCCTGTTGACACACACAATATCAATAAGCAGATGTATGTATGTATTTATATAACAAACTGACATTAAGATGTTTACCTGTCGACAAATCCCCGCTGCTGGTGGCCCGTAGCCGAGTCCTCAAACTGGTAACTCTCACTGCTGATCATCAGAGCGTAAACCAGAGCTTGAGGGTAGCAGTCCGCTATCTGCTCAACGCAGCGCTGCACGGCCACCGCTTCCGGCTTGTCCAGTAGGGCGACCATTTGACTGATCCAGCCAATCAGCATCCAGCAGGGAACTGACATCATCTGCAATGCAAATGGACGGATGGAATGGAAAAAGAGTGATAAACTGTATCAACGTGGCCTTAGCTTCCACGTCATCCATAGTCTTAACACACTAACTTCTTTCATCATCAGGTCCAGGGTCTCGGAGGGGTACAACTCAATGATCTGCAGCAGACGTGGGAACTTGAGGCGAGCTTCCTCAGAGTTCATCTTCAGTGCTTTCAACAAGTTCTCCAATATATGAACAGGCAGTGCCAACATGTTTGGAAATTGGTTTTCTGTAACGAAGGGTGCTGTTTTATCTCAGAGTGCATTCATGGGCAAATCAAAATAATAAGGCACACACAATTAGTGAGTATTGTTACAAACCAGTATCACTCTGCTCCGCCCCTCGCAGCAGTTTGTCACAGAAGTTAGCCAGAGTCATGTATGTCTCAATGATGCTGCTGCTTTCCACACATTCCTGCGTGTAAGACTGAAGCTCTTCATCAGCCTTTCTGGTAGCATCACACAGCAAGTTCAACGCTTTCAACTGCAGCCCCACTTCCACTTTCTGCAGGAAAAAACATTTTTTAACAAATCGCTTCCCCATTTGCATAGACTGTTTGCACATATCGTGTGCAATACACCATTTTATAAATAACTTTGAAAGTAATACAAATAGATACAAGCGGAGTACCTTTGCATTCTCATCTGGCCAAGCAGCTCCAGAAAGCTGGGCAACTCTGCCTGCTTTCTCAGCTTCCATGGTTCCCAGGACCGAGGGGCTCCTGCCTACCGCTGTGGCCATGATGTGGAAGGATTTCCCCTCAAGTATCTTTTGGCATCTGAATACTTTAGCTGTTGCACTCTGACAGTCAGCCTGAAGGTCGTCTGCAGAGAGATGAGGGCTGAGGTGAAACAACAGCCAAAAGGAGCAGCTGAGCTCACATTGCATTCAGTTCAAGTTACAGACAATGATCGTGAAATCTATTGACTGCCTTTTAACTCAAAACAAAAAAAGTCTTAATTAAAATTAAATCTTAATATTAATTAGTTGACATTGTGACAAGGATATCTAAACTCAAGGTCAAAAAAGGCTTAAATTTATGTTTATTTTTTTACCACTGGTAGCGTTATGAGTCACAGTTTTGTGGCAACTAAGCACCAACAAAAGCAGCCAAGAAGATTTCTGGCAAGTAAGTAGCAAAGTAACCTAAAATATTAGGAAAATGTCCGTTGCAAATATTTCATGGCGGATGGAAATCAAACTGATTCAAAAACACAAATGTGTTTTGACGAGTAGTACTGAATATAACATTTTTTAGTAAAACTCCACAGACTCAAGTCTCACATAATCACAAAATTGGACCGGTCACATGTCAAATTTAATTATGACGCTGAGAATTAAGAAAATCTCCTCGAGGCTGTCTATCTTCAACTGTTTCACATCATCCACAAAACACTGTACATGTCTTTTCCCCCCTGCTTACCCAGGAATGGAATAGTCTTCAGCATGGCACTGATTTGTTCAACAGGACCCTGTGTCTGGCTGCGCTTGTGGTTGTAGCGGCTGAAACCGTGGACCCACCGCAGCAACCACCCTCTGTTTGTCTTGGCTTCTTTGTGAAGTTCCTTCAGCATCTTGGTGGCCACAGGAAAGTTATTCTGAAAACAGCATTCATGTTCCAAGGTGAGTTTGTGGTGAACGCGTGACGGCTCGGAATGAATAGCTTACAGTTGTTTCTTCACCTGCTTCAAAGCGCTGTCGGCCATTTGTAACTTCATGCTGAACTTGCAGTCATTTACTAATGTGTCGATGGCTCCCGCTTGATCTTCTGAACCGTCCACCTCCATACTGTCACTGGGGGCGTGGCCTCCTAGTTTTATCCTGATCTTGTCCAAGAAGAAACATCTGAAACGTAGAGATAAAAAAATGACACCGAAGTTGTTATCTAATCATTTAAAATATGTATAAACAAAACATCATACATGCTTTCTCACCGAGATGTGATGATGTCATCCCATAAATTCACTGGATCCGCTTTAGCATCAGGATACCGTTCGGCCCACAGACCGATGAGCCGTGTGAGCGAGCGCATAGACACTAACGAATGGAAAAGAACAAAAGTTACTAAATGATGAGAGCGGACCAAAAACGTTGGTTTTATTTAAATCATTGCACAAAGAAAGCCGAAAGGAAATTGTTCTTGCAGGAAAACGGCTCTGCTCACCTTCTCCTTTGATGAACTGCAGGAAGTCTTGGATTTCAGTCAAGGCCTGCACTGACTGAAGGATGGTCAGCCGACTCTGAGTCAACAACGTATCCACACTGGAGTAATTCTATGAGGCAAAAACATTTTAAGCGAAAGCTATGGTTGATATATTAATATTATATTTACTCGTATAACCACAATGTATGGGACATTCATTAACCTTTTTTTTAGTTTAAAGTCAGAATGAATTCATATAATCTTGGTTGTTCGGAAAGGATGTTGACAGCCGACCTGCATGAAGAGCTGCATGGCGTAGTTGGTGTAGTATGTCGCGCGGTCATAGTCCTCCTGCAGGATGTACAGCAGGCTGAGCTCTTGGCTGTAATGACTTTCCAGCAGCTTTTTGCGCTCCTCCACCGCCATGGCTGCGTCAATGAAGCTGAGGAGAGTTTGGTCTGCTTCACCCAGCTGCAGCTGCTTCAGCATGCTGCGAATCATGTGCCGCAGGTACATTTCCTGGAACAAAACAAAGACTTAGAGTTGATACTAACAAACGCACGTGATAGATCTCTCTACATGTTTATTCTGAATTGAATCAAAATATGAATCAAAGCTGTGACAGGCTGCATAATTATTTAGCTTTTTGGTAAAATGTGGTATATTACAAGGACAATCTTCTAATCCTCATGACGTTACGTCTTGCTACATGATTGAACAGTGAAAGGTAAGATATTGTACCTGGTAGAGTGGCTCCGACCACATCATATCTACGTACAAGGTGGAGCAGTACCGAAGAGACTTCCACTCAGTCAGATGACTGTAGGCGTCCATGGCAGCTATTTCCCAGAAGTCCTTCTCAGACTCTGTGGGCTCGCCATCTGTCCAGTGCTCAGTGTTCAGGGCCTGCCGGTGTGTAAGAATAAGCAAGTAAGTCGGACACCGCAGTGCTGCTCACACCGCTAGCAATCCGATGTAACTGCAGCAATCCGCGCGCGTTGACATGCTACACAAGTCCCACGCTAGATTCACTGTACTGCCGAGAAACGGTACCTCATTGTAAAGCTTCACGGCTTCTGCGAAGTCGGAGTTTGCTTCAGCTTGAAGCGCGGCGCAAGTGATCGACCTGGTCCCGACTTTACCACCAAAGATGCCGCGTACGACATCATAATCCTCCAGAGACCTGTAAAGCCTGGAGAGGAGGGAGAACAAAGACCTCACTGAGTAATTTGTTCCACCCAACGTTCAGCCAGCGCTGACAGAACCCGCCATCCAAGTCGACACAAGTGTAAAACCTTGCTAGGTGGATCCATTTATTGGTGTCAGGGGGGATCTCTTTGCGTCCTCGGGACCGCTTGGCAGCAGGCTCCTCCTGGCCACCGGAATGCAACAAGCCCTCTTCCAGCAGCAGGATGCCCGATGGCTGCTGGAGGCTCATCAGGCACGTGGAGCTGATGGCCGCTGGATCTAGGTGATGGAGCTCCTTATGCTGGTGGCACATGTCCTAACAAACACAACCAGGTGAGTGTCAATTCAACCCCTCAGCTTTCACCCTGTAAGTTTATAGTCTTGACTTTGACATTAAGAATCAAGCTATAAAATAACGAGGCACGCGCAGTGTCATTAGTTAGATCAGTACTATTGTGGATATAAATCTACCTTCATTTTGACACTTTCAATGAATCCTGGCGGTTTTCACATTCAAGACTTTGCCAGCAAAAAAAAATCAAGGGAAAAAGCTTCTGAAGGTGATACCTGAATACATGCTATGAATGGAGGGAAGCACACGGTGCTCTTGCTCAGGAATGTATTCATGCAGCGACGCAGCTCCTCTTTAATTCTCCCGCTCTCCCCTCTTGCTTTGTGCGTCTCCATTTCTTGCAGGATTCCATCAAACAGCGCGCTGAACAGCTGTTTGGCTAAAATTGGATCTCTCTGAAGGGGAAAAACATCCATTAGCTGCTTGCTTTCTGTTCTTGAGGGTACATGCTTTCACATGTATTCTGAGACCGAGTACTCCGTGGCTGTTACCTGGGCCAGTGCTTGAAGCGGGGCAATGAGGCTACTGTATGGGATCTGGATGTCCGGGAAGTCTCCCGCTCTGTAGTTACGATAGAGAGTCACCTGAGCCTCTTTTCGCAGCCTTTGATCTGCTTTGTCCACCTGTGGGACACAAAACAGAACCACAGACGGAATGTAAGACAATACACTAATCAATCCTATCATTGTTTTGTGCTGCCATCCAGTATTTCAGTATTACACTTCACTAAAGATGAATGTGAATCCGCAAATTGCTTCTTTGGTACCTTTTTCTGTCTTTGTTGTTGGATTTCTTTTTGCGCAAAATTCAAGCTGACTTTCTCCTGATCCTTGATGAATCTGCGTCTCAGTCTTAGGATGTTATTGCGTTGCTCATTCGCCGCTGTTGAGGAAAAAACAAAAAAAAAAACACATTTACAGAATCCTATTCCCTTTGAAGCAGAGTTGCAATCTTGGCACAATCTTGAGTTACAAAACATGAAAGCCGAGGAGGGAAAGTGAAACCTAACCTCTAGTGCGACTGTCCACCTCGTCGGTTGATGCTGTGAGGCGCCTCAGCCCAAAACCTTCTCCCACTGGTCTCCTGACTGCATTTTGCCTCGCTGGTTTCTTATCAAACGCCAGCAACGAAGACAGAGACTCAGAGCTGAGAGTGTACTCTGCCAGCGTGTCCACACTGCTGCCAGTCAGCCAGTTATACGCTGTACGCCGACCTGAAGAATAAAAAATATATATAATATATACACACACGTGTTAACCTGCATCTCCATCATGCTGCTTCAACACAACATGCTGTACCTGTGGTTTGTGTCTGGCTGAACTCTAATGAGCTCTGCGTGGCTCGGAGCTTCCCCTTTATGCCTCCAGACTGCGACGCCATCACACTCTCCGGGCCTTGAGAGCTTTGGGTTTCGACAAACATCGGCGTCATCACTGTGCTCCTGAAGCGCCAGTTGGAGTCGATCACATAGTCCTACAGAGTGGAGAAACATAACACAGTTACGGTTTGAAGTCCCGTCGCCCCGGGACAAATAAATACTGCGTATGTTAACTGACCTGGAAGGTACACTCTGACAGCGGGTACTCAAAAATGTTCCGTATGAAGTCCGGACTCTGGCTGGTCCTTTCCAGCAGAAGATTGGTAGCCAGGCTTAGAAAAGACTTCTCAATTTGACAGGAGTACAGAGAACTGAGCACCGTCAACATTCGCTCGAGGGTCGTGGTTGGGAGGCGCTTCTCCTGACTCCAGAAGTTACGGACATAAAGCCTAGAAAAAGAAGTGGATAGCGGCGGGTTTTTTCATTTAAAGTACTGAATACTATATTGTGAATTGCTCAGAATACGCTTTCCTGCATAATATGAATATTCAGTACTCACTGAAGGCCTTGGTTTTCTTCAGAGAGCCCCTGAAGAAGTGCTTCTTTAGCAGAGTTCAAAACCTCGACTGAGGTGTTGTCTTCCATGCTCTCTGCATCACTGGAATTAGAACAAACACAGTACATCATTAAAGTTCATGCCAGGTAAGCAACCTCACACTGCTCATGTCACTGTAGAATGCATTTGATGAATAATAATTTGCTAGACTTGCTATATGCAATTTATTTGATCCAACATGGGTTTATTGTTTGGATCATGCAGTAAGCTTCTGAGGAAAGTACCTACATTAAATTCTTTGTGTGAGAACAGAAGCCAAATGGCTCGCGGTACCTGTAGTTGTCCTGGATCCACATGAGGACGTCATACATCCTCTCCCTGCACACCGGGGAGGGATGGGAGACAAAGGAAATCACAGCTCCCAGGATCTCCTGAAGCTGAGCTGGAGTCAAGCAGGCAACAATCTTGTGGATGATATCCAGACACACTCTCTGCCTGGCTTCATCCCTGAAGAGTCACATGCAAAAACATGGTTGCAGCACCACATTCAAATGTGTTGTTTATTAACACATGAGACAACACTATTCTAAACCCTCTGCAGCAGTGCTTGGTCACTAAAGAAAGAAGATAAGCGTGCACAAAGAGGAGCCGGGTCGGGATTTACCTGTGGCCCATCATTTGAATGAAGCCTGTGGTTTTCAGATGCAGAAATATATCTGGGATGACATCAGCACGGCTCAGCACGCACTCCAAACAGTGCGTCTTCAAGATGCCGTGCAACTTTGGCAGGAGGGAGAACACGTAGTTGACAAACCTGAAAAATTCAAAAAACAGCTACAGTTAACCTCTTAGTTACAGACTAAGAAAGGTAAGAAAAATATTTGTAAGCAATGGGTCAGGTCAAAGGAAATATTGATTACTTCATTCAAAATGATTTATATTTGAGGGGCAATCATAGATAAAAAAGCAGATCTACAAACTCACCGATCCATAAATGGAGGAAAGTGCTTTGAAACTTTGTTCAAGCAAATAATGAACTTGTCATCCATGTCTTTTTTCTTCAGATTGGTGATCTTACTTGCAGCGAGACTGAGAAGCTGCTGACGATGCTGAGGCAAGAAACACAAATTTCACAAAATCTGAATATGTAAAATTATTGTAATATAAGAATTGTAGATAGTAGCAAATATTTTGTATTGAAAGATGTGCAATCTGAGTAGAAATGAGCTCTCCTCAGACATGAAGTGTCACTGTGATAAAATTAAAGTGAGGAAGGTTTCATACGCCTGTTTCAGTCATGTTCTTCAGGATGAGGCCAATAATCTCAGCAGCTGCTGCGTAGACGTCTTTGTATCTTACGAAGGACACGTTGTTTGTGAGAGACTGGATGTACCTAAAAAGGATTTCACAGAAATTATTATAGACTCTGGAAGATTTCTTTAATTACTTTATTTACCGCTGCTACTTATTTTACCTGTCGTATTCAATTCCACATGAGGCATCGTATGGAGGGAGGTTGTTTCCCAGGATGATTCCCAGCAGCTGAAGTCCAACAGAGTTGTCTTTGCTATTTGGGTCGTTGCCACAAAATCGCTCGTGTATCAAACTAAATGGGCAAGAAAAAGATGAAATCAAGGGCGGGTTTGATTTAATTAACTTTGTACTACAAGATAACACCAGCCAGGTGACGTGTATATCCAGCATTTTACATGAATCCATGATGAAATTCACCTTTCTATTACAGAAACATTGCAAGTGGATTTTCTATCTGGCTACGAAATCTCCTTTGTATCTTTTTGACTTTTTCTATATTTCACATAAACAAGTGAAAACATTGGCTAAGGAAAACAATAGGGGATAACATGCAATCATTTTGAGTACATCTGGGAACAGAGAAACGGTAATGGGACAAAGATGTGTCGGGCCGTGCACACTGAGCTACGGGTTTGTGTCAAAAGCATATCAATTGTTCAGTCCGAGCATGAGAGAACTACCTGTAAGGCACATGCAGACAGTCTTTCCAGCACTCAACCAGGGTGCGAATGATTTCCAGATTGTGCCGGAAAACCGCCCTTTTGGAATGGAAGCAATGCTTCATCAGGAACTCTAAAAGCCGGTTGGCGAGCACTTCATCTCTGGGGTTTCCCTGGGAAAAAATGATCCTGTTACCATCAACAATCAAGAAATTATTTCATTGAAGGGGGGGGGACACTCCAAAACTTTAAAAACAGTTCACATGATTCAGATACCACTAAAACTGAAACCAAATAATATTGAAAACTGTGCAAGCCATGAGAAAAATGTTATGATGATTTATATATTTTAAAATGAAAGAAATGACAACCTTGGGGCTGGCCAGGCTCGTCCAAGAGAGCACTGTGACGATTATTTCCACCACCATGAAATGGATCCCCTCTCCACCGTTGTTTCCAGAAACGACGAGCTGCAGGAGGGGCCCCAGCCAGTGCTTGGCGTATGGTCGGAAAACCTGGAGAGATCGACAGCAGAGATTAAATCCACAGACAACTAGTGAACACAAGGGGAGCAGCCTTGTGAGCCGTCACACACAAGTAGAGACAGTATCACTGTATATTTATTTTCCAAGACACTAATTGAACAAATTCACATAGTGGACATTTACCTCCTCCGTGTTGATGATCAGCTTTGAGATGAACAGTCGAATATTCAGAGGTGTAGCTGGATTTGATAGTTTGCCATGTAGAAACTTCATCCATGGAGGAAGTTCACCAGGCACGTTTCCCTGTTTCATAAACAAAGAAGGGAAAAGTTCCACGATAATATTTGTATATGGTTGTGTTACTGAGAGAAAAGACCTAAATCCCTGTAATTGATTGGATTTAAAAAGGCACTCTTCAGTGGCACTGACCTGCTCAATTTTGGGGGTTATGTTGTTCCTCAGCATGTGACCAATAAGAGCAGTCATGGTCGTCATGCATTCATGCTGGTTTAGCTCGTCCATTTCTAGATCCACCATTGCGTCCTGGGAGGGGTTTGTCTCCTCTGTCTCCTTGAAGTACAAACACACAAACGCTGTTCAGACCATCACGGGACACTAAAGCATGCTACCAGTGTGGTGTGGTTCTAGAAAGGTGAAACAAACAAAAAAAATGAGTGACTAACTCTTTTTGCAACAGTGCGCCGGGGTCCTTCAGGGTTTTGGGAGCTGAAGGAAAAGCTTTGGACTCCGGTGGAGAAATCAAACTGGCTCATCTCCTCACTCAGGCTGCTGTCCGCCATGTAAGACTGGGAGGACAGATACACTGGCGCCTCTGTGGGAACCAAAGCATAGATGTTACAAACATTCTCTACTATAGATGCACTGACCGTTAACGCCTGGCTAGACCAATACCCTCCAACTTATTATAGATAAAGCAGGGCATTTTTATCAGATTTAGACTCAAGGCAAGTCCAATAATAAAGAGACAGGATGCAATCAGGTAAAAAAAATAATACGAAGTTATTGTTAAATGAACATACCTCCATTCTCCTCGCTCACTTCTTTCCGAATCATGACATATTTCTTTTTTCTCTCAAGTGGGACCTAAATTGATGCATAAACATATGTGATGTATGAATATGTATATATGTACAAATAAAACACAATTGCAATTCAAAGTATCGTGTCGGTAGCCAACGGACAACGACCTGATGTAAGAAAATAAATATATATATATATATACCTCAATTTCAATTGGAAAGTTGTAGGTCCTTTCAACGTCGATAATATTCTCCAGAATGAACTGATTCTGGACGAGGGAGAAAACCCACAAGCAGTGAAGTCCTCGGTCACCAACAGAACATCTCTTACCGTGGATCACACTCAAAATGAATTGGGTAAAATAATACAAGTAAGTCAGTACCTTTTCTGGTTTCTCACTGAAGAGGAAGCCTTGGTAGAATTTGGGCTCACTGAAGCTGCAGCTGATTGCGGCGATGGCACAATTGTATGCAGCGCAGCGATATTGTCTCCGAAGCTCAAGGAGCTGAGTTTCCCCGGCCATGTTCTCAGTGAAGGCATCAAAACACAACCTGTTGGAAATTATATCTGCATTAATTTATGGGACAATAAGGACACTTAACGTATCTGTCGAGTGCCTTTTTTGAAGTGTCCTACTTGATCAAGGTCTTGGACAACTCATTCCCCTCGGTTTTGTCTGAACAACAGTAGGCTTGGTTAATGCGGGACTCCTTGGAGTAAACCTCTTCTTTGGGAAGCTGAGAATACAGGAGCTCCATCAGCTTGTAGCAGCCGCTCTTCTTCATCAACTGGATCTCAAATTCCATTTCATTTGACTGAAATTGACAAATAAATTAGCCTTAAACACATTTTCAATGGGCTCCCCTGACCTAAATAACAAAGCTGAAGCCTGTGAGGACAAACAAATGTTAACCTTTGTGAAGCGACTGAGCAGTACAACCATCATGTCAGAGACATTCGCCACAAAGAAGTCATTCAGAGCCTTGGTGCTACAGTGGGAGGCGAGAGGTAGCAGGACCCTCTCCATCGCGGCCTGCAGCATGGAGCTCATCGGCACGTCACCCTGCTGGACCCCCCGGTACACAGTGCACAGCAGCTGCAGCTGCCGCTCACTGCTTGATCTACACGTATTGGGACATTGACAAGCACAGGAAGTGGACACAAAATAAGAGGACGTTCCAAAAACCTATTAAATATAATGACCCAGTGTAACGCACTCGTTCAAAACACTGAGACCTCACATGTAACCTTACTGTCTCCCATGAATGGAGCTTAACTAACCGTCTGGCAATTCTTTGGAAGCAGGTTTGGAAGGGCTCCTCCATGATGTGTTTTCTATCGCGACACAGAATCCCCGCCATCAGTTTGAGGAGAAGTGGACTCTGAGAAAGCTCTAGGGCATCTAGCAACTGAAAGACACAAAGGAGCACATGATTGAGGCTTTGGAGACGGGCGAGTCTCTCTTTGCTCTGAGGGGAAAAACAAAACGGATAAAATACATTTTCCCACATTGATCTTTGTCATCTTGCCGCCTTCACCTTTCGGATGCAGTCCATGTAGTTGTTGCGGTGCAGTGAGCCCTTAGCGAACTCATCCGACTGCATGGGGAAATGGGACGCCACCAGGGCGTCGAGGGCTTCCTGCAGCTCACCGAGCGGCTCCTCTGGGAGGGTTGTGAAGAACGGTAACACCAGCAAAGCCTGACTCTGAAGGAAGGAAGGAAGGAAGGAAGGAATTCAAGAAAATAAAAAATGTTAAGCCATACAGTGCACTGGCCGTCAAAGTGTATACGGTTTCCATTACCTTGAGATTCAGCGGCAGATCCATGTCGACCAGCAGCATGGTGAAAGTGGAGAAAACCGGTCTGAACGCTTCGTGGTTGGTATCAGAGCAGACGGAGGAGTCAATCTGATCACATGGGGAAAGAAAAGGGTCCATGGAATGCATGGTGGACATTAGAAAAGCAATGCGGAAGCTTGTATTGCTCCGCATTGTGTGTATTTTTTCACATGAGTGAAAATCATTAGCGTTACTTTACAGCCCGGTGTTAACTGGATCATGGATGTTTTCTAGGGGACATGCAGTTCTAGCTGCAGCTTCATAATACCTGTAGGAGCTTGGAGAGCAGTAGCAGAGTGGCAGTTTTGCTCTCTGGAGTAGAGGAGTGTCCTTTCCACCACGACTGCAGGCTATTCCATCTCCGTAGCACCTCTTCAACCAGCTGTTTTCCCTGAGTCTTCCTCACGGAGCGCTCTCTAAAGCTGTGGTCCAGCATGCCATTCAGCAACACGCTCACCTGATCATCATCAACAACAACAACAACACTGGCCATGTAGAAAAACAGTAACGTTCCTTCACAGATGCTTGGCTAAAAGCAATTTGGAGAAAAAGATGTTCTGGAATTGAAAAAGTGAAAATAGGAGGAGGGACAGGTACCATGCTGGGGTTCTGAGAGGATGCCAACATGAGGCATGGCACTGTGGTGTTCAAATCCTTCAGCAGCTCAGTGTTGATGGTCATCTGGAAGAGGCTGTAGAAGTACTCGCCGTGTGAGAAGCTCAGGACGTTATGGCAATGACTTCCAGAGATCGGCACAGTGAGCAGGATGGTGTTCAACAACAGGTCCACCAGCGGCTCACTCTGCAGGTACACAGCCGGACACAAGAGGAAAGCGGTGAAACACTTGGTAAAACGTATAGAAAACAAAAATATGAGTAATAAATCTACTATGAATATTTCTATATTATGTTCCTCCTAAATTTGTTTTGCTTTAGTCGGCTTTCTGCAGCTCAAACAACACACATGTGGTTTGCATGTGATGTGATCACACAGAGGGCCGAGGTAGCACTGACCTGTTGGTTCAGAGAGAAGGCAAGCTGAAGCAGACCGTCCGCCAAACTTTTGGTAATTATGTCCAAGGATGGAAGTGCGTTGCGGTTCTCACCCGGTGCTATTCCTTTATACACCGTCATTAGAAGTCGGGACCCAATGGATTTGGCACAGGCGCCGTCCTTTGAGGTGACAAGAAAGACAACAGAAAAAAAAAAAAAAGTGTGATCTTCATTGAAGTATTTATCTAAATAGGAAGAACAGCGCTGCAAATATACAAGTTTATTGCGGGTTAATTGTCACATGATCCCATTTTAAAAATGTCCCACAACAAATACCTGACTGTGCAGAATAGAGCTGAGAAAGTCGGCTTTGTGGATCTGCTTACAGGACGACAGAACCATTTCCATCTGGTCATGGTGTCTCTGGGTGCTCGAGTGATAGAAGTCTACAGTACACAGCTCCTCCACACTAGAGAGACCATTATCAACATTAAAATAATTATACCACATTATCACAACCATCAATGTTCCAACAAATGCAATCTGAAGTCATTTTTCTTACAATAAGAAACAACTGATATGCCAATCAACCACTCAGGGAGGATCTACACACCTTTTACGGGAGATTTTTGTCCGCAAACTGCCTTCCAGGCGAGTGCGGTAAGGGGAGGCCAGCAGCGCCTTTAGTAAAGGAACGCACACTTCTGGTAGTTTCCTCATCACCTCCACATCTGCCATGTTGAACCCCACGGTGGATGGCTCACACACCACCAGCGCGGTCAGCTCAAACAGATTGGGGACAAAAATGTCTTGTTCGAGAAGCTGTGAATAAATGAAGGAAATAATGAGCAAAAAAAAAGACGACTCATTGCTTTTTTTTCAATACCAAAAGGGTCCTAAATTCAGTGGCACCTTCCAAAATTCTTTGTCTCCTTTGACAAGAATCCTGGTGACAAACTCCAGGAGGCGGACAATGATGGTGCACTTGCTGAAGTTGTACTGCTCCACCTCTCTCGGGCTGAAGTGCGAGGTCTTCTGGCCGTGTGAGAAGCAGCTTTCTGCTGCTGCCAGATTGCCCGTTGCCAGTTCCGTCAAAAAGAAGCATATGGCTTTGAGAAAGCTCGATTTCTCTCTGGTGCCTTAACAGAACAGGAAACAGGAAGTTTATTTGCAATCAGCGCGACGTTGTTTTTCTTCCCACTGGGTAAAGTTGGCTGGACGAGACAGATAACTCTAGTGACTCACTAAGCATGAGCGGAGGCTTGATTATGTGCAACTGGATGAAGGTGTTGTAGCAGTCCAGGGCCGCCAGCAGCACGTCCATCCACTGCAGCGTGGCTCTGACACTAGAAGGGACCGTCAGGCCCCTGAGAGTGGGCTGAGAGAAGAGGCCTCCACCCTCAAAACGGGAGATCAGAAAACCTTTTCCATGATCCTTCAGCTTGCCGTCGACCCACTGAGATGGAGACTCCTTTCCTAAGATCAGTCACACGCACGCAAGTGAACAGAAATGAATACATCACGGTAATGTCGATATCAAGTTATAGATGTTTGGTTTAGATTATTTTGGTATTGTTTAAATGATTAAAGGCTACAAAAGGTAGGATTGCTCACCTGGGAGGAGAGGTATGAACTCATAGAATAGGTACATGCATTTGTGGCGACACGCTGTCTGAGGTCGGCCACATTGTTCCAGAAGCCATAAAACCATGTCAGAGAGGCACAGCTTTTCATCAGGGGGAAAGCCCCTTTACGAGAAGAAAAGAAAATTATGTCAATAGTCTCATTTTTAAACATTTATACACAAATAAACAGAATGCCAACCTCGGGACACGTATCTTTGTGTTGTGCCGATTCAGACTGGGAGCCTTTTGGTTGATGATTCTTTTCACGTGATCAATGGCACTGCTACACTGCTGCAATGTACCTGAGGGAAGAGTGGCAAGAACAGATGCAGACCCTTCGAAACATTGTTTAGCCTACCACGAGAGTACTGGAATACAAAATGATTAAATAAATTCAAAATACAAATACAAAACATGTTAAAACATTGTAAGGATTGCAGGAAAACGGAAACACAACAAATGATCATGCATCACAGCGATACATCCCCTTCAAAGACAACACTGCTTGTAGTAAAGACAATAATATGATAGAATAATATAATCGGAGTGTCCCGTCTATATAGCTGATGTAGAGGAACAATTACCCATAGATGGCTCATCCGAGTGCGCAAGAGCCAGACTTTCCACAAATATGACGAGAACTTCAAAAATGAACTGCTCCACCAAGGACGCCTCCTCCCTGCACGAGCAAACAGACAGTCAGACCGTGATCACCAACAAGGTACAGCTTCCATTTCTATTCTGTAACTGGGTGTCACCAGAAATGATATTAAGCATTAAGAAGTGGATTGTACCTGAATTGTCTGTAGATGCTATTGAATGCCAAGGCCGCACCAAGCCTTTTGAAGCCGTTCGGGTGGAGAGCCAAGCTGTAGATGCGCTTAAACAAGGACTTCATGTTGGTCGGGCTCTTCTCCTGCTGCTTGGGGGTTGTTTGTTTGATTGACCATTTGACAAACTCTTCAATGCAGCGGCCGCAGAAGTCTCTGAGAGTGCTGTCCATCGGGTCAACCACGCCGTCCTGACGGGAAAGACAAAAACGCACCAATGTGTGTCCTCCACATGGACGTGAGGGAAAGGGAGGCTCTTCTGGAACTCACTGGCCTAACATTCATTGATACATAAAGTCAGGTCTAGTTTGAACACTTTCTAAAGCCCTTCATGGAATATAAACACTTACCATGATGGCCTCCAGAATGGCTACCGTGTCTTTGCTCTCAAACTTCTTGTTGTTTGTGAACCAGTGAATCAGCTGCATGACCAGTGGTTCAAAGAGCTGTCTGGTCACCTGGTAAATAAATTCAAATATGTCAACAAAGGCTCTAAGCAAGCAGCTCAGATTTGAATATTTAAAATAGTATAAAAAAGGGACATTAATCAAAATGACAAGGTCTTCCTCTGACCTATAGTGCTATTTATCAATCTAGGTGCTAAATACCACTGTGCTGTGGATTATCTATATTAAAAGGGAAAGATATCTTTTTTTTTTTTTTTTTATGTGTTAAATACCCCCTTAAACCCCCACCAGGTGTCTGTAAAACTATATAATAATCTCCTTTTCTTTCAGAGGCATAATTACTGTTTGTATTTCAGTGCACGTACCTGATCCACATCGCAGGCCCAGACGCAGCAGCACAGGAAACAGCCTCTTGTGCAGCTTGTACATGGGCGGCAAACTATTGTCTCCCTCCACCATCTGAGCACTCTTCCCAACCATGTAGACCACCAGGCTGTGGAGCAGCTCACACGCCGCTACCTGCAACCCACGAGCAACCAGAGTAATACAATAATTGCCTTTGGCTGACACCTACTTTGTCATCAAATTCATTTGGGAAACGCTTTCAAATCTAGCGAGGGCCTACTTTGGTTTGTCGGTCACTCGTGGACAGAGCCAGTTCACTGATGTGAGGCAGAAATGGGTCGAGGTAGATGACCGGCTTCATGTCAGCGAACGGCACTGCAAAGCTGAGCCTTTTCTCAGAGTCCCAGGCAACAAATTTCTTCATCGTCTCCTCCGAAGACACCCCTAAATGTGAAAAAAATAGAGGCCCTGCCATCAGCCAAACAGCATTGAAGACGGGGGTTTTCCAAGCATCACAGTGGCGCCGAGAGAAGCGAGAACAGCGGTTACCGGTTACGAGGTTCCTGTTCAGCTTTCCTCCCAGGTGGCCGAGCAACTTCACCACTCGGAGCCTCACAGCGACGAGAGGGGCGTCTTCCTGCAGGCACACACAAGTAATCGTGAGCTCGACGGCAGGACTTCACACTGACGCGTCGCACTTGCACTCATCCATTTCTGCACGATGCTGTAACAGGTAACTCACTGTGAAGTGAGCGGTGAACGGGAAGGAAATGATTCCTGTAGTAACTCCTCAGTCTTTTTAAGAGAGCGAAATTCTGGCACAAAAATCATGGTTCTGAATAGATGCATTAGACAAATACAACTTCTCATATGGCCGTCAATCTGACTTGTGGGGGACTATATTCTTTTTGTGCTCAAGTCACAGTAAGAAACACAAGAAGCAAACTGCTCCCAAAACACTGAAAGATGTCTTCCCCTTTCCCTTCCAGTACCGTGGGGAGCTGTTTGGATTTTTTCAAGAGCCTCGTCATCACTCGGCTGTATCCTTTGTCACTTCTCGAGGACAAGGAGGCCATCACCTCCCAGTTGCTGTCGTCTTTGTCTGAAGTTTAACAACATCGCAATAGATTTTGGTCATTTACTCAACTGCAAGCAGGTCAAATGTAACCAAAACAGATGTGCCCGACCTCCCCTGATACCACCGTGGTTCTCACCGTCGGAGCTGGTTTTCAGGTAGCCATCAAGAAGGGGAAGGATGCTGGTGTAGCAGTGCTGCATCGTGTCCAGGGGAATGTGGGAGGACCAGTCCTCGAGGGCATCCAGCGCTGTGTTGGCCAAAGGAACGTGGCTCAGACCCAACTTCAGAGCAGCCTGTACACACGTTCACACACAAGGATTAATTCAAAGCCCGCCCCACTTCCTTCAGCACCACCAAAGGCGTTCATTTGAATTCATCTTATGGATTCATCAGTGGATTTTACATTCTAACTTCTTATAACAGTCAATGTTTGGGTTAGTTTGCACTTATAACCATCTGGTGGTCATTTATCCATGACTAGCAGTCTCTTTCAACCCTCCATCCAGTGCTTTCTATTTCCTGTGGTTATTTCTGATTTATTAAAGTAATTGAGGGACAATATTTCCATGTATGCCCCAGAAATTGTGAATTACTGCACTAAAGCCTACATCTTGCATTCCATGTTTATGAGTGAGGCTGGATGTATCTATCCTTTTGCAGGTCACAAAAAGACAACAAAATAAATGAAGGGATCCCACCTCAAGGGCGGGACAGTAGGCCTTGAGGTCCAGCGCTACCATGTTGTAGTGCAGCGAGAGGACGAATGTCAAGCAGGATGCCAGCAGCTCATCTTTGTACTGCTTCATTCTCACACACACCTGTAAGGAAACCACGTGTCACGCAAATCCTCGGCATATTCAGGTCCGCAGCAGTGCCCCTTTTAGTTCATGACAATCCACCAAGGATATATTGTGGAGAGAAGCTACCTCTTTTCCAAACTTAGAGAAGAGAGCGAAACAAGCGCTCTTCCCCGTGTCACTCTGGGGGGACGTGGAGCTTCTCGGGCAGACTCCCTGATCCAAAGCAGAGGGGGAAAAGTCATTCATGTTGAACACATATGACTAATACAAGTGCAGGCAATACAAATCTGAATTTGCTATCATACAATATTTTACCCTGCATCCATCCTTGCATACCCACACTACAGTATTCATTTGCATGCATGGCTATATTACCTGGTAGAACTTGATTCTATTGGCAACTTTCATGGTGACAGAGAGCAGCTTGTAAAAGCCACTGACGAGTGGATTTCGTATGGAGTGGAGGATTAGCTCGTGGCTTAAGCAATACATCCAGAACTGAAAATACTCCAGGTGTTTAGTCAGCAACAACTCGCTGCAAAAAAGGGAACACGGTGTGAGACAACAACTGATAACAATAAGGGTATTTGCTTGTTGTGATGTTAACTTTCCCCCTTTTAAAAACCCTTCTGATCTCCCCTGTGTGTTTGTCTCCAATACCTGCAGAAGTCCACTAGGTTGATGAAGGCCGTGAAATCTTTGATCTTATTGGGCAGCAGGTGAGCTGTGGGGTCCGAGGACGGCAGGACATGGGCCGCATCATCTAGAGCCTGAAGTACAAGGATGAGGGATCAGCCCACACAAACTGCCAGTAGCAAGCGTACACCAGCTTTTACAGTTTAGAGACGACATGATGGGACATAATCCGGTTAACTGAAACGGATATCAACATATCACATACACGAGCCAATCCGATCTTATGTACATCAAAGTGGGACCTGATGGGGCGACCTCACCTCTCCTCCCGTATTCACTTTCTGCACAGACAAGTCCAACTTCTCCACAATTTTGAGAATTGATTTCACCAACTCGTCATAAAGCAGGCGGCTCAGAGACACCAGGGCGGCGTTCTGACTTTCAAAAGCTCCATCTAAAAATCCTGAATCCTGGAGAGGACGACACAAAAGCAACCAGGGCTTAAAATAACGTGGCAGTCTGTGCCTAATAAACGTGTTTAAAGAAAATATGACATAGCTGCACCTTCAGCCGATCACAGTCTAGAAGGCTTTTAAACAGGGCGAGGTAGTTGTGACTGGATGGAACTTTCCATTTTCCAGTGTGCAGCTGGGGAGACTCCGAGCGACCGTTGTCTTTGTCCTTTGGAGAGAGAAAAGACAAATTTCTTTTAACAGCACAGTAAAAAAAAAAAAAGAAATTGACAATTTGATTAAGGGCATTAAACTGCATTTAAAACATTCCGTTGAGTAAATATATAAATGTGCGGTAATTAAATGCCATCTGAAATCGTGTGTCTCACCTCAGAAAGCAGGGCGGGTTTTGAGCAGACACGAATCAAGCCCTGGTGAACTGAAAGAAAAGGAGCAAAAGGGAATGTTTCTGGAGATGCAACGCCGCTAAATCACACAGAAGCACCGTGCAAGTTGATCAATTCTTGCATGAAAAACCCGATAAAGGCCACTGTTTTACTTCAATATATCACAGTGGCCTTTGGGTGCAGTGTGCGACTTACCCACAGAGCTGATGAACCCCCAAAGGACAGGTCCTTTAGAGGCCATGGCCACCAGCACCTTCAGGATGGACCTGCAACACGCGGTCTGCATTTTCTCGCTGTACTGGGGGAAGCTGTCGATCTGCACCACGAGGAGACGCTCCAGCAGTGGCGTGTACACCTCTGGAATCTGAGCCCGGGGACAAAAAGAAGAGGTTAAAATGAATCACTAGTTTATTATTCTTCGCCGTTGTTGTTATTCAACTTTCAATGGCCGTGACTTTGGTACCTTGTCCAGGTGAATCAAGACACTGGCTATGGAGTCCAGGAAGCTGGGCAGCTGGTAGAAGCTTTCGTCCTCCCCATCAGACTCCGTCAGGTACATCTGCTTACAGCGCTGAATCAGCTCTGTGTACATCAAGTCCACGTCTTGTGGGCAGACCTTCTTGCATGGCTACGGAAAAAAAATGTAATATATATGTTTTGCCTTCTGTATTAAGAAGTGTGGAATTGTCCAAAACAGCCAAAGTTGATGAAATAAGATTACAGAAGAAACCAAATATGAAGCAACGGGAGCACTAGTACACATTAGTACCTGATGTAAACGTAGCAGCAAACATACAATGAGCGTTCATTTCTTGTAAAGTAGGTTTTGGCTTCTAACAGCTGCATTGGAAGCAGACAAGGCGGTGAACGTACGGTGGCAAAGAATCCATATCCTCGTATAGCGATGGACAGCTCCTTGTGCGTCGAGTCCATGTTTCTTATGATGCCGCAGAACTTCTGCATGAAGAACTTCAACTTGCCTTTGTGCTCCTCAATATTTTCTGCCACCACCATTGCAACCTTAAAAAGAAAATTAAAAAAGAAGACGTGTCGGAATGACGAGGAGTGCATCACAAGCGGGTTCATTCTCATCAGGGCACACGGAGCCTGGGACTGTTCACCTGCTTGAGGAAGGCCTCGAGCGCGTGGTAACTCGTCTTCTTCATCTCGCTGTTGATGTGTCCACAGAGACTGGACATGACCTCGAACAGAGCTCTGTAGTGGTCCATGAGGCAGCTGCTGAACTGGGACGCGTGTTTGGCGAGCAATCGGAGCCCGGCTGTTCAAGAGGCAGAGTTAAAGACCATGTGAGTTATTTGGGGAGCTTCGTCTTCACGTTGCTATGGAGATGGCCGGCCTTACCGAATATGACGGCGTAGCGAGTCATTGACATCTACAACAAAGAGGAGACAACAAGCCATCACAGGGGAGTCGCGGGGAGAACAGCACATGACTTGTATAAATATTTGTTGTATTTCCTAATTTCAACGTCAGTCAATTTCATCTGGATGTTACGTTTATCACCTGCGCCGACAGATTTAGCGGTCAGCTGCGGCCATTTATTCCAAACTTTTATTGAGACATTTACCTGAGGGCTGATGGCCTTTAGGGCATATTGAAAAATCTCCTTGGATGTTGCAGGGTCTGCAAGTCAGAGACGCACACCGATCACGCACAATCATGCACGAACCATATAAACACCATGATTTGTGAAATAAAGCAGCCCACCTTCGTCCATCGTTTTAGTGAAGTTGACCATAAGAGACGCGAGTCCTCTCAAACATCCAGCTACAACAAAAAGTTTGGGTTCCTTCGTCAAAGAGGTCATCTGAAAACAAAAAGACGGGCCGACACGAGCGATCACACACACGCGCGTACGTTTTTAAATACGATAACTGCAGAGGGCGGCGGCGGCGGTGGTTCCCTCGCCGCCTTTCCACCTGTAAACACACCTGCTCTTTGAGCTCTCCCAGATACGCCTTGTAGAGTTTGTCGGAGTTACTGGACATCTCGCTGGGGTGGACCTCGGCCAGAACTCCCAGCAACTCATAGATTTTGCCGAGGACTAAAACAAAAGATCAAAACAAACATCCTAAATTCACTTTTCCTGTATAAATTCCCAGTATTTGGACCACAGCGTTCTGCCAAATAGCCTCAAAAGACGACTCACCTGAATCTGGCAGTTTGCTCTTCTGACAGAGCTCACCGTAATATCTGTTGAATAGTTCACAGATACGAAGCTCTGCGACGACACTGGAAGCCTTTGTTGTTTGGAGAACCTGAGGAGAGTAATACCCAGAACTAGCTCCAGCCACCACGTACCCCGTATTCACAAATATCCCATGTTGCACACAAGAAAAAAGACACGGGATGCAGAGAGGAACCCACCTTGATGAGGAGCTCCAGCACGAGAGTCCTACACTTGGCTGTTTTGTCCTTCGTGTACACAACCATGCATGTGTCCTGCACAGAGAAATGGGAGAAAAAACACACAAATCAGTTGCAACATTACATGCACACATTGAAAAGTTCTGTTGACTTGTGTCACACTCAGAGGTTTAGTAGGAATAATACACAGAGAAGCTACACGGAGTCAGGATCATATTTAGACGGACAGCGAATTCACTTAAGACGCACCATCATGTGTAAAGATGTTGTCATGCACATAAAAGCAGACGAAAACACACACTAGCTGTAGAACATTTGATCGCCTTCCTAAAAGGGGAACTCACTCTTATGTCATTGGCGCATGTCCTCTCCCAACCTTTGACTCTTGGTGAGATCCTGTCCAAGAACTTCTCCAGAAAAACCAGAATGTCAACTCGCGTGTCCCGCAACTGGAAAACAGATGTTTCTGTCAACAGGTGAACTTTTCAGTGCAGCGGCGTCGTTGTTCACTAGATGTTCCTTGATGCACCTACCTCCTCTGATCCCAGCGACTTCCTGAGGAAGCCGAGCAAGCCGTAGTCTTTAGAGAACAATAAGGACATCTGCAAGGCTTCAAGACAGAGGATGCAAAGATGGAATCAGAGGGAAGGGTTAATATTTGATTTAGATTTGATGCGCATCCCCAAACCATGAACTCATGCACATTTAGGAGCACCGTGACAATTGGTACACGAATGCATCTGTGCAATGTTAAATCCTCCACCACCAAAATCAACCATGCATGCATTACGAAATGTCCACAATTTTATGTCTTGCATATAAGAATTAAGGGACGAGCCTTTCTTAATACTGGTACACTATAAGTTTAAAGAAAATGTTGCATGTCCGCAGTCTCCACCACGCTTTGTTTCCTGCCACGTGATATTCTATTGTGACCGACGCGTAAATGGGTAATTATGGAAGCAGTTTATGCCTCACAAATCGACAATAACCGTCTAAGGATCCATTCAGCACCTCCTACTACAAGGTGTTCTGGGCTCATCGACCACAGGAAATTGACAGTTTGTTGTTGGCGTTTGGCGCGGAGTTCCTGATGGACTTTATTGTCTTACCAAGTTCGTTCTCGGTTGGAGTTAGCATGCACTCCTGTCCCAAGTCCCCGACAATATCGTGACATTTCAAAGCCGCAGCTCGGGTGTCTTCGTCTGAGAGGGAATTGTGGAGTTTCAGAAGAAGCCCGTGAACGCCTCCAGCGGCGCTGCCCTCGGAAGACATGGCGTTAACTGCAGCACGGAGCTAAGCTAACATTAGCATCACGTTAGCCACATTACTTTGTCTCACGGGTACACGATCGGTAAAAAGAGCGACGGTAATATGTGGAGGAACACGCTGTCAGACGAGCGGATGGGAAGCTCTTCAATTACAAACAGTCACGCACATCAGGAAGAAAGACAATAAGATGCATTTGTTTCAAAATAAAAGCCCCGATGGTGAATGTCCCTCAGTGGCTCTAAAAATGTGTTTTGCGGAACCCGTTTTGTTTTCTACTGGACGGAGTTGTTCACTTCAGCCTTTCTATGTAAAATATAAAAAGCAATTGTCTATTGATGTCACTGAAACTGCAGCTTAAACCCTAGAATCCCTAAAATAATAAATAAAACATAGCTATGTTTTAGTCAAAGGGACTCTTCTGGTGCCCACCAACACCAATTTACCAATCTATTTGCGCCTTACTACTGAATTGACACTTTAGTTACTACCATCTTTCCCGTGGTGAATTAAAAGCCTCTCTGTCGAACCATAACTACAGTTTTATTCTGAAAGGAACACCGGAATAAGAAGGATCATTTGTCTACAAATACCATTTTATGATGGACATAACGATTGTTAACGTCTGAGAACAAACCGTATTACATGCTCATTGACGTACATTGCCAAGTGGCCATAGTGCACAACTGTGGCGATGCTGTAAAACATTCTATTCTATTAAATATGTTATTATAGTATTATATTTACTCAATATAACCCATAAAAGTCCGGAATAACCATTCCCGGTCTGCATATTGGTATAATTATTATTATAATTATCACATTGTTTCATATAATAAAAACAAAGTGAAAATTGTCGTTTAGTTGTGATTTGCGAGATGATTTCTGATTAGTTTAGTTCGCTAAATGTATTTTGAAAATATTTACCGAAAGCTTTAATATGTAAGTATGGCCAGCTTGGTTAATTCAACATACTGCGGTTCCACCTTTCGGCCACTGGGAGGCAGCAAACACCAATTCACAATACTGTTGGATACAGCGCGGCTAAAGCAGTTGAGTTTATCTAGCAGACTATTCTCCCCAATTGTTTATTTAGCGTGAACGCTTTTCTTTTTGCTCATTTAACCCTGATAATGACACGGACCGTATCTTTGCACAGATCCTCTTTTCATCAGTCATTGATACATCGGTACCTACTGTTTATCGCACATGTAGAAAATCAAGATTTGTTTTCTGCATCAAATTAATTTAACCAATATATATTATTAGTAATGTGCAATTCGTTGTTTGAAACCTCCAGATTCGCTTTTTGTGACACTTTTTTCTTCATCATATGTACTTGAGGAATATTTAAAAATCAATCAGAATAAAACGACATCGAGTTTGAAGAAACACAGCGGTGCTATTCAAGCAGTCCTCTCTATACACTGCGGGGATTTACAACCAAAGCAAAGTGTCTCCTCTCTCTGCAGAAGTAGTTTAATGCATCTTGTTGTGTTCAAAAATGAAGAAATGCCGGACGGACAGAGGTCATCGCTGATCAAAAGGTTAAAATCAAATGTATTTAACAAAAGAGATGGTGTTGTGGTAAAAAGAACATCTCAGCTGAGGAGCCGCTGGTCTCAGCAACCAACAGGCCCCAGGTCAGTCCTTTTGACCATCCCTGGTGCCCGTCTGTCGCCTCCACCAGCGAACTCGAGAACTATGGTTCCTACAGGTATTTATAACAATGCTTGAAGGTGTGAAAGTTAGTGTCCACACCTCTGGGAGTGGTCTTCTGGTGGGTTCAACGTAACTCGGATTTCGAATGACCCTTAGTCAATATCAGTTGTTGTTCAAGTATTACATGCATGCATTCCATTTGATTACATTGCATCAAATACAATCATAACTGTACATTGGTATTATTCTAGTACAGTTGCAGAATTACAGTGGTTTTACAATATTGTCATTACTTTAAAGATAACATAGTTTCAGAATCATGGCTGTATTCTGGTGTACACTATATGCATTTTTATTAATTTTATGAACCGGGTCGTATATTTGTTTCTAATATCCTACAATCTTTATAAGGTAAAGTCACTGCGGATCAGCTACTGTAGTACCTGAATCAATTATTCTCTGTTTCAGCGAAATGCCAATATTCAATGTTTCAAACGTTTCAGGTCAAAATAAATAAAAGCGGGTGTAAAGACCGTTATTCGGGAACGTTTTTTGCACGTATCGCCGTTTCAACAAATTTACACCAACGCATCGCTGTCAATTTATTTTGAAAGCCCCAACCGGATGTCCAACGCCGTATCGAGTGTTAGCATGACACTTCAAAACACAGACACCTGTTTTTCTAAGCGAAGAAATCTCCAACTCACTCACACGCCCCTATTCACACCCGTACGCGCCCCACAGACGCTCACGGACGCGCGCACACTCAGACGCACGCGCCCCGTCCGTCACCAATCACAAGTCACCGCCCACATCGCGCGCAGAGACAAGGCGATTCAACCCGGCGGAGCCGCGCAGACAGCGAGCGGTTCATCCGGCCGCGAGCGAGCAGCGCGCAGACGTTGAGGAATATTTTGGTCTCTTTTTTTAAACGTTGCCTTTAAGGATTTCTCCCGGCGGAAATGTTTCAAGATCCGACTGCAGGTGGGTGATGGTTTCTCATGATTTGTGCCAATTGTTTTTGTTTCCGAAGCCTACGTTTGCGTTGATAAAACGTACGTTAGCCGCGTTACGTTACGCATGTTGACGTTACTTTTTACAGCGAGACTCACCAGAAGTTCACATTTAGTAGCTTTAAAGTGCTGCCTTTTTACCGGCCTGTAGCAAACTTGTTATTGAGGAGTAATTACTTAAAGCGAAATGTTGTGTAAAGAGGATTTTTAACTCAAAGTTAAAATTTTAGTCCGAGCTGACTTTAAACGCAAAAGGGAAACGTTGACTGGAAACCTATCGGTCAGGTTGGTGGCAAAAGATGACATTTCATGCCAAAAAACGGTTTTGTAGGATTTACTGATGCCGAAAATACCACCGACCTCAATAATCCGGTGGTTTTAGTGAGGATTAAGTTCGTCTTGTTGTATTCAACAAAAAACAAGAAGTTATCACATTTGTGGATTTTTGAGCAGCAGTCTGGTGTTCTTTATTCAACATTTTCTGTGCACATGGGCTTAAAAGCAGATGAAATGGGGGAAAAATCCGAGATCCATTTGCGTTTAACTCATTCTGTTTACAGTTTGTGTCTTAGCTCCCTTTTTAAATGTCCTATTACAACATTGGCCCAGTTGAACTGCTGGATATCTCTATTTTTTGAGGTTACATCACGTTACAGACCGGTTTTCTCTGTCAGGTTATGTTTGGGGTTGTAATTGGTTTCATTATTGTATTAAGGTAAAGAAAGCTGAGACTTGTTTTGCACCACAACAGCAACTTGTTTGTGTTACCTCACACATTGTTCAAAACGGTACAATGCGTGTGAAATATCCCACACAGACGGCAGCACTGCTCAGCAACGGTCAAACGACACACCTCATGTGTCCTCCAGGTGACCCGTAGAAACTCCCCGTAGATTTATATGAACGTAGACTATATATATATATTGTTGGATGTCGTCAATTCCAAATGGTGTCCTCTCTTCCTTTTGGCAGACGCTTTCCTCCGTGTTGTGGTGCGCTGCTGGGTCTGACAACGGGAGCTCAGCTGCAGGATAACGGTCTCCACGCCGAAGGCCCCCCCCCGGACCAACGAGACATGCTGGCCGCCATGCTGCGGCAGAGTTCTGGCGGTGGATCAGGAGGAGGAGGAGGAGGAGGAGGCGGCGGCAACAACGACAACAACGGCAGCGGCGGAGGAACCAAACTCCCTCTCGGCTCCCGGCTCTCTAACTCCAGCTCGCGTTCTTCGGGGCCCGCCGGCGCCAAGGTCGGCTCGGGGAGCTCGGACGGCACGGACGCGCCCGCCTCCGATCCGATCTACATCATGCAGCTGGTCAGCGACGTGCGCAAGTTCGCTGACGTGCTTCTGCAACTAAAGGAAGTTTTCATCTCCAAAGGTACGTTCGGCCTCGAGGCGAACGTGGGATCATGTGTGACATCACATCCTGTTCTCCACCGTTTCCACTCTGACTCTGTCCTTCTCGCTGAGCCTCTCGTTACTCGTCACGCCGATAGATCAAACTGCTGTCTTTTGAGTGAATCGCGCTCCCGTTAGAAACCCATTTCTACTGGCAGCTGACACGGCTTCCGACACGGCTGCCAACACACTGCCACTGGTAGCCAACACGGCTGCCAACACACACCTACTGGCAGCTGACACGGCTTCCGACGCGGCTGTCAACGCACTGCCACTGGCAGACGACACGGCTGCCAACACATACCTACTGGCAGACGACACGGCTGCCAACACACACCTACTGGCAGACGACACGGCTGCCAGTCACCGCCTGTGTACTCGCTGATGCTTTCACCACAGTGCACACATGTCTCCGGTCCGTCCACCTGGTTTGTTGTCTCGCTGCGTCCTTGGCTGCGCGGTCAGTCAACCAGCCTTATCTCGTGTTTGGTTTGCTTCCCGCCGCGCTCGTTGGTATCAGCACCGCGCAGAACGGGTCCTTTTGAAAGCCGCCTTTGAAATATGCCTACACGGTTGGAAATGTCAATATTCTGCTGGTCTTCTTGGATCAACGAAGGCAGATCCGTCGGAGTAAATGACGATTAGACGATGCGCTCTCTATTACATGTGCAAAACTAAATGGAAGCCTCATTAACCTCCCCCCCACGCACACACACACTTACCACCGTGCTGTGACTTCCAAGCCCTGAAAGAAGGATCCCCTGGCATAGTTTTTGTTGTTGTTGTTGTTGTTGTCTGGAGAGGTCAGTAAAGGTGCTTGTGGGCACGTCGACATCACAGAGAATAAGACCTGGGGGCCCCTTTTCTTTTTTTCTTTAAGCTCCAGAGACTTTTTGGGTGACCTGTTGGCCTCCCCCCGACCCCCCACCCCTCCTGAGGATCAAAGCAGCACGTCATCACGTGGCAGAGATCTGCGTCTGTGGCATTAGTGTTCCCGGTTAGATCCGAGCGAGGAAAAAATACCCCACTTTCACGGCTCCGCGTTGGACTCGCAGTGGCCAAAGATACAGTTCTTGTTTTGTAGGCTGCATAGCTGACATACTAGACACTTTGCCTCCGCTGCCTGTCATTAGGAAACCGGTTTACAACCCTCCAAAAAGCAACGACATACAGCTTTAGAACATCTCGCCCTAGAAGGGCTAAAATAAATAGACACTGCAGACGAGTATGCAGATGTGGGCGCTGAGAAGTCCCCACATGAGTATTCCCATTGGACGGCTTGTTTTGGCTAATACAGGAAAGGGCAGATCTGGGGAAACAGGGCCGATTACGTTGCGGAAAACAGACCCGTCCTCTACAAGGGGGGGGAGTGGCAAGGACATCGTTGTGTCCGGCCTGCGGCGTGGACATCGTTGTGTCCGGCCTGCGGCGTGGACATCGGGACACACTTGATCGTCGCATTGAGACCCGTGGATTTAAATTGGGCGGACCGACGCGGGAGGTTTGCGCTTGTCGTCGCCGGCGAGCATCTTCAGGGAGTCTTCGTCGAGGGTCGCCCCGGTCGCTAACAGGTCGGTGGGGGTCACTAACTTCTGCCGTGATTTGATGGGATTTACGTCCCCCGCTGCTTTTCATTGTCTCTGCAGCGCTTCATTCCAAACCCTCTCATTACTTATTACCCCGGCCGCTAATTCTTCCTTTTCTTTTTCTTCCTTTTTAGTTTTACCTCCCTTCAAGAGCAATTTTCAGCACCCAGCCTCGTCCCCCTCGCACGCCCCCCCCCGTCTGCAGACCTGCACGCTGCTGCTAACTGGCAGCTTTTACAGAAATGATACTTTCCCAAGTAAAGAATAGCTGCGGCCTGTGGGACTGTCTCCCTGGGAGGGGTAGGGGGGAGCGGGGGGAGGAGGCTGGGGGGTGGGGGGGGGGGGGCCCTGAACACCAACCTTATATGGAAATCATAAAGGTGGTGGTGCTCATCTGTGGTTGGAGGCAATGACGCAAGTCTGAAAGTTGTTTGTTTATTTATTTATTTTTTTAGTTTGAGAAGAAATTTGTTTCTGCGCCTTCAATGCAGTCGGGTCCGACCTTGAGGTTCTTTGAAGGGGGAAAGTACTTTGCTCCCAAACCGGGGGGCAGCGAGGACGCTTCGGGGAGCAGTCGAGCTGCGGCGGCGGGCCTTTTGTGTCCTCTGAAGCCGCCATCATGAGCTCAGCGTAATGGACATCTGTCTCCCGCTGTTGTGGCTGTGTGGCCGGGACAGGGGACAGGTGTGTCATCAGCCAAAAGGAACCATTAAAGTGCGTCAGCTGCTCAGGAATGAAAACACCACCAATCAACGACTGAGTCAGTGAAGTCAAATACTCAGGAAATAGTCTCCTTTTTTTTTTTTTTTTTTTTTCAATGCAATAATTTCAGTGCGCCTCCTTTTTTGCCCCCCTATTGTTTTTGTCTCGCGTCGGTCGCCTTGGCTCGCATACTGTCTCATTGCTGTGTCCCCTATGTGGCGTCTCCCCGGGAACGTCGTCCAATCGGAATCCACAGCCAGCTGTTTCCTCTCCACCGCCCTCGCCTCTCCTCACTCGCCAGCTCAAACATCCACGTTTCGCTTCAGTTGTGTTGTTTGGAGTCCTGCGGTTATTTGTATAAAACCGGGCTTAATTTCCCGAGGTGACCCGTCCAGCGCAACTCCTGACTATTGTGCCACGTTAATGTATGACTCATTGATCGATCAGCTGCTCCTTGCTTTGAGTCATAAAGCACTGACTCATAAGTGTCCCCAGTAAATCAGTACGGCTTTATGAATGCAGGGTTCCGTGTCGTTTCTAATTATTTACAGGGTGCTACTAGAAAACGTCCTTCACTCTAATACACTAAACCACTTTGTGAGCAACAATCTTGTGGCAGAGAGCCAAGAAAAAAACTTCTTAATCCGCAGATGATTGGCAGTAAAAGTTCATGTTACAGCGGTTGCATCCATGTTGAGCTGTACTTTTTTTTTTTTTTTTTCTTTCTTTCCTTTGGTTGGAATCTGCCGTGGGAAGTGAGCGCGGTTTCTCATTGAGTATGCTGCAAAGATGCAAACGCTTTGTGGGAAAGCGATTCTTGTCTGGGTCCTCAGAGAGAATGCCTACATGCTATTTTGGCAATTTGTATCTTAAATCACCCCATGTGAAATACCGCCCTAAAATTAGCCCCCGCTTGGGCTTTTCATCAACCATTCCGGGCCGTGTTAACGGCTGTAACTGTGCTCTGTTTAGACAGTCGGTCCCACTGCGTCTGGGATCCGCTGTAAAGCATCGCCAGCTACTCCTCGCCACCAAAAAGTTCCTTTTATGGTTCTTTTACTGCGCTCGTATTTAAAGCCTCTGTAAATTATCTCGAGCACAAGACAACGAGGTCTTCTCTCTCGACGGTCAAGTTACATCGGTTCGCCTTGGAAGTCTCCGTTTAATCATACTCCGTACACTTATCCTGCCAACTAAGCGGCCTAACAGGATTTATTACATTACCTTAATTATTTTGGGCAGATTTCTGTTTAAAAGCGGCGCCATTGTCTCAGCGGCAGCGGACGCGGTGCCGCGGCTTAGATTTTTGGACGGCTGCCGCCGGGGGACTAGAGAGCAAAGTATTGTGACATATGGCAGGTCCATTAATCCCCTCTGCAGAGCAGAGCCACCATGAAATCATAAACTGTAGCTGATAATCTCTCTTTCAGCAATGCACAATGCACACAATTATGTCCCAGCGCACGCGGGGGGCAAAACCATGTTGACTTGTCAAGTTTAATTGCCCGACTGCACTCGAAGATTTGTACGTTGTTGTCAAGTTGTAACCCGAGTGAGCTGCCTCTCTGTGTGTTTCTCTCCCTGCTTCCCTCTGCTAAGATTTACGGTTATGGGTACGGTTTTATTTTTATTTCTCCTGCTTCAGGATCCCCACACTACAGATGAGCAGCCGAGGACTGGGGGGGTGGGGGTCTGATTAGGCGCTGTGCTTTTTTGAAACTCAGTCCTGCAAGCTTGTGTGACGTATCAGGATCCTAAATCTGGACGCATTCCCAGTGTTCGGTGTGGCAGATTTAACCGTGGTCCATTTAGTTGTGTGATCAGAAGAGTCTTGGATTAAGGCTTTGAAACAAAGATGGCAAATCTGTCCTCTGAGTAAGATTAAATGGCCTTTCAATCTGTAGCCTTTAGCCCTGCATTGGATTAAAGTCCTCCAGGATTATACAAGGCACCATTTATTTGACATCCTACACTTTTAAATAACATCTTTGGTATGAATTAAACTTTTTTTCATATATTAAACAACCACTGGTAGGAATGCATTGCTCGTGAAATGTCATTATTTGACTTGTGACCATGATATTTGATAACCCATTTATCATTAACCGGTCCAAAAGTACATTTTCTTCTGATAGTTGAAACCTCAACGAATCTTAATTGAAACAAACTATTCAGATATGCTACTCTGACTTGTTTGGCCAACATCACATATTGAATATATGCATATTCTTTGTACGTAAAGTAGAGGACAAGCATTAGTGCTGCCACAAACTAAGCCATTTAAACAACTCTTCATCGTATCCTTTTGCTTTACATATTGACTACCCCCCCTCCTCAAAATGACACCCAATTTTAGGTCATAAGGAAATAAAAGATTGCATTTTTACAGATCAAAACAAATCTTCATGTTTAGTTTCAATGATGTATTCTAAGCTGCTCTTAGAGCCAGTATTCGTAACATAAACAAGTTATAATTCATCTCTAACATCTAGTTATATTACTGCAGGGAGATTTTCTTTATACAACTGGATTTCCTCATGTGCGAAGTCATCCCTTTTATCAAGAAGCAACAACATGGTCTCCTTAAGTCTGCGTTCTGTTATGTCCGGGCCATGTGGTGAAAAGGTAAGGGTTTGTCATCTCCTCGTCAGATCTCCGGATTACGCCGGCTTTGGGGGTGCATTTAGGTCAA